AACGAGTTGTGCTAGCTCTTCTTTCAGCCATAGAGATATGGCGGAAAATGATACTTTTTACTCCAGCGACAACAATCCCCTTGTGTTGTCATTTCTCTCCAAGATTCCAACGCCCTTTCGAGTCCTTGCTTCAGCCGTCGTTGCGATCTATTTTCCGAGCAATTCCTATCATCGCACGGATCTACCGGTTGTTCGATCCGAAATAGTACCTCTATAGAAAAAATAGACACAATAGAGAAAATGAATACATTAGGGAATGGCTTAGATTGTCATTCATTCATTTTCCGTACTTGAGCACTCTCCTTCCTGGATATGAAGTCACACATCCGCCAATTTTACAAATTTTAATTTGAAATTAACCCGCCCATACTTGTACATATTCTCAACCGATTACATGCAACCCCGAAATACCGGCCGTATAATTTATGGAATCACGTCTACCCTCCATTGTAAAGAAAACCACGAACAATTCGACTCCCGTGGTCTCTCCGCAGGAGATAAAAGAGACAAAGAAGTATTTCTAGTAATGGCAATCTTTTCAATCGTGTTTTATCAGATGTAGCTTTGATTTTGATACAAATCTTTCACACAAAAGAAACCGAACTGCGAAATTCGCACTGTCCTATACAAACAGAGTCTGTTAATATTGACAAATGGTTAAACCTCTCTCATTGGTTAAGTATTTGTCCTCCAAATCCTTTGACTCTGCGAGTTAACCCAAAATTATATTATAATCCATTTGTCTGTTAAGCTACACTATAAGCTCTATATCGGCAGAGAAACCCCGCTAACATGCAAGAAACAACACGCTCCGAATATCCGGTCGTTCGATACCAACAGTTCACTGCTGTTAAGTGCTCAAATGAGGAAGAAAACAGAATTTATAAAAAAGAACATCAAGACACTTGTCAATTCTAAACTGTATTTTTACAGATAAATACAGCCGCATTCGATCTACATGACTGAACCCTAAAATGGAAATGTCATGGTAAGAGAAAATCGATTTGAAACTTACCTTTCAGAATGAGCAAGGTCAGCTTCGATGAAGAGTTCCACAAATCCCTGACACTAATCGACTATTTGCATCACCGACCATTAAGCCCGACCACAACTTGTAAAAATTTCAAGAGATTTCGAAGCTGCGTTTTCTTGAAGGTCAGTCTTTCCCAGTTAAAAAAACTCTAAGCTAAGCAGCACGACTGAACGACGACAATAAAGTGAAGAGTGCTCGGTCACCGCGCCCGCAAAGTGAATTCAACAAAACAGCATGCGCACCGAAGGTAACGCACCGGGTGGCTTGCTCTTAACTTATTACTAACAAAAGCCAAGAGTATAAAATTCATTAAAGTTTAATTGAGTTTGCTGTTGTTTTGGCGGAGAATTTCCATAATTTCACAGGCAAAAGGTCAACCAATCCAGTACCAATAACAAGAAGCTGACCTTTACGCGCTCAAAAAACAAATCTTTTGATGCCGTAGAAAAATACAAAGCTTTGCGAACAGTCTGCCATCTCTTGGATACAAAAGGTGGATAGCGATATATTTCAAAATCACACTTTTGATTCTCGAGTGTGGCGTGACAGAGGTGTGACTACTATAAACTTCCGGTGTGAAGTCACTTCCGTTTTGAATGACGTCATTGTCTCCAGTAACTTAATTCCTGAAATTATAACCTTACGTCATTTTTCTCGTATCTCTGCGATGCTGAATCATTTAAGAAATTAGTGACTAGTCCATCAAACACACTCAATATGCGTGTGTCTCTATAATTCTTGACTCCGAATCAAGCTCAATGGTGATCGCGTTACCAATGCTTCGCGTTTAGGTCACGTAATCTAGCTTTCGTGCTATCAAGGATACAGCCGGATGTGTCGGAACTCTAATCGTGTTTCTTACAAAATAAAAGCCTATTAAACAAAGTTGATCATAAAATGAACACCATTCTGGCGCCTGGAGAGAGTCAGGAACATATTACCAAGAATTGCAGTGCTAGTTTTGAAGCCGTGACTGGTAATTCTGGTCCATCCTCTTAAAATCGCAATCAACCGAATCACAAAGGGGTCAATGTTTTCGTAAAATTTTTTTTCTTAAACGAAAAATTGTCGCTAGTTGAAGCTTCTCACTCCAAGAAGAGTGTGTAAATCCGATACCACCTTCTGCGTTATTAACTGCTTCTTTCAGGATTATTTTGAAAACCGAAAAAGGGAAAGGTTGGAAGACGGACTAATACCGATGATAAATAGCCATGAGTGATTAAAATCAGGCCAAAACTCCGAGGTCGAGAGTTTAGATGTTAAAAAAATTTGGGGGGAAAAAAAAGAAAACAAGAATAAGAAAAATATTATGTGATCGGACGTTTACCTCTTATAGGTTACAGCTCTTTTGTTGTTTCTTTTCATTTCATTTTTTTTGTGTGTGTGTGGCAAACTTCAAACTATCTGGCTCTTCAGGGCAATTCAGTATTATCAATCGAGTTGATAGCGTAAATTGGTCATGCAGTGTAAAGAGTTTCAAAAATGACATTTCGAGCGTTAGCCCTTCGTCATTCATTGCTTCTGACGACACTTGCATCCAATATCGAACACTGGTGTATAAAATACCAGACTGTACAGACTGTCGTCTGAAATCGGACATTAGTGTCTAAAATCGGAAACTAGTGTCCAGAATCGAACACTATTATCCTAAATCTGATACCAGTGTCGAAAACTGGACACTTGGGTCAAAAGTAAGGCAATCGTGTCTACATTAAAAAAAATACTGAGTGAAACGGAAACTTGTGTCTAAAATCGGACCAAAGTGTCCAAAAACAGACGATAGTGTCTAAAATCAGACACTGGCCTCTAAAATCAGGCACCAGAGTCTAAAATCAGACACAAGTGTCAAAAATTGGACACGTGAGCCTAAAATCAGGCAACAGTGTCTAAAATCGGACAACAGTGTCTGAAATCAGACTCATCATCATATCATCATCATATCATATTTTATTTGCCTTATTTACACAATACAAAAAATTTATTTACAGCAGTTATAACTATAAGGCGAGGAGACCCAGGAAGCCACCAGACTTATGGGAGAGCCACCTCACTTACATTAATAAATAAAGTAAAGAAAAAGTGCTGCGAATGTGCGGCTAGGCCAATTCAGTAATTATTTAAGTAAAAACTCTTGCATTTTCGTCCTAAAACTAAGAAGGTTTGACGAACGAGTGACTGAAACAGGAAGAGAGTTCCAAATTTTAGGACCTTGGTAGAGAATTGTAAATTGCTTGAGATTTTAACGACACAAATGTGTTTGATAATTACCGGCTGTTCTGATACCATAATTGCGAATTTGGCTATTCGTTACAAAAGGATTGAGAAGCAATGGAGGCAATAAGTTATTTCTATAATAAAACATGAATTTGGCGATTTCAAACGTATTGACTTGGAAAATATCTTAAATTCCTGGTTTGGAGAATAAAGGAGCGGAATGGGTTCGATAGTCTGAGTTGGTGATAGCCCGCACAGCTCGCTTTTGCAAGTAATAAATTCTGTTTAAGTTAGATACGTATGTGGACGACCAGGCGCAGTTACAATAGACGGATAAATTAAGGTGTAGTACAAAGTGAGTTGGGTTGTAGAGGATAGGAAGAGGATAATTAGACTCTATAGTCTAAAATCGGACACTGGTGTCTAAAATTGGACACTTGTGTCGAACATCGGACACTAGTGTCCAAAATCAGACGCCACTGTCTAAAATCGGACACTGGTGTCTAAAAAATTAAATCAGACCCTGTTGTCTAAAATCGCACATTAGCATCTAAAATCGGAAAGTAATGTCTAAGATCTAAAATCAGACACTACTGTCTAAAATCTGAAATTAGACACCACTGTCTTTATTCAGGCACTAGTGTCTAAAATCGGACGCAAGTGTTTAAACTCTAAAATCAAACTATTTATTAAATCGGACACCATTGACTAAAAATTCTAATATAAGACAGTAGTCTAAAATCGCACTCTACTGTCTAAAATCATTATCTCAGGAAGAGGTCCATCAACGGCTTACTTGTGTACTCCCTCCTTCGACCTTCACCGTTTTTCAGTACGTAAGAAACTTGGATATTTCTTGAAACCATTTGCGCGGAACTTACTCCCTTTATGCAGAAAGGGAAACTTTGCGCAATTTTGGCCAGTTAGATAAGGGTGTTTCGGTGTTCCCCCCCCCCAGGTTATAGAAAGCGCGGGCAGTTTGGCGTTAAATAATGTGAAGTGACGGCAATTAGGAAAACGATGTACAATGACGGTGAATGATGTCTAATGACAGAATCATGCAAAATGATGTCGGGTGATTTTCAGCGACAGGTAATAACAAACAATTAGTCACCGAAGAGGAAATGAATCATGATTTTCGTATATACCACACAGATACCAAAAGGTAAGTTTACTTCTTTCGATAAGTTTACTTAAGTAAGTTTACTTCTTTCGATATATCGAAAGCTCGCGGCCGTTCATCCGAATGGCCACTTTTGAATTGGGTATGGGTGAAGAGCGGGGAGACCTCCACTCTCCCACCCCTCCCCTTATTTTTCACCGTCGACCGCCCTCTTAGTACTAATTTCTTTCTCTCCCCACCCTTCCGCTGCCATCAGATTCAAAGGTAGCAGCCGTAATTTTCGATAACAAAACACGGAGCACTCGCTCGCCAAAATTACGCCTGCTCTGCTGGTTAGAGAAAAAGGTGCGATGTCCGATTAAGTAATGTTAAATGACGGAAATGGTGCCGAATTATCAACTTTCGCTTAAATCGGGAACCGCGGTGAGTATACACAAGAGACTTTCACTGGTCCAAGAAGTGTACACGGAAAATGTTTGCCTGGCTCTAGTTACGCAAAAATGTCGATGTATTGAGACCTTTTTTAAATCTCTTCGCATGGTATTATAAAGATTGCATGACTTCCGTGCGAAATGCACGTTGTGTGAATTGCCAGTGTTCTTAATAGGTAATTCATCGAGAAAGAATTGTTACTAAGAGTATTTTACCGAGAAATATACTTTGTCCTTATACACTGCAGCATCTATAGCCAAGAAAATGTTTGCCAGGGACAGTCTCATATTGGTGAGAGTTTTATAAATATCCATTTAATCCTTCCAAAATGTGTGTCATGCTACCATGTCATGCTGACTCGGAAACATTAGGGGCTCAAAAGATGCGTAAGCAAAAACGGCCGCAGACAAGTCGCGAAAGTAGTTTTAAACAACAGGTCCAATATAAATGGATTCAATGTCCAGATATTAAAAGTGCTCAAGATGCACCGATTCCAGCCTTTGTCAGACATCTTTGACAACGTCATCCATATTGTGCTCTGCCGCTACCATCTTTGCTTTGTCCACGGATCTTAACTGAAGGAGAATTTGTATAACTTTCTTGATGCCGCTTCTGAAAACAAACACACCAACAAAACAAATCAATAGACAATCGAGCCTTCTTTAACCCTGTCTTTCCCAAGGTCTCATTGGTGATTCTATTTACTCTGCCATACAATTCTTAATATGTTAGTTCAGAGAATTTAGTACTACAGCAACTAATAATCCCCTAATTGATATTTCTCTTTATTCTCGTCACTTTTCTGCCTAATATCGAATTGATATTGTAAGGAGAAATTCTGTCTTGGTCACATATTGTCCATATTGCTGGTCTCGTTATAAGTTACCAGTATTAACTCAATTCAAACAGATTTTTCAGTTACTCAATTCAAACAAATTTTTCGGTCAGTAGTGTCAGTTGCTCACTGTTGCTGAAAGGTTGATCAAATTCTCTGACGACAGTCGCAAGGGCTGCCCTTCCTACATGAAGTTACTATAATGAAAAATAATATATACAATTTCCGGTTTCATCAACACTCGTCGAGACTGAAGTTGTTCAGCCTTCAATATATGCCACCACTAAACTGAATTGAAAGAAAAAAGAAAGAAACCAACCGCAATCAAATCAAATCAAAAGCTGAAAGTACCTTGCTTTCTTTTTCTCGGCCTCAGGGCACCCGGCACAAGACCGCTGTATATTGAGTGCTAAAGTTGCAAGGAAACGTGCCAGCGCTTCTAACGAAGGTACTGTTGTCTGCTGCTGCTCGTTAAACCACTGTTTGGGGAACGTGGCTGTGATCTGATAGAGAGCAAAAATTTGCCTTATTTCCCTATAATCTCCCTTAATGCAAGTTTTGGGAATTTGATGTTTATATTTCTTCAGTTCTACAGTATCTTCTTGTTGAAGAATGTTTTCACCCTGTTTACTTTCTTCCTTGTTGGAGTAACTTTGTTTTGGATCACGCTTCTATAAAACAAACTTGAAGAGGCTTAAATCGAAATATATGCCCTTGCAGTAGTGTTTACTCGAATGCCTTAGGGTATCTGGTAACCTAGCAATGACAAGGAAATAAATTAACAACTATCATTTTCATTAAAGCAGAGATGCAAATTTTAGTAATCTTCAACATGATATAATGAAGAGGGAGACGGTAATTGGAAAATCTTCCAGCATAATTACTCAGAGGAATACTGGAGCACGAAAGCGCCTTGCTGGCGCTCGAAATCACCAAGCAAGTGGGATTCAGACTAGCTCGCGAGAGCGAGAGATCACGCACACGAAGGACAGAGGTCGGATCTCTCGTACCTGCACTCTCGTTCTCGACACATGCGTTTACCTAAGCTGTGATAGTTGTTGTATTTTGTCGTCATCAGCGATCATTTTGATAGGCGCTTTGGTAATAGAACCGCCTCGCACGGAGCGACCACAGCAAGTAAGAGCACATCTATGAATACCATCCTCGCATTTCAACTATTTATAGTCAGTAGTTGGCTCAAACAAGGTCAAAAGATGAGCGCACATAGAAGAACAGTCAACTCCCGATAACTCGCACCCTCCGATCTCGAACCAAAATCGATTATTCCCTTGGATTTCCGTCATAAATTTACTGCAATTTTACACTCGCTGACTCGAACCTTCCCCGAACTCAAAGTAATTGTAGTTTCTCTTCAGGTTTTTCTCTATATATTTTTACCCTTGATAACTCGAACCACGTCAAACCACGTCTGTCAATACGTGATGAATAAAAAACAACAGTGTACTGCCGTCCAAAAAATTTACTGTAATTTATTTTGAAGCAGACTTGTAATCTTTGTCCCTTTTGCATTACACAAAACGTGTCAGCGGCAGTTCAGGTTTCGTTGGTTAAGGGTACATCTAACTACAGTGCCTGTATCTTCGACTCCCGATAACTCGAACCCTTTTAACTTTCCTTGAAGGTCCGAATTATCAGGATTCGACTGCAACTCGTAAGTCAACGGTGTTAAGAATGAAAACGATACTTACAGCTTTCACTTTCTCCAGGCTGTCATAGTAAAGATGAGAGTGTTGTAGTGCTAATAGAAGGTATCTGTTCAACAAACCATCTATTGCCAGTTCCTGCAGTCTGGCGGAGGAAAGAAGGCCTTCCCACCTCAAGATATTTCCCATGAGCTACAACAGAGGAGAGAAAAGAATAAACAATGCAGGTTTAACCCTTTAAACCCTAAGAGTGACCAGTATGTGATTTCTCCTTACAGTAATACTGCTGAATCCTTCATTAAGATAATGAGAATAAAGGAATTATGATCGCCAACGTTAAAAGCTTTGATTGTTAAGCAAATTCTCCTTGTAAGTGACATAGGAAATGTGAAGAGAGGAGTATTGAGAATATGGATACTGATGTTAGGGTGTACAGAGTTAAGACATCAACTTAATTTGGTAAAAACCGAAAAAAAAAAATGAATACACTTCTCAAGCTGTACTTCATAAGTGGCAAAATAAATTTTAAATTTTAAATACCTTTACACAACTCCAAAATTGTCTCTGCAAAAATGCCAAAGCCCCAGAAGATTTATTGTCCAATAAACTGCTCAAAAAATTAAGAAAAACAAACCAAAACAAATAAGGATTATGTACAACAATAAGTCAAATGGTTGTCAGAATTTTTTGATAACATGCAGGTGTCTTTATTAGTTAAAAATGTAAGTAGGCACTCATCTACTGGTATATCCCCGAATGGAAAGAACCCAAGAGAGTAAAGTGCCATGCCCAAGAAAATACTAAAAAGCATCAGTGAGAGAGGTGGCTGATTTAACCATATCTGCTTAAGAATCCAAGCAATATCCCAACACAGAAGGTAACCAAAAAGTCAAAGTGGTTAGTGATCTTTGCCAGCAACCAGCTAGTTTCCCAGTTCTCTTTATTTTAAGGATGTAATTAAGAGCAAACCAACTTTTACCTTTTGGGGTAGAGAGGAACATAAACGTCATCGCTTACACATCGTCTTAAGCGGGTGGTTATTGCAGCAAACAGTGACTATACAAACAGGAAAGAAAGAAGAAAGACGTTCTCGTTGATCAGTGAAATGAAATATCCATTGATGATTCACTAATTGACTGAATAGAAAATTTTGCAATTTACTGACTGCTGCTTGTTTTAGATTTACCTAAACAATAACTTGAAAGTCGCAACAAAGCAAATCATTGGATTTGATAACTCAAAATTCAATCCAGTGATTTACTAGCTAATAGATGGACTGATTGGCTAACTTACTGGACTGATTGCCTGACCTAACAAAGATTAACCTGTCAATTATTCAAATGATCAATCAATCAGTGAGCCAATTGCATGAAACATCTTTTCAAAAGAAGATGATATCCATGTATGAACAAGCAACAAAACTAGCCACATATCAACAGTCTAAAATGATTCAGCTTTACAAATTTTTAAAAAGTACAAGCTTAATCTCACTTGTGTTGATTTATCCTGAGCATGAAAGTTTGGGTAAACTTCAGCCATTCCCCTTATTAACTTAATGGCCAGCATTGTTTGCTTCTGCGAAAGAGGATCCCAAACATGTTCAAAAAGACCTAAAAAAATTTAAAGGTGAGTTAACATGTATTAAAAAATGTATTCAATGTAAATAACTTTTTTATTGATTTATTGACAAGAATTGGAGTAATATTATTACCAGTTAGTTTTGGAATGAGAGCCTTTTCTAGCACCATTGGGATAAGTTTGACATCAAGGTCGTCAGCATCAATATCATAGGGATCATCTCCACATCCAAACAATACAAGACTTTTGTACCAACGAAATTCTTCAATCTCTAAACATTTCACCTAGAGGGAAAGAAAGAAAAGACATCAAATTGTGTACTGTCATGAGCAAAATACTATAACCATTTTTTTTTATCAGATCTGTATTGATTGTTTAATGCCTATGCTGCCAAAAGATTAGGTTAAAAAATTTTGTTGTCAGTTTAAGAGAAAATTCAACATTACTCATTTATAAATGAGCAAAACTCAAGCTGCTCAGCTCAAGGACACTTGCATGAAATCAAACTATGAACATTTTTTTTGGTTGTTTCTAATCACAACTTCTAACTCATTTCACCGCTTAATGCACGATATGAAGGATTAGCCCCAAACAGCACTGCATTGTTAAGATTCCGCCATGAAATTTATGCCTTTTAAGTGTTAAGGAAATTATCCATACAAGGAGCAATGTATTGAGTTCTTGATTGTCTTGTGCCACCAAGAAGCCCACAGACCATCATCATAGTGAGCTACTTTAACCTTAAATCTACACCAAATGCACATCTTGTGTAACCTGTTTCAGAGAAACTTTGGGTGTGGCAAGGTGCTCAGCAGGTACACCATATCCTTGCCAAGTTCAGTTGCCCTTTTGTTCACAATGTTCAAAACAAAGGTATCAATTGTACCTCAAATGGGTTCCAGTCCAAAAGTTGCAGTCTAATAAATGGAGCAAACAGTTTAGGAAGACAAAGTGAAATGTATGCATTCTTATAACAGTCTTCGTGTTTGTTCTTCCATTCTTCAAATCTTGATTTTATGGAGTCAATGGAACTAAAATCCTCCACAACATCTTCAAAAATAACTTTCTCCTCTGACAAAATCCTCTCTGAGGAAAAAGAAAAGAAGAGGCAGTGAAGGGATTGGGTGTCATTACTCACAAAGTTATCAAATTTTACATCAATCAAATTGTTCTATTCCTCCAAAAATAAATGATTAAAGTTAAATATAACAAAATTCACATTGCTGCTAAATTGTAATATTGTATACTATGAATACTTCAAAGGAAACACTGTGAAAAAAGTGAAGTATCAACATTTGGCCATTTCATGCAGACAGCCTGTTACACAGTGATGCCAACAGCAGCACATCAACCCTGCATAGATCACAACATTGTGATTCATATTCAAAGTCTTCACAAATTTACCATCAAACTCTCATGATTAACCCTTTAAGTTCAACAAGTGAACAAGACAGAATTTCTCTTTACAATATCAATACATTATCAAGCAGAAAACTGATGAGAATAAAGAAAAATAACAATTAGGGGATTTTTAGTTGATCCAATACCAAGTTCTCCAAACTACATAACTGCATGTATACATCACCAGAATAATTATATGACAGATAGAAAGGGGAAGTACTACTGAGATACTGGGAGTGAAAGTTTTAATACTTCAATGCACCATTCTTAGACCTGTCTGATGATCTAATTGCAAAAGAAGATCTTACTTGTTTCTGCCCTAAACTTGACAGCATCTGCCTCAGTTTCTTCATCATCTGTTGATTGTCCTTCATGATGAGTGTCTGGTACGGAAGCTTTGCCCTTCTCCTTTTCTCTGTGTTTTCTCCTCCGTGCTCTTCTTCCCTCTCGTTCAGCAGTGCGTCTCAACTTCCCCTGATCTGCTGCTTTAGCTGAGTTTTGGCGTCCTACATGGAGGAGACAAAATTTTTTCTTAGGCAGGGAAACTATAGAATAAGTTTATTATGCTGGACAGTACTGTAAAGGGGGAATTGACATCTTTCCATGGGCAACATAATGTTTAAATCAGCAGAGAATAATTCATGAGCAGAAAGTACCTCTGGGTCTGAACCCTTACACCCTAACATCATCTAGAGTCTCCATTATGTTCTCCATACATTTCCTGAGGTGTTGACAGGTAGAATTTGTTTAACAATCTCGAGGTTCTTTAGTTGGTGATCAATTCCTTTATTCTTGTGACCTTAATTAGGGGTCCAAAGGTTACCTGAGGCTTCATGAATTTATCATATTTTCTTAACCTCGGCTTTTGCTATGAGCCTCATACATGTGTTTCTGTCATAGTTGCTAATGTGACTGAGAGTATTCCATGCACACCATGTGTAAGGTGAAATTCCAAGCAACCTAAACATTAGTCAAATTAGAAAATTACCAGCTTGAGCATTAAGAAAATCCTCTGCTTGATCATTGACATCTGTTTGCCTCCTCTGGACCACTAAGCAAGCTCGATTCTTCAACAAAGCATGCATAGATGTTTCTAGCTCATCAATTGCAGGTACCTGTTCAAAGCAACAAAGTAATATCATCATTAGCAGTTTAGTCTCACCAATAATGTTAAATTGTATGTTGTTTGCTTTACTACACTCTGCAGAATGTAATGATTTGAAAACTCATCTCTGTCAAACAAACTCACTCAACGAGATATCAAAATTAACCCAGTCGTGACTTGACCATTCACACTTTTGTGTCCTTGAGGAAGTTTGTATATATACACCAGGCAGGCTGTAGTAATTTTTCTTTAGATAAAGGCAAGGTTTGGTTCAGCGACTTTCCAATAACCAACCAATATTTGCAGCTCTGGTAATAACATGCTTGTATCACCCACCTTGTTATTAAGGCATTCTATCAAGTCCCTGACATACCCCCTCATCTCTTGGAAAAAACTAAATCTCTGCTCTGCATTCCTTCCCTGTCGCTCTAACTTCTTGATGTTACTCTGAGCAGTTTCCAGCTGAGATGAAGCTTTCTCATTGTCCATTCTATGTTGACGATGTACCTCTTGAAGAGTCCCCAACTGCTGTTTCATCTTGTCACAGATCATATCTACAGTAACAGCATGTCGACTTTGTAATGAATTAGTTGTAAATGCAGGTCCATAAGTTTGATTTCCATTTGTGTGTGTATCATTATATCCAATTCCATATGTGTAAGGCTGCTGCACAGTTTGATAACTTAACGAGTTCTCTTCAGTGAATTGTTGTTGATACAATGAGCTTGTTGCCTCAGTTGTTTGTAGCAACTCTGGTTGGACCACAGGTCCTGAAACCCCTTTAACACCTTTGCGAATTTGTTCATTTTCCCAGAGTTTGATCTCTTCATCATCCTCAGCTTCTTCATTGTCAGAATTCTCTTCAAGTTCTTGATTAGCAAGAGCAGCTTCAACCTCACGACGACGATCCAATGCAGGAAATCCTCTTTTCTTTGGAACAGAAAACGAAATTGGTCCCTCTTCCCCCTCATCATCACTTACATCATTCTCATCTTCTCTCACTAGCCGGCCTGTGGATGCAAAATTTCCCTCATATTTCTGTGTGTCATCCAAAGGGATAAAGTCTTGCTCAGTTTGTCTTGCCATTTCTCGCCGTTTGCGTGCTGCATGAATTGTTGCTGCATCTGGTATGCCAAAATCAGTTTTACTTCTTGAAATTATAGCTGGCTCTTTCTTGATAGGTCCTGATGCTACTGAATCAGTGTCATCTTCAGCTTCCTCCCCGTCATCATCGCCTGCAATTTGACACAGCTCAGCTCTCAGTGCAGCCAATCTTTCGTCGGTATCATCTTCGCCCTGATCAGTATTTAGATCATTCTTCTTCACAACTCCCCCTTTGTCAAATTCCTCTTTCTTTTTCCTCTCCTGTTCCAGTTTCTTCGCCAACCGACGGCTTTCTTTTGACTTGCGAATCTTGAAAACTTCACCCTCGTCTCCTCCTTCATCATCGAAGCTGAGCAATGAATTAGACGACGCGGTCTTGATCTTTGACTCGTCTTTCTGTTTTGGTTTAGAATTTTTGACCGCGGGTTTTGAAATCACAGGAATGTTCTCTATTTCCCGATCACCGCCAGTTTCGTCGTCTTCGTGGTCGATTTTTTTCCGAAAATTTCGTTTGGAGTGTTTCTTGAACATGGTGGCCATGATTATGACAAGCGCGTAAAGTGTCACGGGATGCTATTCCCAGTGTCGCTCTTCCAATTGCGTTTTGCCTGACTGTTTTCATCTCCCTCTTGACCATCAAAACTCCATATTTCTCTTTCAAAATGTCCTACTTTTACGGCAGTAGTGGGGGACAAAGGCAACCAAAATGGAATTATCAAACAAATTTAGATCCAAATCTACTGGCCACAGTTCGAGATGAAATGCTTCGAAAAGAGGAGGAGTACCGGAAGGAACAACAGCGGATTGAAGCGGAACAAAAGAAACTAACAAGTTATCTGACCCAACTTCAAGCCATGGTTCGAGATCTGCCTGGGTAGAAATTCCCCCTTTTTTGTATTTTTAAAGCTTCCGCTTTATTTAAATACGTTTACAATGACTTGTTTTCTCATTTGCTTTCCGATAAATAAAAAAGTCTTTATCATAAGACATTATAGTACATGAGTACACTTAGCTTGCCATGAAAAACTTTTTCGAGAAGAATATCCTCAAAACCCACTATAGTCTCTCGTAAAAGTTTCTCGCCAAAGAGAAATCTTTTGTGTAAATACGGCTTAATGTAACGATTTTATTCTCTGATTTAAAGCGCAGTGACCCATAATTTGCTTTGAAATACCTCGGAAAAACGGAATTGACCTTGTGCTCGTTCACGTCTTGGTCACCTTGTTCGAGTTGGCCTGATATGATTTTAAAGGAAAGCTTAAATTAAATATTCAATTAACTAATAACTCTGTTTAATTGTATTTAAGCCATTTTTTTAAAAGTTTTTAAGGCTCTGTAGTAAAGGGGTGCAATGAAAGGAAATAATTTTGATGACCCGTTTACTCTAAATGTAATAAAGTAACCTGTTTTTGCCTTTCATTTTAGTACCTACAAAAACAAATTCACTTATGATGTACTATCAGGAATTGCAACTTGTCTTCTTGATGGAACAGTATTTGAGATTGTAAAGGGACTGGAAGACATACAGCAACTTACTGAAAGAAACTTACTCAACAAAAGAATGAAATTAGTCAATTCGCAGAAAGGTAGATCACAATGTATATTTTGGATCATAAGAATTTGTATTTGAATTCTAGTAATTTTTATTTTGCGCAATTGTTGGTGGGAATTGTCAGTTTGTGCATGGGTGCACCATATAACAACTATTTTAACTGGTGTACCAATAACTAGCAATCGGAACACATACAATACCCAAGTGACTTTGGCCAAATCAGTTACCAATATTCTGGCTGAATCCTTTATTCTTTATCAGTCTGTTGGAGTGTGAGCATGAGTGGTCACACAGCATCTAATTATATAACCTCTTGCTCAGAGCAGCCTTCCGATAATAGTATAGTGTAGTAAATCTTTGGATGGTTATCAAGAATTGTCATGGAAACCTGACTTAGGAGTATGGGTGGTACTAATCATAAAATTGAATGTGAAAGGTAGTGACAAAATCATAAACATATATTATTATCATAGAAATATTATTATTTAATAGGATAAAATGTGTTAAATTATTGGTCTGTATTTGTTATTTACTTTGATCCTCAGCTCAGAGGATGCAGATGGCCAAGAAACATAAAGATGCCATTCAGCAATGTGAGCAACGGCCTCATAATCTGCCTCTGGTAGAGGCATCAAATACACAAGAAAAGAAAGTAAGCTTTTTTATGTTAATCACAGTGCTTAAGATAGCATTGAAAGTTTAATTTTTAACCCATCCCCTAACCTGCGATCATGTCCATTATCATCACTCCTATCTTAAAGGGCATCAAATACACCCTAAGACCTCCTTCAGCCTCACCTTTGTATCTTCATGAATACTTGATTGGTAGTGGCCATCACTGACTGCAACTTTCAGTGAAGTGCAGACTCTAAGGCCTCATTTCTTACTTGCAGTTCAGCTCCATGCTACCATCAATTATTTTGGCAACTCTCAATTTACAGCAGAAACAAATAAACTGGAGCAAACTCCATTCTTCTCTTACCAGGTTCCTGAACACCTCTTTAAATAAAATAAACTCTTCTGATCAGTCTGCAACATAACTGACAGTAGAAAAAAATTGCATATTTGATGATGCCTACATGTCCAACTCCTTAATCTGCATGTTGTTGAAAATAGTGCTAAAATTTCTAGGCTTTGGAAGAAAAGTTAGAGGCAGAAGTGCTTCAAGTTGATCAGAAAGTAGTCCTTGAGTTGGACCAGATTGTTTGTGACCAACAAGCAACCCTCCAAGTAAGCTGTATTTTGTGCTTTAAATTTATTTTTCAATTCTAAGAAAATGGTTAACCCTTTAAAGTCTGATTGTTAATTCTCCCTTCTGGCTGCTACACATTTCCTTTTAAAGTTACAAGAATTTGGTGTTAGATCAAGAGAACAACCTTTACCTGATAATCTTGAGTATTCTCATTACCTGTTTGTTGTATAATGTATGGATATATAGCAGAGCCCGCATAGCACCATAATTATACAAAATAGTAGTAACCCATCAAGCCAAAAAAATTTGGATGTACAACTGTATGACTGTACGATCGTATGACCGTATAAGGTGCTACTTTTAACATGCGTGGTCAACTGTAACATGGGCACGCCAAGCCATGGCTTTGTCCAGTAGTCCAGTGGCCAGTGCACTGGGTTCTGAGTTGGACGACCTGGGTTCTAGTCCTGGCCGGGGCAAGGCATTGTACCCTTGAGATGTGTGGGGAAAAAAAATGCTAGCTCCGCTTTTAGGCTTGGCTAAATCTATATATTAGGGAGAAATTAGGTATCAATCACCTCCAGGAGTTAAAAGGTTAACCTCATTTCACAACAAGTCCATGCTATGTGGATGTTCTGGGTGCAAGGACAAATTTGCTTCCAACCCTGTCATTTCCTAAAGCACAATTTATCACTCTTTGCACTGCCTTCCATACATTTCCTATTAACACGACATGCTCTGGTTGACAAAAAAAAATTTTGTGCTTTGCAACTGTTTACTCAAGAATGCATTGATATTAAAACACATTTGTTACTCTTGGGGGTGAAAATGTATCTGGTTTGGAATAAATGGCACATTTCAGCTGTTTCAAGGCATAAGCCACTATGAAATAAAAATTTTTTTTTTCCTTGCACAGAGAGCTGGTGTGCCCATGTTTTCTATAACAAACAACCCTAATGAAGTTCGCCTTCAGATGTATATACTGGATTTTATACAGCGAATGGAACACACTCCCAGTTAGTGGCTACATTTCTTGGAAAGACACATTTGGAACATGTTTTCTTGGGATGACTAGTTGAGTTCAAGTTTTTCAAGTAGCAGTTCAGCTTTCTTTTTGCATCAGATACATAAAAGATGTTAAATTTTTGAGAAAACAAATGCTACCCACCCACACAGTATTCATTACATCTTGCCTGTCTGAAGTGCCACCATATAAAGCTCATAGTGAAAATCTTCTCATAGTGGTTTCCTTAGAATGATCTGAACATTGTAGTTCACATGAACTTGAAAGGAGAATTTCTTGGCTGATCTTTCTTGGATTCAAAAGAAAAAATTTGAAGCCTTCTTTCCTATACGTTCCTGTAACAGGAAACATTTTTTCCACTGCAAAATACACTCAAACTCACCAAATTTTTTTTAATAATAAGAAAAAAATGGGTGACCAACCTTGGACATTTTCATGACAACATTTCATCAACAACACTATTTGTATTTCGACAATATATTTTAATTCCAATGTAATGTAGCCTTTATACATATACACTACAGTGTACAAATAACTGCTATTGTTAAATTAAATAAATACAAATTAACCCTGAGCAAATTTACAAGTGCTTATTTAAGTAATTGATTTCAATTAAATATTGATATTAAAAAAATTTTAAAAAAAAAGCCAAAGGCTGTTGAGGCCACAAGGGAAAACATTCATATTGTTCCATAACCAAATTGTGATCTAGTAGAGTATAACTTTAGCAACAGCTCGACTAAGGTGTCTATAAGACATTGGAAATAAGAAAATCCAAGATGATTAGAGATTTCACTGTTTCCCAGCCATTTCAGATTTTGTCAAATATATCTGGAAAGCACCAGGTGTTTGTTTGGATGGATTACATATTCCAGTCTATGTGACTCAGGTGTGCTGGAGCTAAGCAAGTAGAAGAGCAAACTATTGATCTTGATCTTCAATGACTATTGAGCTCCGAAGAAAAGTTGGGTGCACCAGGAAAACAGAAACCCTTCCAAAGTTTCCCAATATCTTGCCAACCAGCCCAGACAACTGAGAATGTCTATAATTTCATGTTTTTATCAGTTGGAGAACTCTGGAAGGGTCTGGAAATGGTGAAATCAAAACTGCATGTCTCTGGGATTTTTTCCAAACTGAAGATGTCTATCATTTTGAGTTTCCATTAGTTGGGAAACTCTGGGATGGTTAGAAAACAGTAATGAATTCCCAGCTGACTGGGATTTTGCCAACACACAAAAGCCAGCCTTAGGTAGAATCCTTCCCCTGAATCTCAATGGCCCAAAATGTTATTTATTCAGATGTGGAGATTTACATCTTATTACTGCTACTTACAACTATTCTCCATCTGTTACCTTGTTGTTGTTGTTTTGTTTTTTTTAAAGAAAACCCTTAGCTCTACTTTTCCCTTGTATAAAGTAAAGAAAAAAATCACCAGTGGAACAACTTATCAAAAAGAATCTTGTCTTAAATAGAAATAAGGTACTTAGGGCAAGGAAAAAAAAAGATGTGGACTGTTTTCAAACTGGAATTCTGTGTCTCCTTTTTGAATGCTGTGATGTGTTCCTGTCCCCTTTTATATTTGCATGATCCCTTGTGGACTCTTACAAAAAAAAGAGCTATTATCTGATGATAGTAGTGGCAACTGTAGAACATCATACAAGCCAAAGTAGTGCCTTTCAAGAAATTGAAGCATTAAATTACTTGTATTTGTTTTCAGTTTTTCTTTCCCAAATTTTAAAGAAATTTTTCAAATCTAAAAACAAGACATTTTCATTGTTTTAACAGCAACTTATTCTACTGCAAGAGATTTCCTTTCACAACTTGTGGTCCTCTTGGCATTACTGTTACACAAGAATAAATGGAGTTACTTTATTTTTAAACTAAACTTTAAAAGATTCTTTGCAGTTTAAATTTTTTATCATTGCCTCTATTCTTAAAAGGTATAGGATAATCTGAGATGGCAAAATATTTTATCTAAGTACAAGATCATTTTTGTAAAATAGTTCAAATTCATTTCCATTTTCATTTGATCACAAGCAAGACCAAGAAAACTAACTTTTTGAAAAAGGAAATTTATCCTGTCCTATCTAAGTCTTGTGTGACCAGAAAAGGAAATTGAGAGATAATAGTCAGATAGTCTAAAGGTGAAAGATATATCAATTATAAAAAATATATATATGAAAGTTCACATAGCAACCAGGTGGACAATCAGACATGGTTTTATGCTACTCTGGTTTAAAGATTTGATGAATGTAACTGAGAAGTTACAATTTATAGACCCAACATTTCAACACTACTGTCTAGTGCCATCATCACAATTCATGTCATGATGATGGTGGCTTACTTCCTGACACCTATTTACACCTCATCAGAAAAAAGGGCAGCTAATTAGTGAGCGTATAAAAGGACCTCTTGTTGCAGCATCTAGATCATCCCTGATGAAGGCACTAGACAGGAGTGTTGAAACATTGGGTCTATGAATTGTAACTTCTTGGTAACATTCATTAAATCTTTAAACCAGAGTAGCATCAAACCATTTCTATAAACAAGTTAGTAGACCAGATTTAAGTTTTTCAAGACAACTTTTGTAATGAACACTGAGGCAATACAAAGTTCATTAAATATCACACACATTGTAATTAAAAATACTGGTAAGTATGAAGGACCTTGTGTATGTAGATACATGATCCCAAAAGTCAGAGGAAATATAGCAACACTGTTTGTGATGTGGTTAACCTTCATCCTTGGTGTAATAACAGCATTCTTTGTTTTCTCTCCTTTTACGCTACGATAATTTTTATCATTTGAGTATTTTAACAAGCAAGTAAAAATGGAACCAAGGATAAAATTAAATCACAACACAGAGCTTTAGAGAGTTGTTGTTATAAAATATTGTACACTGTTCAACTTAAACTTTAGATACAATACGCATTATGATACTGATGATGCTATCAGTATGGGATATCCTTATTTTTCCTACCACATGTACATTGTATTAAGGACATAAATCTGCACCATTGTAAAGCCTAATAGCTTTAGTACAAAGACATCAGTTTCCAATGATAAAAAGAGTAACACTTAAGGAATTTTCTTCTCTTCACCTAAACATTGAAATCTGGGAGTTTTTCTGCTGCCATGTTTGCCAATTCCTCATCCTCATCCTCATCTTCACTGATGCTGCATCTCGGTGACAAGCGGCATCCTCTGGCAATATATGGGGTGAGTTTTCCTATGGCTGCCAAAATCAATCCCAAGTAGGGAGGGGATGGTCTGATTGGTCGACTTATGTATTCTGGGTGATACTGGACTCCAACAAAATAGGGATGGTCTGAAAATAAGTAAGGTTGCTCAGTTAGGTTAATTCAGTATGCAGGAAAATCCTGTCACCCAATGTTTTACTCACCTAAATAGGTTTACCAGCCAACTAATGGCAAACTATGGTAATCTAGTATTATCAAATTAGTTAATAATGTAAATGGGAAACCATAAAGAGTTTAAAAGTTGACATTTTGGGTGTTAGCCCGTCATCAGAGCAATTACTTCAACCATGTACCTTTGATCTCCATGATTTCCATTCGTTCACCTTCCACATCTCGGCCAACAAATTTCATTCCCTTTTCCTCAAATTGACTTACATATTCTGGATTGACCTTAATTGTAAAATAAAAAAAAAAAAAAAAAAAAAAAAAAAAAAAACACTTGCTATTAGGATACATTATGACTGCAACAAAAAAAAAGTGTCTAAATGAAAAAATTGGATACACTTACAACCATGCCATATAGAGTTTTGTGGTTAGATGCAGGAGTCACAAAATCACCATAAGTGATTTTCATTATTGAATAGCCTCTCTTACCTCATATCTGTGCCTATGTCTCTCTTCTACAAACTCTGCATTCTTGTAAAGCTTTCCTGAATAAAAGATGTGAAGGAACAAATGTGAGGAACTTGTAAAACTGCAAATGTTTACATCATTAGGGATTGTACTTCTCTTGGACTACAACACCAGCGAGGTAAAACCTCCTAAGGTTCATGTGAAAATAAGAATTTATCTCATACATTTAGATGCTGAGAAAACAAGTTACTTGTACTTCACTCTGTACAAAATAAATAAAGAAATAAATAAAATATACTAGACTTACACCATTTTGGAATAATATGTTACCAGTACTCACTTGTTATACTCTCATGCACCTTTGAAAACACTGTCCGTCGTCTTCCAAGCCTCATGGTCCCTCCAAGCTGACCTGGGTTGTGCTCAGGCATTTCAATAACCTAGTAATAATACTTATTAATTTTGTTTCAAGAAGCTTTTGTCATCTTTAACTCTTCAAAGAGGAAATCACAAATATAGAAGCCTAATTACTCAAAATACCAAGAGAAATGAGTGTAATATAAGTTTGAGATGCTGAGGAGTTCAGTTTGAATCTTTCTACAGAATTTAAAATTTTGAAATCATGGTTGTTAACAAACAAACAAACAAACAAACATCTGGTTTTAGGCTTTTAGGCAAGCATTATGAAATAATAATACACCTGTACTTACCACTGGATTTTTGGTATCTGGTTCATTTTCTGTGGAGTTTGCATCTAAAAATTATAGAATGTTAGAGTTGATCAGTGATGTGGTTGAAGCCAAATCAAGGAAGATCAAGACATGTCTGACCAGTATAAGATATTTCCGAGTTTAATTTCTTGAAGAAGACAACTTATATTAAGACACTGCACTCTTACCTTTCAATCCTAGAATGTTTCTGGCAAATTCAATGACAGCTAATTGCAGTCCATAGCAAACACCTAGTCCAGAAAGAAAAATGATCCTTTAAACCTTTGAATCCCTGAAGTGATTAACATGTAACTTCTCTTAAAATTATGATGTAGAAGTCATTATGTTGATCTAACACCAAACTCTCGTTACTATTTTACAAGAAAATGTGTTGTAGCTAGATGGAAGAATTAACAATCAGATCCCGGGAGTTAAAGGGTTAGGTCCCAATTCATTGCTAATTGAAAGGTCTAAAAAATAGATCACAAATTAAACCAAACTCAACAATCTAAGATAATAACATACCCAGGTAAGGTTTCTTCATCTTTCTTGCCCATTCAGCTGCTGCTATTTTCCCCTCTGTGCCTCTTTTTCCAAATCCTCCTGGTACCAATATACCGCTACAGTAATCATGAAAAACACAATCAGATTTTGTCTGAAACTGTAGAAAATAGGGATAGCACTATTCCTAAAAATTATTTCTTTGTTGCTGTTGTATTTTTCTGTCCTGAACATTCAAGATTTGTTACACCCGAGTAGACCTAAGAGTGTAGTGCAATTAGAACAGAGTACATCAACCACTTCTTAAACCAGAAACACACAATAAAATGTTAACATCAGAAAGATGTGGTCCATTCACTGTGAATAACAAGTTACTCACTCGCATCCACACAACCTTTGCCAAGCTTCATGGTATTTCACTGGATCTCTCTCTTGAACCTCCTTCTCAAGATTTTCAGACTCTACCCACTGAGAGATTAGAAACAACAAGAGTCCTTTACATCAAAAAATTCATCAAGTAGTTATACATGTATGCAGTCATGCAACCAAGTAAACGAGTCCTATAATTAAAAAAGTGCCTCTTTTTCAATTATTTCATACACCATAATTCTTAAACAGATTATAAGGTACCTACCACAACTTGAAGACGCCTGTTACAATGGAGGGATGCATGTTTCAGAGCTTTTAGAACAGAAATATATGCATCTTCTAGCTTTGTGTACTTTCCAACAAGAGCAATCTTAACTTCATCCAGGAGTCGCTCGTCTCTGATAACAAGAGAGAGAAAGAGAATTACCAAAATCTATGCTGATGAATAATTACCTGCCGTATCAACATGATTAAATATGTCTGAACCCCTCATGAACTGATGACGTCACTACCAACTAACACATGGGTTACTTAGTCTTTCACCACAGATTGCAATACAATGGCCTGGGACTCTGGTTTACAGGGTTAAGTTTGAAAACTCACCAGTTATTTTCCACATGTTCATGAGAAAAACATTCTACATTGAGAGAGCATCTCTCCATTAAGTAGTAGTAAAATGAGGAACAGTGAACCGACAGGGAAACCAACAGAAGGAGAAAGGGATGCGAGTTAGCTAGAGTCTCCCTAAAAGTTCATCAGTACCATTCCTACCGGGAGGAGTTCCAAACGAGAACATGACCTTCCACAGGATAAATAACTGACTCATTACACCCTATGTAGTTTGTACCCTTGAGTACAAAAGTGCAGTTTTCCCCTTACCAGGCCCATCCAACACAAAAACACATGCCATGTTGACACCAATTAAATTTAATTGACGAGTTTAAGACTATCATCATTATTCTTCAAAAAATATCAACAAGGGTTTTTTTTTTTGGTCACTACTTTATGTAGTACTTTGCACTAAGAGACAGTCCCACTCACTTACCTCTCTGCTAATTCTCTCCATTGCACCAAAAAATGTCTTGGTTTACGTGACTTGATTTCCAATTGAAGCCTTTTGGAAAAAAATGAAACAATTCCTTGGTTCGATAACAACACGGGAACCCTGTAAATGGATTTGCAGTCGTGGACATCTATCACCTGAAAAAAACAAATAAAATTTAAAATTTCCTGTTTGTTTAAAAAGAGAGGAAAGGAATCCCTAAGATTTTATGAAAAATTCTCACCTGCTCTGGAGGGACATGGCAGAACAAAGACACCTTCTGCTTGACAGAGTTTGTCACTGTATTCTTGCATCTACACATAATCTACAAAGTTATTTAAAAGAAAAGTTTCAAATTTATCTTGTGCACTGTACATACAAATGAAAAATCTGCCTTTCCCTTTTGCAAAGACAGAGTAGAGGAGATGGTCTTCTATAGAAAGATGTAATATAATAATCATCGTAAACATGCCACAAACATAGTAACATTATTGGTCAACAATAAAAGTGTTGTTACAGTTTCAAACTTTTGGTTTTCAGTGAGCAGGCTTGCACTGGTTCAGAGTAACGAGAATAACATTATACCAGCAGATATGACCCACCCACCTAAACCACAAAGCAGATCATAATACCTTAGGTATGGAAAATTTATCTAAGTTTTGCCACAAGTTAACCCTTTAACTACCAGGATGTGATTCTTAATTCTCCTCTCTAGCTGCTACACAATTCCTACAAGAATTTGGTGTTAAATCAAGTTAAAAACTTCTACTTGACAAGTTTGAGGATAACATATGGATATTATAGGAAAAAGTCACATGTTAATCACTTCTGGGGGTCAAAAGGTTAAGAGACCAGTAACTTACCAGATCAGGACTCAGGCCTAAACCACGCAGTTCTCGCACACTGTTTTGTGTAGGCTTTGTCTTCTGCTCACCTGTAGAATCAGGCTGAGGAATACAAATTTAATACAGCCTTTATTAACTTAAAGGAAAGAAATATTATGTTTATGCTTCATTTGAAATTTGAAATTGTTGCTTTCTGTTTTCCTAGGCAATTCGTTACAAGTCATGTAACAACTTAAGTTACATCTATCTTTGGTACCATCAACTCTCTGTTATGAAAACCCTTGGTGTACAAGAAAGGGGACTAGATATGTGCACAGATTCCTATGAAGTAAAGTATACCTCAGGCACCAAACTGACATGGACCACACAAAAATTGTCTCTTCCAACTCTAAACTGGAACTGACGGAAAGCTTCAATATAAGGCATACCCTCGATGTCACCAATTGTCCCTCCAAGCTTATAAAAAATACAACAGAAAAAATCCATCATTACCTAATGCTTGCATTCATTATACATTCAAGCATCTTATATTTTTGTAAGATTAAAACAGCAATTAACTGTCACACATTCATATACAATGAACTTCAGCCTTCAAACTCTAACCTCAAATTTTGTCTAGGAACAACATCGCTAACATTGTAATGCACATCTCAAGTAGAGACAACAGAGATAAATGTACAACCACATGTCAAAACTTCAGACTAATTGAACCTGTTTCCTGAAGAAATTGTAGAAAAATACATATCGAACTCCAGGGTCCACTTACTATCAAAACACAGTGCTCTGTCTCCAGCAGAGGTTACATGCTTTGACAGAATAAAACTCCAAGAAGAATTGTTCAGAGGAGTAAATGGGTCCCCTCACTGAATTTTGAAACATTTTAAAAATCTAGGGCCTCTGTTTCATTTGGGCTGGCTTTGCTCCTGAGAATTTGTCCAAGTTTTTTTTTGGATTCTTTTCTTCTTTTAAGCCAATTTTAGTCAAGGGATGTTGATACAAGAACCTTCGAACCTGATTATAGGCATAGGTACATGAAACCACATCAGAACAAACCCATGGCAATGGAATATTGACCTCTACTAAGTCTCAATTTTGCACTCTCACACTAAATCTAAGCAATGATCCATTGTTTCTCTGAGAACAATAATTTACTATTGGACCATTTTTCATTATAGTGTCAAAAAAAACATACAAAAAAACAAGCAAATTGCTTGTTTTTGCATATGACTAAGTTGCAATTGTTTAATTAATTTGTTGAGATGATGGTGCAAATTTCAGAACCAATCACAGAACAAAGTTGAGGTTAACCAAAGCAATCACTGATTACTTTAGACAATCAGTTGGAAATTGCCCTAAATATAATTTGTTATTAGTAGATTACTATACCTCAATAAGACAAACATCAGCCTTGATATCCTTCTCAACAGGTTCAGCGGACACCTTTGTTACCCAGTCTTGAATAGCATCAGTGATATGAGGGACCACTGTAGATTACAAAAGAACAAATATCAGATAACATAGATCCATCACTTTATAGTATCAATTACACCACATATATATGAGTAAAGCCATATTTATTTTGGAATAAAAAATCTGATTCTAATTTCAATGAATACATATCATTATACAATAATTAACAATTATTCACCAAAGTGGAGGTGAATAGTGGTGGATATTTCCTGAACTATGAAGTGGCAAGGTAACTATCAATCACTATTCACCATAGTGAATAAATGTTACCATTGGTGTATACCACACAGATACAAAAATTTTTTTCTTTGTGGTGGTTTGTCTCTGCATAAGAGCCTTGGTAGCAGGAAGCAGAAGTCAAATGTGTAAATTGGACTTAGGGGCTATGAAAGGCATGTCCCCTTGAGATATATGGTTTATATAGTTATCTTTCTGAGATAATTGCAAAAAAGTTGCAAAAAATCAAAAAAATATATGAAATGATAATATCAATGATAAAAATAATGATGATAATAATAACAACAACAACAATAATAATTATAATAATAAATAATAAAAACAATGCTTTAGTGATGCACGCTAAAAGTAAGAATTACTAAAAATTAACTCACCTTGAACAGTTTTACCCAGGTAATCCCCTCGTCTCTCTTTATCAATCACACTCTGATAAATTTTACCAGTTGTTATGTTGTTGCTCCGGTGAAGAGTTACATCAAGGAACCTTTCATAGTTCCCAAGGTCTAAATCTACTTCACCTCCATCATCCAAAACAAACACTTCCCCTGTAATGATGAAAGTTTAAAATATTGAGTTAATTACATGTAACTGTTACACGACAAAATAATTTTTAAAAATTATGATTTGTTATCACTGAAGTTTTCTCTGGCCCTTTTAAACTGTTAACAACAACATGCAACCGAAGCATGCAATTGAACATCAACAAATATTGCACAACAACAAACTTGTCTGTATATTTTAAGTTTACCAGCTCATCAAAAGAAAAGCCAAACAGATGTCAAACCACAAGGAGGAATTTGTTTCTTTTCTGATCAATTTTTGAGAAAAGGTTAGAAAAAGCCTTAACTTTATGAAATGCGACACCAGTTTCTCTGTCCAACCATATCCATGAACATGTATAAAATGTGGACCATTTTAGAAACCAGGAAATACAGTGATAATCAGATCTTGTATAACAGATTTGGCCTAAGACAATGGTATCATATAAATTTTAAGATGGAAATAAAGTAATGTGTTATTCAATGTCTCATAATCTACATTTTGAGAAAAATTATCTGCTTTTAAGCCTTGATTCGAATATTGCGTGAACCCACAGAATCGCCACGCGTGAAGCAAACTACAGGAAATCTGATTGAACAACAAGATTTAAAAGCACTTAAATTCTTTCCTGTTTAAATTCCTTTTTTATTCGAGGAAAGCATTTAAAATTGCAATGGAAAGTGCGTACTTTAAGCCTTATATTTTCCAGTTACCAGCATGCTTGAAAGCAATTGATAAGTCATTCATTCACCATGTGCAGTTGTGACTACAACTTACGACGCATATTGCATTTTGGATTTTTTTTTTTACGTAATGCTGCCAAAACCAGATTTCACAAAGCATCAAAATTCTCTTGCCACAAACACCTTGTAAACTCTCTCCTAATTCCAAGCTGATGTACCAACGAACTCGAATAAAAATGGCGGGACACGTTTGAACCATGCACTTCGCGCGCAAAAGATGTAACGGGCGCTATCAGCCGCTCATTTGACAACAGATGTACGAAAAAAAAGGACTTTACCATGCTCGTAAGGAGAGAATGTCCCAGCGTCGATGTTCAGGTAAGGATCGATTTTAATTGAAGTAACGTGCAGTCCACATCCTTTTAATAGAGCTCCGATGCTGCTAGAGATAACACCTTTTCCGATCCCACTAATAACGCCACCGGTAACCAGAATATACTTCATCTTTGAGCAGAAGTATAGCAGCTTTTAAACCCAGTATCTAGGTTCCTCAAAAAATTGGAAAACAGGGGAAAACTTTTCTTAAAATTATTTTAACCCTCCGGGAGTAAGCAGCGCCCTGCTCTCTTCGAGAACTGCGCTATCAACTTACACGGCACGTGTTGGTTTTATGCGAACAATTCGCTCCTCATTGGTCAACGAGTAAGATGATGTCGATTTCATAAATTAACAAGTCATGACTAACAACTTGTCGGTCTCTCGGAAAAGTTCGGAAGAGTTCGGAACTCGGCATAAGAAAGAGGTTGTTTCCCGGGTCTACGCGGTAAACACAAGATTAAAATGGCTGCTAAATTTTACCGTACCTGCATACGACGCCAAAGTTTATCAGTTCTTCTGTTTTGATTTCAATCATCTTGTGGGCAATTCGTTTATTTTGGGTTGGTTTAAAAACAGCAAAACTGACCCGATTGAACCACGTGGAAAGCACCCTGAACGAAAAGAAATGGGAAACAAACAGAGTTCCAAAAGACGCGAAAGTCAGCTTGTACGCTCTAATTTAGCATCGTCCGTCAATCCTGCGCTTCCACAAGAAGCTATTGTCGCACTTACTGGCTGTTTAAACAGACTGCCTCTCTTCCTAAACAAAAGTGTTCGAGAAGAAGTGATCAGACGAGTAGAGCTGATGGAAACTGGTGAAGCTCCAGAAATTCTTCTAAGTAAAGGCCAAGAGCCACCTGGAATATATGTGTTGGTGTCGGGTAGTGTGACTGTTTTCAGTGAAAACAAGAAATTTGCCCTGAGGGAAATTCAAGTCGGTGACTGCTTTGGTGAAGTTTCGGCGCTATTTAATATGAATTGCACTGCTGATGTGTGGTCATGTAACAGGTTGGTATTGATACAAAACGATCTCAACATCCAGATCTCAGTCTTAATTCTCCTCGCTGTCAGCCATAAATTTCGCACAATTTAAGCTCTGAGAATTTTCTGCATATCATTCAATAACCCCTAATTTATAATTCTGTTTATTTCCACTATGTGTCCTCTTAATAGTTTATTGGTATAATTTTGAGAAGAAATCACTCATTAGTTAGTTCGTGGGTGAAAGGGTTAACTTTTGGAAATGCCATGGAAATAAATTGCATCTTCATAACATTTTTTTGGGTTGGAACTGCCAGGTGCATGTTGTTGCTTCTGAAGACCTCTGATGCCCGTCGGCTTCTCACATTTCCCAGTGAGGTGACGCTACTGCAGTGGTTTCAACAGAGGTTGGTGGAGGTCATGTTTAAATAATCACTCAGTTAAACCAGCTTTGTTTTTATTCCTCAAGCTTGTTTTCAAAGTTGCACTCTAAGGAATTTCAGTCTGTTCTTCTTAAATTGTTCAATAATGTGTAAAGATGATGGCTTTTAAAAGGAATTTTTTACTGTTATAGGAGATACCTGGACACCAGTAAGCTGTTTAACAACCACCAACTGTCAAGGGAAATTGCAGTAGATGTATTGCTAAAGGTTTGATTATCTTGCACTACTATATAATGATATTAGGACTGAGTGGAGTCCAATTTGGTCTGTAATCATTTAAGTGATTTACAAAATTGGACAACTGCAAAGTGGGAGTCCAATTTGTTAATCACAAGTATGATTACAGACAGAATTGGATGACATGAAGTCCTGTTACCAATTAATTAAAACTATGGCAAAATTTGAGAAAGAAACTAGACATCGGTTGTAAGTTTTCATAAAAAAAAACAACAACAACAGTTAACTCAGTGAAATGCAAGACAACAGGACAGGCACAATGCGTTTGTCCACTTACACAGGCATAACTGTCCCTTTAACTGTCCTATTACACTGTCCAATTACAAGCGCGATGTGTACACTGTCCTATTAGTGCTTAAATCAGGCTGGTGATAACAAATCAGATTTGAAAATTTTGGGATAGTTTTGACTGATATAGATATCAATAATGTAAATAGGCCACTATGAAGAGTTCCATGAGCAGAACTTTTGAGTATTAGCCCTTTTTTCACTTGCTCTGACAAAAGGCTTTGGAAACCCCTCCTGGTGGCCAATTTATAATGATAATAGGCTCGGGTGGAGTCCAATTCAGTCTGTAGTCATAAGAGTGATAAACAAAATTGGACAACCATGAAGGGGGAGTCCAATTTGTCAATCACAAGTATAATTACAGACAGAATTGGACAACAAAAAGTCCTGTGAACCAATTAATTACAACCGTTACAATTTCTGAAAACAACAAATTCATTTAGGTCAAATATCTCTAGTAGAGACAATGTCTAAGGTGAAAAAATTTCTCCATTTTGGAAATTCCTCAATTTTTTCAGGATAAGTGGTTGTTGCTATAGTTATTGTGATCAATTCTGTGATTGGTGGATTTGGCTGAGTGGACTTAGTATAATTGGCTACTTCAACCGTCCAGTTACAGCTAACTGTCTGGTTACACTCTCCGATTACAGCTCTACAGAATGATTAGTGAAAAATAAAGCAGCTTATGCACCAATCACGTTTGAGGAAATTGTAATGGTTATGATTAACATTATAAACTTATACCCCACTGATGCAACACCACAGTTTCTTCAGAAACTTACCCTCATTTATATAGGTGTATTTAGTCTGATACACTGATTAAGTCAGGCAATATATATATAAAGTGCAACTGTGAATTATTGTTCTGTACTACTGTTTATGATTTATTTGTATTTGCTGTTTTTTTTTTTTTTTTTTTTTTTGGTTTTTTAGTCTCCTATACTTCATGGCTGGGGAAAAGAATCTTTGAAAGCTGTAGTTAAAACTGTAAAGCCAGGTCAGTTAAAAGAAAACATGTGTGAAAGTCTCCTGATTTGGAGAAGAATGCTGTTCTAAATCAAACCAAACTTAAGCTAAAAATAGAGAATAAAGATGGAAGTGGTTGGTATTTAAATTCTTAGAAGGAGTCAACAAAGAAATTCATGGTCTTCAGTTTGGAGAATTAAATTTCAGATCTAGGGATGAAGGGTTGAACTGGTATTGTTCTAGGGAATTCTGAGGTCTATTCTTCTGCTGTATTAATAGTCTAAAGTTCAGCTTGATTCAGTCCATTGGAAATTTAAAAAGTTTTTTTTTCATTTATTTGATGACTTGTTTGTTGTAATTGATTCCTGTGCTTTGTTATTTTATACAAGTGTTATTCTTGCAGCGGTTATTGTGTTGTATCCTCCCAACAGCATTATTTTCAAAGAAGGCTGGAAAGGACAGGAAATGTTTGTTCTAGTGCATGGGCGGTAAGTATGTTGCATTTTATTTACAGGCCATTATATAACCAAGTAGGAAGTGCAGAGAACTTTTATGACAAGAGGCCTGGGTTCAAGAGCCAGCAAGGTCTTTGTGTTGTTTTCTTGAATAAGACACTTTATTTGCACAGTGACTCTCTTCTTGAGGGAGTTCTGACAAAGTACTGACTGTGATGGACTGGTGTCCCATCCAGTGGTGTTCTAAGTGGCAATTACTTGCAGCTAATTTATGCTACAAAAACTGGGATAAGCTGGGATAAGTTTTCCTCCTAATTTCTCATAGTTATGTTCTCTTTATGAGTATGAACTCTTCCATTTTTGAAAGTTGAAGCTGTTTACCAATAATCTGTGATCAAAATTAATGGATGATTATAAAAATTGTATTACTACTGTTCTGCATTTAGGGTAAACTTCTCCAAAAATAACCAGGATGTTGCCACATTTGATGCTGGAGAAAGAGGATTTTCCTTTGGAGAGGAAGGTATATTAGTGATAATGAGACACACTCAAACAACACCTCTCTTTCTCTTTTTTATTCAGTGGAAAAGTGTTTTGTAAGTGATTTGTAATGGTACAAGATAAAACTATGTTTAGAATAAATCATAACTTAGTTGTAACACAACTTTATACGTCATAAATTTATCATAGTTCATTAATTCCCCCCTCAGGGTTCTTCACTGGTACAGAGAGAAGATCTACTGTAAGGTAGGCAAAATGTACGCTTTTCATAGCTCTTAGTTAAAGAAAATGAAGGAATTGTTGGCAGGTATGTTCTTCCCATACTTTGTCAAAATTGAATTTTGGCTTTCTCCTAAATCCCAGGGCCCATTTGTTCGAAGGCTAATAAGCGCTAACCCAAGATTAAATTTTAATCTGAGTTTCTTCATTCCTATATTAAAAAGCATTTTTGGGATAATTTCTTGTGTTCCTTTTAGAGCATCAAGTAGTCGTATTCTAGACAAAAAGAATTCGTCTGAATTTTTTTTTAAAGCTATCAGATCTGAAATCAGATTTCACACTAACCCTGGGTTATCTTAACCCAGTTTTGAACAACCCGGCCCAGTTCTGCAAATAATCTTCCAACAGGAATAAGTTAAAAACCCTGGTTTGTTGTTTGACTTCCTCCTAAGACAATTACAGTGAATAGTAATACATGTCTCAATTTCATTATAGTGAGGGGCTTGATATTGATCTGTACACAACAGAAATTCACTCCTTGTAAATTATTTTCACAGGGCAGCTGGGCCATGCCAGATTATTCTCCTCCGTGAGGAAAACTTCCATGATGCCATTAACCAGGTTTATTTTTTTTTTATCATTGAATTACAGGTAGTTTCTTAGAGGTCAATTAAAATTCCAAATTCAAGTTGAATTTTTTTTCCACAGTTCTCAGGGGAGGCAACATTACTCCAAGAGCTGAGTGTGAAATGGAAACAACATGTAAACCAGAGAGATAGCACACTGTATTCAAAGTACATGGGAGCATTAGATCTGGAGGTTTGATTCGTCTTGTGGATGTATGATACTAGTATCTGTATGTAACTTTTGTATCTTTCTCCCAGTCTCTAGCCTCCCAAACACAGGTAATTGTTAATACTGTTCCTCAGGCGAGAGGAGATAAGTGCAAGGGGCAAGGTCTTTGTCTCCACTCCTTGAGGGGTCTTTCCTTTCACATATACCCTAACCAAGAAAAGCCTTAATGACCCATGGTATTGGAATTGACCTAAAAACCTTTGTGAACTTTGTTTTCAGATTTCTTTAAAGATTGATCCCACAGTATTGAATCTAGATGACTACCTACTAGGAAGGAATTGATTAAACCAGATTATCAAATCATTGTCTTTCACCAATAAATTGCCACAACGTTTTTTTTTTCGATATAAATGAAAAAATTAAATCATTTTCTTTTCTCTTCAGATATTGAGAATGACCTTAAAACAGGTAAATGATAACTTCAAATTAGAGAGAAGTACTTTTACGTGTATAGTTTTATTGTAGTCCAAAGTCACAAAATATATTTTCCAACTTCCTGTACATAAATAAAATAAGGAACAGCACTTAGCTGTTAATAGCAGATCATAAGATCTTTGTAACGAAAGCCCAGAGCCATAGATTTCTGTTCGAATTTAGCAATGCAGAATGACTGATGTTCAGCTCTCTCATCTGTCACTGATTTGCCAAAGGTTCAATGCTTAGGTAGATTCTCATGTGGGTTGAGATTGTTGTTGGTTGTAGCCCTTGTTGGAACTCTCCTTGCTGGGGTCCAGGTATTTTCCTCTCTCTACAAAAACCAACACCCCATGACCAAAATGCAATTATATATACCATATTTCCTTTAGCAAGTGCCTGGGTGCTTATTTAAATCTTCGGCTAAAAGGATAGGAGCTCGCTGGAAGTGAGGGGAATGCATCTTAGAAACTACTAACCTGAACTGATTCCGCTTATTCTCTCCACAGACAGAAGAGTTCAAAACATGCCCGGCAGGATTCCTTTACATTCTTGCGTTATCCATGACGATTAAAGAAGTTCCAGCTGGCGAAATTGTTCTTACAGAGAGAGAGTACCAAGATGGCAAGTGCGCTTTAGTATCAATGCAGCTTGATGATTTATATTAAACTATAAGACCGTATATACGGTTGATTTTGATGACCCTAAAGGTGCTGCCGAGTTTTGAGTATTCTCTTACTGCGCAAACTTGGTTGATTTCAATAGGACAGGCAGAAAATTTACGATGTTTTAAAACGCACGTGCAGGGCGCTTGTTATGCTCATTAGACTTTTCGTTTCATCAAGTTCTCGTTTCCCTCTCTGTTGTGGTTTGAGTGAGGTATCCAGAGTTAGGATAAGCAAGGAGCGCCAAAGAAACCACACATCTATCACTGACATAACTTGGTCTTTGCCTTTTTAACGTTCACTTTTTAGATTGAAAAATGCTCTGTGATATCACGGCAAGATTGGCTCGACTTTTTTTTCTTCGTTTTCTTTAGGTAGCACGTTATTTGTTGTTCTTCAAGGAAGTTCAGTTGTAATGGATGGTGACATGTCAACCTCACACTCGGTGGAACTCAAACAAGTCTTTTGTAAGTGTATGGTTACTATTCTTTTTCTTTCTTTTTTTTTTCCTTTTTCCTGTGCTACAAAAGGATTGTATAAAAATATTTCATTAAAATCACAGAACAGGCAAGATTACTATCCGCCGGTAGAGAAATGAGCGCACGTTACTCCCTCCAAAGTTGTTCCTCGGAAGGACCAACGACAGAATCCAAGAAAACGGCGCAAATCGAGCCTTGTTAAACCGCGGATCGAATGTTCGTGTTCGATTCTTAGCCGAGGTTATTGTGTACTTGGGTACCAGCAAACCGTCACTGAAATCTTACAAAATGTTGGGGGAATCACTTTTGATGGTTGGCTTCTGATCCGGGGGAAGTTAGAGTGGTCTCAGTCGCTCCTGCATGAACTCAGTCAGTTAATATTGGCCAACCTTATTAGTGGAATTGTTAGAATAATGCTTTATCATTTGTCTTATCTATCCTGCTTTAGGGAAGAACGACACAATGCCTGTGACCGGGTGGGTTAAGGCGGTAGAGTTATGCGTGGTGTCCTTTCTTCCAGAGGAGGCAGTGAGAGAAGCGCGCAACACTTATCCTGATGTAGCGCTGCTCAGACCTTGAGAGAAACCATTATGGCTTTAGAACTGGGAGTACACGTCCAACTGTTTTCAGTCATCGTATGCCCTCTCAACTGCAAATGGAAATCATCTTACCGTTGTGACGCCAGCCGCGGTTTTGATTGTCTACGAAAGTCGGCCTCTGTAGAGATCCGTTGGACAATCAGCGCCCTGAATCGCGATCGTTCTGGTGGAAATGGCGAAAGTTTTTGCGACTAAATTTGGAGCGAAAGTCGCCAATTGTCCACTCTCGCTTGATTTTCCAGCGACAAGTAACTGAAATAGGCTGCTATGGCCACGAGCGTTTGGGCTTACAAATCGTGTAATCGATAAATAGATTCTAAGCTACGAAAGTGTTGCAAGAGACGCATCTGAGTCGGTCACTCATGTGCCAACCACATTTTGACGTCTTCTCTGATCTATTACTGTACAGACCCGCAGCAACATGGAATCTATTTGTTTTATTTGACAAAGAAGCAAAATTTGTAGATGGTGACAGCATCTATGCGTCTATCCTCTGATAAATCATGTGTAAGAACCGATCAAAATGCGTATATAATTAAGCTTATTATACAGCTAAATATCATTCGCAGACGACTGCGAGACACCTACCAGAATTTGCAAGCTGCGGTATCTCGCTAAAAAAATAGCTTAGGTAGAGATCTCGTTTATATACCTACCAAAGTTTGTATTGTAAGCATAGATTTACACATGTACATATGAAAATAAAGCAGTCAATATCTGTCATTCAACGTCATCACCTTTTATTCTTCTTCAACACCCATTTCTCGATTCCAGAGATTCCAACCCTCCCGGTTGGACCGGAACCTCCCATTTTTTGAGATCTGTTCCGGCCTCCGTTTTCTTTCAATATTCTCACTAAAAACGTCGTGATCAACATCCAAAGTGACTCCATCGTGAGACAAATGAATAAAGTTCATTTCGTATCTTACACCATGATGAACAATAACTACATATTTTATTACAATATTCTCACTGTTTTTAAACTTTCTTAGATAATGTTTTCCATTCTTCACAATTCCTTCTAGAACGATCTCCTCGTTTTTCTGAAGTATCTTGGGCTTCAAACTGCATAGGAGGCTGGCTAAAAAAAATTGAAGAGTACCTGCAGGAAATCTAATTTAAGGCACAGCAACTACAGCTTAAGCTAATTAATATCCCTTCAGGATAGCACATAAGTGGAGTTCTTAACAAGTTTTTCTTATAGTTTGCTTTATTAGCCACAGCAGCGAAACTGAAAGTATTTTCAAGACCACCTAGCGCCCTGTGGATGAAAAGGTTCTAGACAATGAGAAGGTTAAAATGAATAGACTGACAAGTAAAGATTAAAATTGTAAATCAATGAAGCCCCGAACCTTGACCAAACGTCTTTGAATACTTGTGCAACACTTCCACCGCAAGTAAGCGCTATTATGATATTAGGGAGCCTCTGGCTATAAAAGAACAAAAGCCGCCATGCATTTGTTGACGTTCCTGCGCCAGTCACGCATAAAAACCATGCGTAGATAAGATGCGCAGTGCCAGATTCTGCTTTCTTGTAAATTTAAAGTGCAATCGAGAATTTAGACTATTACTTAGCTTCGAAAAGGTGAGGTGTTTTTCTCTAAGATTTTCCCTCAAAGATAATGAGCATCTCTGTAACAGCCATGCAGTTTGGATGGTGGTGGGGGGCGGGGGGCGTTGGTCATGATCACAAAGTGTTATCATTTAAATCTTGTGAAAGATGATTTGATGTTGATGCGTCTAACATATGTTCTTTCAATCTTTGCCTTTAGTTCGACGGGACGTCGAAACCTGAAGGAGCGTGATATCACTACATCGTGTAGCTAAGGAAAATATGAACAGATCAGTTTGACTTTTTGTCGAGGCTCTTTTAAAAAGGTAGAAGAGTTTCTGTACATTTAATCATTCTCTGATGTGCTTCATTACTGCACATCATTTATTATGCATGCATGCAGCTAATTGTAGATTTGAGTCTACAATGCCGTATTATGGAGGTGACTGCTCGAGAGGAAATATATTCTCGTAAGTAATTGGGCGCAATAAGCTACTTAAACTAATATGAGAAATCACTTTCTCCCAACTAGTGTGAGCCTCGTTCAATAAGTATGAGTGCGCGCCAAAAAAACTGGGTTAATGACAGTACACAAAGTCGAGACTCGCTGGTTAAAGTTTTTGCGTGAACAAAAGAACATTAAATTAAAAAAAAGTCACTGTAGTGGTGCGATGGAAACCCCAGAAACTGCACATGAGAAAATAGGTACATATATGTGGGCAGATTGTTTCTTCGCTTTGCATCAGTTTTTTTTTTTATTTTGATGCATCAAATGATCGTTTCTCTACCGTCTCTCGTCATGAAATATGTCGAAAAATAACTCGCACTTTTATACCTGGATGACAATTTATGCTTTATCAAAGTGCTTGCTGGGAATAGACTTTGACCAGTTTGATTATCTACTTAAGCTGCAGCTAATCAAACTGTGCAGTACAGTGGTTTAAGCCCGAAAAGCTCCACTGGAAATCCATTACTCCTCACGATTTACGTAACGTCTCTCGTGCAAACACTCGTCTTGACTTGTATGATATGGTTTTTTCCCGACTCTGGCGATCCACCGACCCACTAACGCTACCGACAGAGTACATGGACTTACTGAACCTTTGCCTAAGGTCAACTAACTTCCAGTACAACAGTAAACTCTAAGAACAGTTACACAGTACAGTCGTTAGGTTTCCGCTTTCTGCTGTTGTGGCAGAAATTGTGAAGCAGAATATCGAGGAACGCGCCTTTTCGACTCGCCGACAATCGATACCGCTCTAGCTACGCTACATTGACGAAACACCGCCGCAAGACACGACGAAATCGATGCATTCAACCACCACATTAACGAAAAAACACTGACACACAACAGTTTACCAGAAGACATGGTTTGAATGGGGGCCTACATGTTAAGCATCTGGAATATCTATGCAGTTTGGACCAGGGTGTTTTGGTCATCGAAAAGTGTCATGATGTAGCTCTGGTGAATGATGATCTGATTATGTTGAGTCTTCAATTTCAGGTCACCTTTTGACAGGAACACGCTTAAACTTCCCGAACTCAACTGGGACGTGATACTGCTACAGCTTTAAGGTAAGGAAAATGCAGACAGAAAAGTTCAATTAACAATCGAAGCTCAAGCGACAATAGCCACTATTACCAGATGACACATACACAGATGTCCCCAAAACTAGGCTATTCTGGTTGAAGTACATTATACTGGTAATCATTAAACCTAATACAAACGTTGCTGACTACTCAGTGGAGCGGGGCTAGTCGAGTCTCGGGTTTTGCCTTGAAAACGCAGCTCTTGAAAAGTGATGCGTTTGTTTTCAGTATATTCTCTGTTCTGTAAGCTATGCCTGCGACTTTTTATGTTCCTGAATGCCAACAAAAGGGAGGAAATTCTTCCGCAGGAGAGAATGTTTGGTTTTTTTTAGATTCCTTGGTAGCCCACGGGGAGAAGACAGTAGATCCATGCAATTCGTCGATACGAAGGAAAGGAGTTTGCCACCGATCGTAGGGGGGAAATAAGTTTGTTCGCTACATTTTAGGCGAGCAGATATCAGAAAATCTTTAAACAGACGAGTTTATGTTGTCGCCGATGGTGTTCCAATAAGATTTTCTTAGTCAGAACCTTCCCCATAGAAAAGAAAAACTCCTCCTGAAAGACAACTTCAAAGTTGGCATCCTTCATTGAGGCCATTTTGTTGCTTCCTATACTTGCCCGGCCTGCTCTTCAGTGTAATGCTAGGGCACATTTTTCGCGTTCTTATGACCGTATTTGGTTAAACGTCGTGGTTGTGGAATAATAAAAGCATAGACGTTAACCTTCTCAAAAAAATTGGCCTAACACATTCAATCATCCGAGCTCTACTTTTCGAGTTTTGGAGACTCTTTTTGTCCCCTTGGAGTTCTATAAACGAAAACCAGAAGTATTTAACTTATTGTGGCAAATTCTTCGGCTAAAGCTTTATCATCGTCGGAAATCTTGGAAAAAAACTGTCAGTGCGCTTGCGTATCTCAATTTCCTTGCATATGGATATGTGAAAATCACTCGCAATTACATTTGCGTGTGTACTTGCATCGAACGTGTGAACCAGGTTTTATGATACACTAAATCACCCTCTTTGTACATATACTGATTTCTATTATTGTTATTATTATTTCTCTATAGATCCTCGTTGCTCGCTAAGAAGGAATAATGGATAATTGCTGGAACAAGCTACCGACATTTGAGCCCTCTCTAGTGAAAAAGGGTCTCGAGCCACACGAGTTTGAAAGCATTCTTCTTTCCAAAATTTCCAAAATATTTGAACATCAAGGTGCATTCGTAGATGATCGTGTAAGGGAAGCTGTAACAGAGCTAAAGAGAGACATATGTATTCGAGAGAATAGAACAAGTGACACTCTGGACCAAAGGAGTAGACGCGCCATACAGAACTACCTCGACCACGAAATATTACCAAACCAGCATGAAACCCCAATGCATTTGAGGAATAGTACTGGAGGACAACGTGGTATAACTAGGTCAGACCGAGTACAGATTAAATGTTATCACAGCGAGCAACATAAATTATTTTTTAAAGATGAGCTATTAGGGAGGGAATTTCGCGATCTTACTCCTTCGATCAAGAACGAGAAGGGCTTCTTTTTTCATGAGAATGGCGATAAATTTAAAATAGAAGAAGCCTGTCGTGTTATTGATAAATTTACTTGTAAGTTTCTTCGATACTTGATCCTATTACAGCCTAACGGTCAAGTTCCTCCCGAAGAGTGGGCGCCGCAAAACATCCCGCAAATTCGTTCATATTGCAGACTTATAATACTGCGAAGGAGTAGTGTGGATTGGGCAACCCCAAATGATCTGCTGAATAATAAAGACCATAATGAATGGAAAAATCACGTAATGATAGAAATGTCATATGCAGCACTTGTAGTGGTTCTAGACATAATACTTAAGAAGCAACAGTCGGTGACGCTCCCAAAGTCTCGGCTATGACCCTGGTGTGTGATGTATACAGTCTTTCCTAAATTAATAGGATCTGCTTTTGTTCATTGCAGTCGTTATTAAGTCATTCTTACAGTTCAATTTCGGGTTTGAATTGCACCCTTGTTATTAGCGTTTGTGACGAATTGTCAGTTTAGAGAGGTGTCCTGTTTGTCTGCTTTATCCTCGTTAATGGGAACTTGATCAAATACATTACATGGTACTCCAACGCATGATCATAGATTCTAATGGAAAAGTTGTAATTTCTAATTAGATAAATCAGTTGCAAGCCGTTGGAGAGTCGCCGAGTATTGAGGCTAAAGTGATACAGCGAAACCATTTTAAATTCTAGTGTAATTTTGGTCAAAAGGGTCAACACGAAAACAATGTATAGCTTAGCGTTAGCTTATTTTATTTGTTCTTGGAGAAAAGACTGAGGAAATAATAAATTGTAGAATACTAAATAAAGTAAGGATGATTTTCGTAATCTCAATAGCCTTTATTTTTGTTCACATGATTAAATTGAGAAAGAGGGAGGACACAAAAATATCTTTCGTCTTGTCACGAGCGTGGGACAAAGAAAAAGTTCTGAGTTCCCATGAGGAATCGAACCTCAGACCTTTGGATTCCGCGCTCCGATGCTCTACCAAAATTAAAACTAAAACTTCTCTCACTTTCTGTTAAGAACGTTTTAACGCTGAATGATTTGATAAGCAGGGCATGCAGGGCAACTTTGGCCTTTACTCAAAGAACATGTCTCAGTTTGCTTTGCTTTGTATTAGCTAAGTATTGTTTTCCTTAACCAGAGACAAGCTATTTCCCGATGGGAGGCGAGGCATAATGCTGTTTTAATGAGGGGTAAAAACGTTGTGGGAGCTTGAGTGAACAAAAATACCATAAAGGGCTGGGAAATTAGAGGGAAGAGGATCAAATCCAATTCATTGTTTCAACAAAGGGCGTCAAAATTGCCGTTGGTAACAAGGGTAAAGCAAGAAAGAGTTATAATGGTCTCATACAAATTTTGGTCAGTATTGATGAAAACTTCCTCTTTTGATCACCGATCATACATGTTCCTCTCCTGAAAAAATTAAACGGCTTTTGACTGAGCTGTAAATGAAGCGGAAATGTAGTTCACTTCGGTGTATTTTAAACACAATTCGTGAAATAGGAAATAGCTCTTTGTATTTGACAAAAAAGTGTTAATTTTTTGAACAAACAGAGTAGTTCTATAGTTACATAGAATGAATGGTTGAATGAGCAGCGATGACGTTGGTAAGTGTAAGTCCTGCTTAGCCACTGTAGAGTGACACCTTGAATTATGCAGCAAATTTGTTATCATTCATCGACAGAAAGTGAAAAGTCCTTTATAGGGGAGACCATACTCCAAAACCCTTTGCAAATGACAAGTTGTTATATTTTTAGGTAACTTAGAATGGGTAAAGGTACTCCACGAAGAATTTCAAAAGGCCTCAAATGAGCTGACAACAACCAGAATAACCCTGGAAAGGAAGTTTGCATCTCGCATTTGAAAAGATTGGCAATCGCGCAGGAAAAAAAGAGAAAAAAAGAAAGGTGAAAGAATTAAAAAAGAAGATTTTATAACAAAGAGCATAATTGCTGCTCGAAAAACTCACCTTAAGAGAACTAACTGGAGAAGTTTTGGATGCAATCAAAAATAAAAATAGTTTTACAAGCATCGCAACCATCAATGCTAAGTTTACCAGGAAATTGGTCAACATCTTCATCTCTACACTTTTCGATAGCTGCCAGAAAAAGGCGTTCTTGATAAAAACATTGCCCATAGCATGCAAGCAATGGTATTCACTTAAAACGAAAAAAGCACTAAATAGTCATCCTTCTGTTGTTGCTTTTTTTTCTTTGATATGACGGTGTGCTGCTGCGTCAATCGAACGTCCTCCTTTCGGGGATGCCTCCCAGTAATTATAGAGATTTTGAAGCGTTGAACTTACTGAAGACTTAAAATTTTTCGAGTAGCACGTTTAAGACACAAGCACAACTATTGATAACTTCATTATATTCGATTGGGTCTGAATAAGAAAAAAGCTTAAAAATACAAGATCATCAGAAAAGTAGTAAATTTATCCCACCGCTTCAAAAATAATAATTTTTTCATCCTTTATTTTCATGGTTCCCCCCTTCCCTCCCTCCCCCCTCAGTGCCTGTCAATCAGGGCTGATCACCCCGTCTGTTCACTTGAAAATCATGTTCCCTCCCCAAATTTTTCTGCCTTTTCCTTAGTCTTCCTCAAAACGTTTGTTCTTGATGTCACGCAAGTCATTCTCTACCACACCAATGCTCTCTAGTAGTGAAAATTTAAGAACTTGTTCATGCTTAGCATGCGTGTATCGAGTTATGGATGCACGCGGGAAGTTTGAAGAGCACGAAAAATGCGTAAGAGTAGCTCGAGGCGCAGCCGAGAGCAACTGTAGCTTTTTGAGTGCTCTCCAAACTTCCCAAGTGCATCCATAATTCGATATACGCACAGCTAAAAGCATGAGCAAGTTCCTTTATAACAGAGCGACAATGAACAGAAAATGCTCACGTCATCTTATTTACGCACGGGCGTGCGTAAATAAAGATTTTGTTCATAGCGGCTCAATAGGCCTTACATAGGGCAAGCACGCGCGCTATGTTATAAAACTTGTTTTCTCTATAGCTCGTTCCGATTCTTGCTCGTTCCTAAACAGTGCCTAGAAGAGGCTCTGGTAAAGCAAACACAATTACGGTCAATCAAAATGGATTTCTACAATTAATGTTATTACTTCGTTTTGAAAGGAGACGATGGTAAGTGCTATACTATGTTGAATGCTTAAAAAAATGATTTTTTCAACAAACTATCAAATATACAATAGGCAAAGGCGAGTGGAAAAGCTCGACTACAGACCATCTCTGAAAAACGTAACACGTCACTGAGTAAAATGTATCTTTAGTGACGAAACTGAAAATCATAAATATGACTATTCCTATTTTTTTATTATCTGGACCACTCAGCTCAGTCCCCAGGAATCTGGATAATCAAGGTTGGACTGTATTGGGACAATGCTGCCAGAAGTTTTTGACTATATCTGCACAATGCTGCCAGTGCTTCACCGCAAATTTTGTAAAAAGGGTTCAAAAGTTTTCTACGAATTTTCCCAAACCCCGAAGGACAGGCTTGGCTAATTGTTTGAGGCATCATCTATATTCTTCCACCTGTACTTGCTTTAGAAAAAACCTTACGGCTCACCGAAAAAAAAAGGAAAAAAATTGAAAGAAAAATAATGTGACGAAAATTCTTGAAATAAGTTCACTTTGAGTAAAGCGCTAGAACTAAATGCATGCTTTCGTTGATATGTTGACAGTACAGGATGATTCTAAATACTGATCAAGCTAGGAAATATTCACAAAAAATTAGACAAAAAAAATTATGTGTAACATCTTTTCCGTAAGAACTAGTAGCTAACTATAATGGTAATTAGCAAGATTCGAAGTCACGAAAGAGTGTGAACTGAATGACAATGGAACAGTTTATAAAGATATTTATTTGAATTTTTTCTGAGATTCCGTTCTTTTTCTTACATATAATTAAAACTACATTGAATATTATTCAAATTATGTTCGACGAAAGTCGAACATAATTTGAATAAAAGTCATGGTGCGGGTTAAGTTTAGAACTCTAATCTGTGTTTGTTATAAATTATTTATCATAGTGTTACAACAGTTCCATTATTAACTAACATTCGGCGCGTATTAAAGCCAGCATAACGAAAAGGCAGTCATTGAAAAGTTGCTATTTCAAGAAAGGCATACGTACCAGAAAACTTGTTTTGGCCGCTGTAAGCAATCTCATTTTTCGTCTCTCCTTACAGAATCTTTATCCGATTTTGCAGCATATTTTCTATTTTAATATAAATAAACAACCTTTACAACGTATCTGCAAGAGACATTGGTAAAATTATCTAAAAAAGAGTTTGTGGAAAAAAAACCATCTGCGAGTATATTTTGAACTAATGAGATTGGTTGTACGTTGGATGATTGGCATCTGTTAGCTGGCCAATGGCGGCCCTCGATTGTAATAAGGTTTGCACATTTCTCCGCTCCTTTATGTTTTGTTGGGTACCCTGGAAACTCGATTGAAACCCAGCAGCACGATTTTCAATAGATTTTTGCCGCAGAGGTGAACTGAATTATTAGATTCGGTATCAAGCTAGAAATTGAATTCGATAGCCGATCACAAACGGCAAGGAAACTCTAATTCTTAGAGAATTCATTTAAAATCAAAGACAGCTGCCTGGAAGAAAGGTATGAAATATGTTTGTGTTTCGAAGGTTAACGATATAATACAGATATTTCGCTTCATTGAAAATATCTTCATTTCGGAAGAAGTCTACACTTGATTTAGCTTGTACCCGGCAGTTATGAAAAAAAGCACTGGCAGGCCAGCTGGTATCAATTCGTTGGAGTAAAATCTGTATTTGTCAATCGACTTTCACTATTTTGTATCATGTATTCCTCAGAATTTATATAAATGATAACAAAGCATAGAGTTCGTAGCACATGTTTGACATATCAGTCAAAGCCGAATGGTGGCGACTTCTCGAATTGTTTACAAATTTTATAATCGTGTTAAAAGTAGTAGCAACTGGATCGGTGCAATCAATAAATGTACGATTTATTTAGATTCAGTTCTTTGCATTTGTTTCTATATGTCTTTTTTAAACGGACGTTTGAGACAACTGAGAACTGAAGCTGATGTATAAGACAAGAACTTTTCACAGCAGATAACGTGTGGCTCCCGCAAACGTATTCCTATAGTCAATTTGAGTTCCCTTATCGGCTTTTTAATCATTCACCGTTACACTTATCACATCGCTTCAGTGGAAAAAAATGTAAGGTAGTGTTAATATTATTTTTGTACGCACTTTGCTAAAGTAACAGGTTAGTGTTTGGGTTAGTTTTGTGCTGAAAGCAGACTGAGGTGAATTTCACCAGTAGTACAAAAGCGCACACAAACTAGGATTTTTCGTTGCTATAACTGAGGACGATGATAAAGAAGTTTCCGTGGTCTCGTTGTCACGATTACTGTGTAATGATTTTAATTGACGCACTAAGCCAAGCGATTGTTTGAAAACTGAGCGGAAACCAGTTTGTTTCGAATAGAAAAGTCCAGCCACACCAAAATTTTAATATGAAGTCTTCACAGCGGGTAATACAGATTTCTCAGAGGGCATAATTCCAATTCTAAACTGAAAAAAAATAAACAACTGAATGGGAGAAGGAAAATACGAAGTTTTAGAACTTTTTTGTTGAAATGGTGTTTAGTTTCAGGAAAATTTTTTCATTATGCATTGTTGTTTTCAATGAATCATGTTTTGCATACAAAAGTATTTCCGGGAAGATTTTATTTAAATGCATTTAAATAAAAAAAACGTTTTAGAGTCAGTAGAAATAAAGTAGTATTTTGGTTTTGTTTTAGATTTCTAAAGGGCACGCATATATTTACTTAACTAATGAAAAGAATTTTTGCGCCGGGATTCACATGTTTACATTTTGAAAGCAATTTTTGTTAAATTAAGTCATTTCTAAACAGAAACAGAATGTTAATTGACTTCATTCTTATTCATGAAAATGCAGCAAAAAAAGCTGGGAAATAGGAGAAAATAAAAAATAAATTCGCTTTATCATAAAAAAAGGGATGAAAAGGAATTGAAATTTAAAATAAAATATGTGGAAAATTGCTCATACAGCCAACTCGAATATTTCACAGTTACCAAATTGCACTTCCATGAAATGCATTGTTTCACCAAATGTTTTCAATTCAGTCTTAAACTGAAAATATTAAGCGACGCGTGTTCCATTTAGTGAGCTATCACTTGCTCTGAATTTCAATATATAACTGGTGGATAATGACGAGATATTCGCAATTAAATGTCGACTGTTCGCAAGAAACGATACATTCACCACTCGGAAAGTTATCACACGGTTTATATCTCTCAATATTGAGGATATCAATATATCCATGGTGACTAACATTACAAAGAAGTTCTGAATAACATCTTAAGCTTCTCTTTATTCAGAATTTGGGAACACCTTCGAAAGTTCCTTTTGTAAGATAACCCGGTGACTGAAAAGACGTGTTCTTTGGTATTCAACACTTCATTTTTGAAAAATACCTGGTGTTATTCCAGACCAATACACATACGTCATTTGTGCAATTTCAAAAAGCTGTATGATATATTGCTAAATTCGAAGCACGTAAATCCCAATTCTCGTGCATTCAGCTGAGAAAAAACTCAGGGGAATATCATTTAAAACCCCATGTACCTGTAGGCTTTTTGTTCATTTTAAGTTTTGATCAGAGAGGCACTCTGGTATGTCTTTAAAAGCTAGTTCATTGTTATCGCAGATTACGGCCTTGTAATATCCTTGGTAAATAGAAAAAACGCATATTTGATAAATTTCCGGGATTTGTTGATGGGATATTTAAAACGATCATCATGTCAGAGTGTAATTTAGTGGACGTATAAGCAATCCCTAGACAATAAATAGCGAACAGAATATTACCTGACAGCATCTGAAGCTGGCAACATCTGTGATTTTTGTTCACGCTGTGGAAGCCGAGCAGTTTGAGAGATCGAAATTGACTGATAACTTTTTTGATAAAATTGAAGCTGCTATTTTAAGCCAAGTTACTTACAATACAATCATCTTGTAAGAATTCAAGAGGAATAATTTTGCTATTCCTTTATTTTGCATCAATCTGGTTGGCAACCTGTTAAATGTTATTGGCAACCATCGTATTAGCGCGCGGAAACTTTAGAGGTTAGTTGCACGTTTGTCTCGGAGGATTCATTGTTTCGTCGACTTGTTTGCGCGCACTACATATATCTGCCACGAGAAGTTCGCTTAAATCATTCTTTAAGTCAGCTGTCCTCTAGCATATAAAGGTAGCGAGCGAGGAAATTTCCTCTGTGCTTTAATGGGCACTGTATTCTTCTCATTTCAATTGTATGATATTTTCATCCTCTAATAGGTGTTCCCGCCAATGCCCAACAGAGAGATGTAGGAGAATGAAAGGGCTTTCGAAACGGGAATTCAGCTCCAAAATATAATCTATTGACTAAATTATGCTGACTCAAGTACACCCAGTTCCTCTAACGGAAGAAAATTTGAAGAAACACCAGAGAGAAACGACGTCAAATAGGATATCTTTGAGGGACACCAAAAGAAGATCCAAAAGTGGAAAAAGCCTTCGTTCCGCTGGCGACGGTGAGAGTATCAAGTTTTATAGGGAAGAAGCGCTAAATGCCTCACTTGATGAAAATCAAGGTTGCGAAAAGAAAAAGTTTTCAGAAGGGGAATCACCAGGCGATTCTGCGACGAATTTTGCTGAAGACATGAATGAAGAAAGGAAGACAAACTCCAAGCCGGAAATTGCCGCCAAAGAGGTAGAGATTAAGCCAAAAGCTGATAGTTCAGCTCTAACTGAAAAGGAAGAATTGTCCGAAGGAGAGGAAGGCGATAAGCCTTCTGACAACATTGCTGCAAACGAGGCAGAAACTAATCCAAAAGGTGATAATTCAGCTCTTATTGAGAAGGATGTATTGTCTGAACAAGAAGAAGGTGTTGAGTTTTCTCAAAAGGAGAAGGGAAGCCATGAATACGACGGCGAGAACGCTGATGAATCTGAGAAGGAACTGGGTGAAAGCGAACAAGAAGGTGAGGGTGACGAAGATGATAATTCTGATGAATCTTCTGATGAATCTAGTTCGCTTGATAGCGAAAGCGATGTAGTTACGGCTGTAGCCAAAAATGACATTAAAAACGCTGAAGACACAAATGAAACAGGTACATCTACTCGATCATCTTCTCCAGTGGGTGATGAAGATGACGAAGACGATGACTATTCAGTTGATGACGACGATGACGAAACTGAGGACGAAGAGGAGGCTGAAGAAGCCGAAAAAAGTGAAGACGAGCTGACTCACTACAGTAGCAGCTTGAACGCAAGCGTAAGTAGCATCCCTACTCTTTGTGACGACAGGGAAGAGAGTCCTGAATCACTCAACAGTTCCGCAGAAGAGTCACCTCGAGAAAGCCCCGGCCAAGAAAAAGGCGAAGGTGAAGGACAGGATCAAGAGACTGAAGCTGCCAGACATGTGATAACTGAAGGAGATGAGGTGAAAGTAGATGAGGAAGAAGACCCTGTAGCTGAAGATTTACATGCAGATAAAGAAGAAGAAAGGAGTCATAACACCCCTCCGGATAGTAGACAGGTCAGCGGAAGGTCGGCAACACCCCGGACTGTTGCGGTAAGCGAGTTTGATGATGTAGAGAGCACGATATTTTATCGCCGAGAACTGAGCCGACAGGGCAGCAGCTCACGGAATGCTTTAACTTCATCTGCGAACAGTAGGAGATCTGATGTGTCAATCAAAAACTGGGCTGAGTTTGGTGAGCGTGGCCGTGTGACTAGTAACGTGGAAGAGGTGACAGAAGTTGTTGATTGTTCGATGAAAGACAACGTTCGCAAACGATTGATGACCAGAAAAATGCGCAATGCTAAGCAAGGAAAGACGAATATAGACAAAACAAAAGTAGTTAAGCAGCAGCCTGCTTTACAAAGAACGGGGAAGAAAACTGGTGATATTCATTTTAAGGGGAGACCTCAGTTAAAAAAACAGAGCTCGCACAGCAGTGATAATTCCGACGTGTTAAACACACGACAACAAAAACTTATTCGCAGAAAACGAAGACCAGTGAAGCAGGTTTCCTTTGACAATTTTAACATTCAAAACAGCACCAAAATATCTACAAGTGATTCTGCTTTCTTTGGAAGTCGAACTGAAAGTAGGGGCGACGAAAAATCAAGCACAAAACCTCCAGAAAGCGAGCACAGTGGCAGAGTTAGCAGCCGGTGGACTGGTGCGGAAACCGAACGCGTTTCGTCTACAAGTACACGGCCTGTAAGTACGGTCCAGTCTCCACGCAGTAATTTATCGACAAGTCAGCGCTCTGGGCAGACATCTATAGTTGATGTAATGACAGCTGTCAATTATCCACCGGCTGTAATCTATGGAAAGAAGTCGCATCTTCCTTCTATGCGTCCTCGGCGACATGGTAAGGGGAAGACGTTTGATCCTTTTGATTATTAAATATTTTATCGGGCCAAGAGAACATGATTTGCTAGAAGTTACCCCTCAAATATACTCCTGTCTCGATTAACTCGATATTTTGGGATAAAAAAATAAAAAAGGTCCAAAAAATTGTCATGGGGATCATTTCTCGTTCCATGTTCTCTTGTTCTGAACCATTGACCATTGTTGGAACGTTGCTCACTTTTTTTATTCAGTTCGTCAGTCTCATTTTTCAATTTGAAGAGTAAGCAAGAATTAGAAAATACTATAGTCTGATAAATATTGAATATGGCCTCCAAATGGTTCTATTTTTTGTCTAACAAAAATACAATACAAAGGGAAAAACTATTCTCTCAGAGGTGCAACGATGAATTTAAGGATAAGCTTTCTTAATGCTGAATTCGAAGAACTGAAGATATTAGATGTAATACCATTTTTTTAAGAAATTATTCCAAAAAAATTGTCGGACCCCTTTTGAAGCAACTGAGGCATTTGACCACACACACATGCAGGAAAAAACAAATGGTGCTAAAATTATAATTTGAGTCTTTGAAAAGATTGGTTAAGTTTTTTTTTAATCCGCAGTATCTATCAGAAGGTCACAAGATTGACCCCCGTCGAGAGATCTCGCCATTTGCAATCGCTTGTGTTCTACTACAGTCTCTTACAATCTCTTGTATGTTACTGAAAAAACCGCTTTAACTTAAGCGTTTGTCATAAACGATCAAGATTCTATGTGGCTCTTCTGGTTTCTTCTTACGATCGAGCTTTAGTGTAGATTTGGTATAGGCTTAGTATGTATTTATTTTCCAAGCTAGAAAAAACTAAAAAAAAAGGAAATAAAAACGCTAAATTGAACGATACAAAAAGCGAAATAACACAAGACAAGGCAGGCATCTTAGCGGTTTGTTTGGAACCGACAGAAGCCTGAGCACAAGTTAAGTTGTTTTCGTTTCCGTGACTACGCGGTGTTTTGGCAACCTGACGTCACGGACTCATAACATTCGACTGCCGCCATGTTTGTACTGCTCTGTTAACTACTCACTTAGTGACAGTGAATTTGCACGAGATTGCTGTCGATCGATCGAAGAATTTGTCCTTAAAATACTACAATCGGAACTCTAGAGTCCTGTTATGACTCTAGAATTTGAAAATCCACCGCTTTTGTCAAACATCGCTTTGAATTCGTCCTATAATAATGAGACAGATTTCGGAGCGTTGGATCGAGTGAGATCTAAGAAAACTTCAGTGATTTCTGTGACAAGGAGAGAAAGTCTCCACGCCAAGGAGAAACTACAGGAAAAACGTGAAATGTCCGGCGAATATTCTGACAACTATGATAGTTACGAGGATGATTTTGACAGCCCGAGTCCCACGAAAAATGCAACAAGATCTCGGAGATATTCTTCGAGACGCGAATCAAGAATATCAGAGAGGGCTCGATCAACTTCGAGATCACCGTCTGATTCACCTCCTAAACAACGATCACGATCGAAAAAGGCATCTACAAGGAGGGACTCATTTTCTTCGTATCGAAGTGCATATGGTACAAACAGAGGTAAATTTCCAGTATCCAACTTTTGTTTTCCTTTTTCGGCAATGTGTTTGATGTGGTTTTTAGTCTTATGAAGTCTTGATTTTTGTTTGACATTACTCATAACACTATCGAGTCTCAGAATATTGTGGAAAGTTATTTTTTTTGATTGTCAATACCTGCTATTCACAAAAGGTGTAGAAATCAGTATCCGTTGCAGGCTCTTGTCAATTTCTTGTAATTCAATCGATGTCTGGACGTAAACCAATTTTAAATGGTCCTGGCGAGTTTTTGATATCGAGACCATTAAGTTTACTTATGTTCGCAACTATAATAAAAGCCTCCATGGAACAGCGTTTTAAATAAAAAGGCGCTGAGGGAAATTTGAGGTGGAACGAAAAGCATACATTTTTGTTTGTTTGTACTCAGTACACAGTTTCTACAACACGTCTGACACCTTGCCATACAGTTTCAATATAAATAATTAATTGTAATCAAAGGAGAAAAAAACTCACAGTGTTCAATGCGTTCACAGCTTTTATTTTATAGTTTATAAGTGGCGATTTCATCCTTTCAGGAGACTTTTTGTATTGAAATAAATTAACTGGTCATTTTTTAGTCACTTTTGTTGATTTCTTCTGTAACAAGGATATTTTATATTTGTGTGTACGAACTTGTCTTTGTCCAATATTTTTTACCCAAATTATTCTATGCCAAGTTGTTTTAAGTTTTGCTAATCAAATTTCCAAAACACAAGCTTTGCTATAATGACCTCTGCCATGTGCCAACATACAGTTATACTCATAACTAAATTATTGAAGATTAAGGGAATTTTCCCTTGATCCTCTTACTGTAGGCCAGATCATATCATATTAGGTAATTTTAAAATTCTAGCATAGAAAGAAAATGGAGAAACTGACACAAGGCATCAATGGAAGAATATTAAAAACTTACATGTTGGTTTATCTGATAAAAATCAGGCTAAGTTTAAGGTTGATCAAATTGTTCTTTACTTAAGATACATCATGTACAAAAACCTGCTGATCTGTCTCTGTAACAAATGGTAAATTGAATATATCTAAGGTGTTATGACCTTTCCCCTTTAAGAACAAACTTGTTGTTTAGGTTGAGTTTTTACCTACAAATTTTTCTTACATGTATCTATTTTTTTCCTAATGAATGTACATGTATAAATTTTTTTTTTAATTCATTGGGTCTCAGCCACTTTTACTGTACCATGCTGTGATTAAAATTTTATACCAAGCAGTTATTTGCTATGTGAGCTATGTTTTAAACAGCCATCTATGCAGGTATAATCATCGAGGCCACAGGATTGATTTTATAGTACATCAAGAGCCTATTTTATTTCTACTTTCACTGAGAAGAGCTGAGTGAATTGAATCTATGACTTTTGCAAGATAGTGAATGAAGGGTGATGTTTTTCAGGAAGCTAACCCTAACCTCAGATTAAAGGAAGTCAAAATTCCAAGACAACTGTGAGAAAGAAATCAAGACTTTTAGACAGATTGAAATTTAAATCTGTGAGAAAATAAATTGAGGCGATTGGTCCAAAGTTTCAGGCTGAAATAGTAAATAGCTTAACTTCATTCCCATGCTTATTTTTTGCTACTCTGCATCCAAGATCAATGGTCATAGACTAGACCAGTTTGTCATTTCAAATGTCAGATGAGGCATTTTTGAAATGGTAGTTACCTTCCACTTGCTTTTTTTTTTGTTGTTGTTCTTTGTTTTGCTAATAGGAATGGCAGAAGTGAGAAGAATTAGTATTCAAATAAAACCAGACACTAACATTACTGATGCGTTGATAATGAATCCATAGAAACAAGGGTTGCATTCTATGATTGAGAGGTTGTTGTGTAGGAGATGGGATGTGTGATGCGATAAAGAAGATTTTACTTGACATTGTCGCGTTTACTCACATATTAACTTTACAAATCCCTCCTTTAAATTTAAGTCCTTTTATTTTAAGCTTAAATGGAACTTATCGAATCTTGCTCTTTATCTTGTTATTTATTAAGTAGAAGTACAACATCTCTGTCTTCTATAACCCATAGACCTTTAAGAGTGATTAAAATCTAATTTCTCCTTGTGCTATCGCCCCTGAATCAAACATTAAGACACAAGAATAAAGGAAATGATCACCATCTAAAGATGCTCTTGATTGTTAAAAATATTCTCCTAGACATCATCTTAGGTAATGTATGGTGAAGAGAATGGAGAATATGCATACTGATGTTAGGGTGTAAACATATTTTTTCTTTGTGTCTTTTAGGTGCACCCAAAAATAAACCTAAGAAGAGCCAATCGGCTAGCTCAAAGATGACAACCAAAACCACTGGTGGGGAGAGTTCAATGATGAGACGCGTGTTGTCTGCTAACAAACACAAAGTTTCAAGACTTTACAATATTTTGGAAGAACTACAGCAAGAAGTCGAAGAACTAAAGGACGAGAATAAATCTCTGAAAAGAGTGAGCCATCGACAAGAGAAGCAAATTAAGAAAATCGACGAAGAGGAAGCAAGTTTGCCCATGTTGCTTCAAAGGCACAGCGCAGAGATGCGAACTTTGAAAGAGAGAATGAGAAAAAACCAAGAAGTTTTGCACAAGAAAGAGAGGGAATCTAAAGAAAGAGACGCCGAGATTCAGAAATTGCGTGACAAAGTCAAGAGTTTTCGAGTACTATCACAAGACAGGAAACTTGAAGAACGAGCGGCTTTGGCGAAAAAGTTAGATAACGTCCAGGACGAAATAGCGACAAAAGACAAAAAGATATTGGTAAGTTAGTTTTGAAGACTCAAGGGGAATAAGAAACGAAGGGGGCTTATCAGTGTCGTAAAACCGAAGTTAAGTGATCTAGAGAAATAATATTAACGAAGGAAAATGGTCGGCGTATTATTTAGATGACAGTCGAAAGCATTAGTTTATTCCTTTTGCCTCTCTCTGTTATTGGTCTTTAAACTCCCGCCACCTTCTTAGCCAATCAAATGCAAAATTAAAACTGATTGCGATTGGTCGCGCATGCTTTCCCGCGCTCTAGACAGTTGGCTTGTTTTTGCTTTCGTTTCTCATTGGTTCCCCGTGACATACACTATACATTCCTTCTCCCGATTGGCTGATTCGATCACTTGGAATATGGTTTTATGACTCTGGTTGTCATTGGCTCCTTGTGATATATTTTTTCCTTCGTTCTGATTGTCTGGTGTAGAAAAAAAAAAAGAAAAGAAAAAGAATTCACCATTGAAGAATCTTAGTAGTAACTGTTAAGGTTTAAAATGCATGAAACCCAAATTACAATGTCCCTAAATATAATCAAACTATTAGTAATCTTAAAATAGCACCACTTTTATGCAAACTTTGTTTTCCAGGTGCTTCTGGAATGTTTTTGTAAAATTCACATAGCAACTTTTCAACCTTAATAAGCGTTGGATCGAACAAAAAAAAACCTTTTACCTCACTCCTTTTGTGTCTCCATGACGAAGCTTTTGACAGACTAACTGCCCCCTAAAGCTTATTATGTCAATTGAATTTCCTCCCTAAAAACGTGCTGTCATGAATCGTTAATAAATTAGCCATTAAAATGTATTACTCAGCTGTTTGTTTCTCACGGTTTTTAGGATCTAGAAAAAGCTATCGCTCTTAAAGACAAGGCAAGACAGCGAGAGATGAAGGACCAAAGAGAGCGCTACAAGCAGGCGAAAGAAGAATTAAAACGGGTCCAAGACGATTTCCGCTCGCTGCGAGAAAGATTGAAGGTAATTAATGTTTTTCCACATTCACGTTTTTGTCATGTGAAGGTTTGCAGGAATTTCGCCATGTTTTAACGCTCTTGTCAGCTTGAATGTATGATAAAATTCTACGCCGCATTTCTCTCTTTGGCTGAGAGCGCATTGTGGCAAAAAATATCATTTATGAAAATAAAATGTGTAGCATTTGCTTCATTTTATCAGTGTTGTAGACTTAGCACAAGAGAGGACGGCTTTACAACTTCGCAAAAAATAATCGTCATTAATTTGATGTATTTTACACAAGGAAAAGACCTAGGCAGAAAACTAACGTACAAACTAATCAAGGAAATCGCAATCTGTATGTGTGAATTTTTCGTGCCGCACATGTGGTGTTGAGAAGTGCTTTGTAATTTGTTATAGCATTTGCCTTCGATTTTCTTAGCCACTTGAAAGCACTGAACCCTCACTTTAAGGCGGAAGTTGTTGTCGCTCCTAGTCGGCCTTGATGATATACATGTAGATCGAACTAGTCTGTATTCAATGTTCTATTTATCTTCTTCCTATTCTTTCTTTCCGAGGCATGATATGGTAATTGTCATGCAATCGATGCAACAAAAACGTGATTTCGTCAACAAATTTTTATAAGCTTCTGAGAATGGAAGCATTTTTTAAACAGTTGTGTCCCTGAGAATCCTTTTTCTTTGACATCTGAGACTTCATAGGTTTGTTCAGTGATGTTGCTTCCTTTGTTTCTTTCCTGTCGCGTTGCTCCACGTGTCTTAACGTTGAGCAGTCTATTTTCCCAGTTCACGTGAAAGCTTTTTTTTCCTCTTCACTAGGAAAAAGAGAGAGAATTGGATGAGAAGAACATCTATCATCAACATATTGTACAGAAGAAGAAGAAAGTTCCAAATTTACCAGCACTCCCTGCGGGCAGCCAGGGCATTCATGCACCCGCTATCACTGCTCCAGCGGTTCACATTGAAAAAGCGCCAGATACGAAAGAGAAAAGAACAAATGTATTTTTGACAAATGCGGCGAGCGACTCTGGTTCGGTTGTAACGGATGAAGGGAGGGACACAGATGAGAAGTCTGAAAAAGTCAGCGTTAATCATGAACTTCCCGTGGTTTCTGAACAGACGAGACATGGTGGGGTCCTCCAAGTTGATGGAAAGGAAGACGAAGAGAAGAAAAGGAGAGAAGCTAAGGAGAGAAGGAGACACGAGGAGGAAGTGGAGCAGAGACGGCGCATAGACGAGGAAGAGCGCAGAAGGAAAGAAGAGCAAGAGAAACGAAAGGAAGAAGAACACGAGAGAAGATTGCGAGAAGAGGAGGAACAATTAAGGAAACAACGAGAGGAACAGGAACGAGCCATGAAACAAAAGGAAGAAGAAGAAAAAAAGCGGTTTGATGAAGAAGCTGAGATCAGACGGAAGAAAGATATGCTGCTGGCGCGCATGCGAGCGATTGATGCGGGAAACGAGAAAACAGACACTGTGACTGCAACCAGAGGGACTACTGGTCCCCCTGTGGAAGACAAACCCAAAAAAGTTCCGATTTTCCTCCAGAGCGATAAACCTGTGAAAACTGAGCAGGAGCCAGTGAAGCCTCCAAACGCGGCAAGTTCGGATGACGATATTCTGTCCGATACCAGTGGCGGCAGAAAGAAGTTCAGCGCCAGCTCTAGACAAAGCCGCTTCTCGTACGATTTCAAACAAACTGTAGAAAATCTTCATCATGGTCTCCCTGCGCATGCTGCACAGGAGGGCGTAAAACCAGAGGCCCAAAAATCGGACACGAAAGACTCTCTGTCGGACGATCTAAGTTTTGGTACTTACAAACCTACACTGGGCAGAAGGGCTGCCGCCAAAAGAGACAATAAAGACGATTTGAGTTTTGGAGGGTATAATCCTTCTTTTGGTTCGAATAAAGAGACAGCTCGTAAAAATAGCGGTCTTAACTTTGGCACCGGGAAGAAAAACGCTACTGAAAAAGAACAAAACGGTGTCATCTTTGGGGATTATAACCCTTCTTTTGGAGGGTCGCGTGAGCCAGCAACTTCCAGCCTACCAAACGGTGACATTGGTGGAAAGTCAAGTCCCCCACGTGGTCGCAGACCAAGAAATTATGGTGGTGGAACAGCATCTTTGTTTGACGACGATCTTTTTACAAATGAGGAAGTCAAACCTTCGGGTAATCCTCTGTTTGGAGACAGCTCCATAAAAAAAGACAAATCATCTTACCCATGGGAAAACAAAGTAAATGTTACAAGATCTAACGTATCTCAAGAGGATTCTCTACTGCCTCGCAGGAGACATTTGCAAAGTATCGGAAAAAGCACAGAGAAAAATGTACGCGCTGTAGATAATGCGCTGGATGATATTGATGACGAGATTGAGGAAGTTATTCTATAATAAAGAGTTTTACAAATTATCTAAATTATAATATACATAAGTATTTAAGAGACGCGTTACCTTCGCGCAGAAGATCTTCGGACAGTTTGAGAAGTTAGCCATGACATTTTTTTTTGTTGTGACATCCATTTATAAGAACCTCTATTAATTTTCTCAAGTACTGTCCGTTATTGAGGCTAAACCCAAACGATGTCGCGTTTTAATCGATGACGCAAATCTTACTAATAAAAATATTTTCTCATCAGATGGGTCTGTCTTTTTGTAGCTTGACTTGGCAGATGTAGACTCGTTGAGCCCTTTTGCATGTGTGGCTGACATTTATGTCGAAGTGTGCTTTTAATGCGTTTACAATATCCAAACAGCAACGCTTGTCAAACGAACTCTTGATGGCTCTTTCCGTATCGTATCATTCAGGTTACAACACCCCTCCCCCTCTCCCCATCAGTTTATAGGTGGTCAACCCAAAAGGGGTTTCGTGAATGTATATTCCTTATGAGAAGCCTTTTCTAACGCATTTTTGCCTTCATAACATCTCCAAATGAAATACTTGAACAAAAAGCACAACAACAGTGACGAAGATAAAGAACTTTGTTTTGTCTCCTCAATTGCTGTGTGACTGCAGTATTTTTTCCCATCCTAGTTTTAATTGTTTGAAGTTAGACTTTTTTCATTTGTGATTGTATGGAGATTTGGAACATTTCCTTCTCAGCCTCTTTTCACATATTTCTATCATTCTGCTCTAAAGCCCATCCAGATATATTCCAGCAAACACTACTAACACCATGTCTGTAAGTTTGTGGCTGATAACCAGGGTGTGTACAATTTGAATTCCAGTCCCAAGACAAGAGAGGTCAACATGTTCAGACAGGATCCACGAACTTATTCAATGATTGCATCAATTCTTAATCTTCCTACAATGCCTTGAGGAAAAAAATAAGTTGAAGTGCTCTAACACGCTCAAATTTTGTTGTTCACTAAATAAACTTTGGAACTTATTTCCATACGCTTTTAGTGATCTCAATCAAAAATTGAATGGAGCACTAACAATTCAAAATAAACATTTAACTTTAATTGTCCATGAAAAAGAGCAGTCCTTTCTCAACATTTCAGCAATATTATTACTCTTTCTTATTAAATTTAGTGGCTGTGAGCCATTCCTCTTCATGAACTTCTTCAATGATTTTCTCACTCCTAGCAACACCTACAGCCAAGAGTGAATTATCATCTTTACTTGGCGATGAACACATCACAAATGATGGTTTTAGTTTTCTTATAAGGGCACTGTTACATCAAGATAGTATATGAAGTTCCCCTACCCCCCTGAATCTGGGTTCACCTCTTTGTACTTTCACTATTAACTGAAATTAGTCAGACTCTGTTGTTCTGGCTCTGGCTGCAGTGCATTTTCTCCATTGTTAAGCTCCAAGAAGACAGGTTATGTTTTCTTCCAATCTAATGACAGCCATGACTAGGCCAGCAAGTAGAACTGACATCTTTGTGGTCTCAGTTTTTAATGCCTCTTGCCACTGTCAGTGCAGGTATGTCCTTGCTCATCTCAAAACAGCACCGTTGAGATGATTTTATTTGATGTAACAATCCAGCATGGAAGTCCAACAGCCCCTGTGGCAAGAAAAATGTTGAAATTATCAGGATCAATAACAATGAAAAGTTAAATTATTTGGTGATTAAACTATAGAACTAAGTGTAATTAATAACACTTACCAATCAGGAGCTTGTTGATGAAAATTGATTAACCAAACATTGCATGTTACCCACACTCTTCAGCTGCATTTCTTCAAGCTTTCTTTAACCCCTTACACCCTAATATCAGCATACATATTCACCTTACTCCTCTTTTCACCTTTCCTACAGTTACTGACAAGGAGAATTTGTTTCAAAATCAAGGTCTCATTCAAATATTGATCATTTCCTTAATTCTTGTGACCTTAATGTTTGATTCACCTGTAAAAATGTAAACCCAAGTTTCACTACTAAGATTGGATTGTTAATTCTCCCCTCTAGCTGCTACACATTTCCCTGCACATTTGTTACAAGAATTTGGTGTTGGATCAATATCATATCTTGTACCTGATAAGTTTGAGTATTCTCATTACCAGTTTGCTGGATAATATATGAATACTATAGGGAGAACTTGCAGGTAATCACTTCTAAGAGTTAAAGGGTTAAAGGATATTAGACGCAGCTCTCTCCCAGGGGTTAAAGAGATTACAGTTTGCTGGTACCCACAGCCTTTATACTCTTGAGTGGAGACAGACACTCTTACCAAGGAACACAATACAATCATCTGAAGTCCAACATGCTAGTCATAGAGCTATCATTTCTCTTTAAGGAAACTTTTGTTCAGTCTTAGTTTACTTTGATATCATTTGATACTGTAGCTCACCAGGTATTCCAGTAGGGAAGGCTAAAATTCTGTTGAGTGGATAGAACCATTGCACAGGTAACAACACCACTGGCTCCTTTCTGTACACAAACACAAATGCCATATGACAGACTCCCTTTAAGATGAATCAAAGTGACACTATGGTGAATCTGTGGATATACTACGCAGAATATCATTAAAATATGCAGTACTTGTACAGTAATCCTGTGATTCCAAGAAACAGAATTGAGCCATCATATCCACAGAAGTCCTTGCCAATTGATCAGCCATAACTAACAATCAATCAGCCATCTTCAATAAGATGCATGCCCTCCCCTGACTCCTAAGGCTGAGCTAACCCCACAAAAATTTTCCTATTGAATTCCCACATTACTCATTCTTATGTTTTGCATATCCATGATCAAAAAATGATGGCACTATACTCCATCATGAGGTGTTCTAAGGAGTTACATTAGGCAACAAGATTTGTTCTTTTTGTGCCATCTGTGCAATTTTCTATTGAGAGTAGATTTGGTATTGTCAAATTTACACCTTTAATGTCAATGTATTGCTTCATGTTGAAAAGATCTCCAAAATTGACAAGGATGAATTTCTCTGCAAAATATCAATACAATATATCGCAGGAAAATGAGGAGAATAAAGAAAAAATTCTCCAAACTAACAATAATATGAATTATGTAGCGGACAGTAAGGGGAATTGCCAATAAGATCTTGGGAGAGAAAGGGTGTAGGGTTTCTAAGCATGTTTTGAAAGCAAATTGGTATTCAACTCTACTACTCTTGGCCACCTCTGGAAGTGAAAAGGTTTGCACTTGAATTTACCATAACAGATACTATGTGGATCACACTTACCAGTAGTCCCATAAATATTGCTGTTAATATTTTACTCCTAACTGTAATCTTCTCACTTCTCTGTTTCACTAAGGAAATGAAAAAATGTTTCACAGATTGTGAAACAAAAACAAATTGGGATTCAAGAAAGGCAATTCCATAGTACTGTACAGTGTATTCCTGCTTCCCCTTCATTTAATGTGCAATGAAAATGCACACATCACAACAAAGTAACTATTTCTTTGTGGTCAGAGCTTACAAGTGTGTTAGATCACAGGCAAGTATCAAAATGGTGAATTATCCCTGAGTTCTTCTGTGTTTATAGATACAGGTATTGCAAGTTAAAATGAAGTTCAGGTTAACCCTTTAAATCCCAAGTTCTCATCAGTATGTCTCCTTAGTCTGAGCCATACAGTTCTTATGATGTTAGTTAGGAGTACTGGATCAATTAAAAATCCTCTCATTGATTTGTTTTCAATTCTCATCATTTGTCTACTTCATATTTTATTGATATTATAAAGAGATAAACGTCTTGGTCATTAATAGGAGTAAGAGATAATGATGATGATGCATTCACATAAAGCATTTTCTATAGTTATAATATGCTCCATATTAAACTCTACGGGGGACTTCAGCCAGCTGCATTGAGCAGCTTACAAATTTTTTAAAAGAAAACTTTGCAAATGATTTAAAACTAAGTTGATCTGTATCTCCTCTTGTATATGAGTTATCATTATGACAATTCATACTAATTTAAGATCATGTTTCAATCTATATTAATTTTGAACCACAACATGAGTCTGAAATACTTGATAAGAGTAAGACACAACAATCAAAGAGGAATTCTGTGCATTATTCCAAATAATTAAGGTGCTGGTGCTTCTAAAAATATTCTAGGATAGCTCCATTTTTATTTCCAACTTCAAGTTTTTATAAAAGATGAACAAACAATACTTAACGACTGAAAGATGAAGACCATATGACGTAAAAATGCTTAACCTTTTAACCCCCAAGATCTGAATGTTAATTCTCCCCTCTGGCTACTACACATTTCCTTGTAAATTAGTTACAGAAATTTGATGCTAAATTAAGATAAAAATTTTCCACCTGATAAGTTTGAGAATTCCCATTACCTGTTTGCTTGATGGTGTATGGATATTACAGGAAGAAGTCGCATTTTAAACTCTTCTAGGAGTTACTGGGTTAATGTAATGTTCATAATTTCACTTTGTGAATCTTTCACTCGGTACCTATTTAGAACTGAAGCAATATCAACCACTTAACTTAGAGTACCTATTTGTGACAGCTCCTCATTCAATTTCTTAATTTTTCTTTCAAGGCGCATGTATCGAGCAAACTCATCCTGAAAAAAAAAATTGATGTTACCCAGGAAACTTTGGCTAATCCTACATAACACACTTCCTTATTTGAAATTTCAGAAAAAAAGAGGGCACTCATTGGAAGAAGGGAGCTTAATTGAGGGGGGAGGGGGGGCACTTATTGCTCAGTGTAGCAATTGGACAAAAATTGAAAGAACAGATGACTCACATATGAGAACTCTGCAAGGCCATGTATATAGAAAAAACTGAAAAGGAAAAGAAAGTATTCCCCATGGTGATTGAAGCTCATAAAGTTAAAGATGAAGTGGCAAAAGAAATTGTTTTTCTTTTATCCACACTACTTAACCCTTTAACTCACAAGATCTGATAGTCAATTCTCCCTTCCACCTTTTACATATTTCCTTTTAAATTAGTTACAAGGCCTTGGTGTTAGATCAAGACAACAACTTCTAATTGATATGTTTGAGTATTCTCATTACCTGTTTGCTGGATAATGTATGGATATTGCAGGGAGAAGTTACATGTTAATCACCTCTGGGAGTTGAAGGGTTAAGAAAGTGACCGAGGAGGTGTGGTGGTTATTTGAGGGGGATGCTTGTTTGAAATTATGGTCAAGGGGGTGGATGTTTATTTGGGGGGAGGATGCTTTTTTGGAGTAGGGGTGCTTACCCAAGGAAATACAGCATGCATTACAGTTATTTCAAGTCATAATATTGCATATCATTTTATTGCCATTTCAGGCTAATGTTCATGGTAACATTTCAAAGCTGATTTAACATAAATAATCTCCACTTTACCTGAGCACTTATCTTCATTTGTTCATTCTTCAGTTGAATGATTGTGTCTTTTAGGTGACTCCCATTCTGTTCTTTACTCATCAAGAGTCTTGGTAACTGTTTTTGAAATATAATCGATGCAAACTTACTTTGAAAGTGGAACTAACTACAAAGGAATTTTATTGAAGCTGATCCAATACAATAAATGCCATGTCCTACAAATTTGGTTTGTAGTAGCGGTAGTAGTCAACAAATTGAATTTTCCTTCACTTGCTTAAGATCTAACAAAATCGATCTTGATCAATTAAGTTTTATCAGACATTTATCTACAGCGATTTACTTACCTCTTAAAATTACTACAACGGCGATTCCGTGATCAACGTTATTTACTTTTCTTTTCTTTACTAACTTGTAGTTTCGCATCGATACGGAATTCAGTGCAATTAAATTTTTTTAATTTACAACTAGCCCGCTGCATTCTCTTCCGATACCTGCACCAGGAATTAGAAAATCGATTGATAACCCTAAATACGAATTAAACTGCTCTAAATAATAGGTACGAACGCCTTAAATTCTCGGAGAAAATCTAATCCTGCTGAGGTTAAGTACATATGCATAGTGTACTAAAAACACGCAAACGAAAATAAACTTAATTCACTAATTTCTCACCCAGTCAGCCAGAAATCCGGACGATTTGTAAAGAATTCTCATAACAAATACATACGCGAGCACGAACACAACCATTGAGACCGCCATCTTGTTTATTGACTCGTCACCAGTTTCTCACCGCCTCTATTGAATGGGCCATGAAAGGTTTCATATGTCCACTGAGTATATGTAGCTGGCCAATATGGCCCTGGAAAGCGGTTACGTATAGGACGAGGGCACGTATCGTATTACTTTAACTTAACTTACGAAAAAATATAACTAAAAAATGCTCAAATCTTTAATCGAGCTTCGTAGGGACGCTCGAGGCGAAAAATTCAAGCAGTTTTTTTTTTCTCTTCTAATTACCAAAACTGCATCATGGTCCCAAACGTTCCTTGCGGAGATGCTGGAAACTGGGGTTGAGAATCGCGAGCCAACAAGCGTGCCAAAAACCTCACCTCGGGCTCCCGGCGTTGTAAGATTGTTCTTAAACGCAGGCTATTTTTTTAGCATGGGAAGGCAGAATACCTCACCTATCTGGAGTCCCCCACTTCATGCAAACAAGCCCATAAAGGGAAGACGGTATGAATCCTTTAACCTCGTGACCTGCCAGACAACTTGTAACTGCGTGACTTTGATCTTGACTTCCAGGTTTTGGCATGACAGAAGCTCTTGCCACGCATTTACAGCCTGTAGGAGAAAGCAAACCGGGGAGTGTTGGTGTACCTCTCCCTAATTCGGAATGTAAGGTACCATCAGATGATTCGCGTTCCTTCCAATAAGCACCCCCTCTCTAATGAGAGCCTCCCTCGAACCTGTTTTGCCAATAAGCGCCCCTGTTCTAATAAACACTCGTATTAAGTAAGCACCCTCTTTCCATAAGCGCCCTTATTCTGTTCCAGTAATAGCACTGCTAGAGCGCTTGTACATTGAGATTATGCTCAAAATTATGCTCTTTTTTTGCTATTGACGCTACATTTTTTAAGTACGCTTTTGAAAAAAGAAAAAGGAGAAAAACCAAACTCATATGTCTACTGTTAATAAAGCATGATATCTTCTTGATCCTAAGTTACACATTTGCTCTGATAAAACACAGTTAATTACAGTACTTCCGTTCCAGACTAGAAGCAGTGACTCAAGGTGTCAAAATGTACGATACTAATATCGCGTTTGATATTTTCTGATGATCAGAACATAATGGTGATACTAACGTTCTGACCCGTGGGGTGGCTGTTCTTCTTCTCGTATTTGTAAGTTGCACAATGCTATTTAGTTGCTTGGGAAAGCGGAATGGGACCGACACAATCTAGACGACGAATGGCGCAGTATGGCAGTTACCTTCTACCCCAAGACATGGCAAAATTGATAATTGACTGAACCGTGGACCGGACTTGAAAATAATCATAATCTTAGAAACTAAGCAAGTCATGACTCTGGTAATGTTCCCTTAAAAAAAACTTAAAATATGCTGATTATGCTATCTGTGCTACTTTTATAAAAATTGAAAAAAACTAAGCTTGTTTTTCCAAATTATGCCAGACATGCTAACACAATCTATAAGGGCCTATATACCGGCACCATTTTAGGAATCTCGTGCCCAGAGTCCTTGCTCCCCTTGATTAGACAAACGTAACGGGGACTCTGGGTACAACTTTGCGATTTCAACCAAAGTTATTTAAAGGTTTACATTTTCATATCCGTTTTAAGAAATCGGACAGTTTTCACTAATCGCGAAATTTAATCATAGCGGCATGGAGGTGTTTAAAGATAAATAGTTCATTGTTGCTAGTCAACTGGCTCAGAAGAAAAGGTCTACAAACTAACTTTTAAAGTTTAGTCAATTTTGCCTCGTACAAAATTGGATCCAAATTAGTGACGCTTATAGAATACGTGGGGGAGAGGAGTCTTGGAATAAATGGCTTTTATTACGTAAATTAGCGCAAATAAACGAATGAAAGTCAATCAACAACTTATTAAAGAGTGGAGGTGGCTGGATTTCTATCATTTGCGTCAACCTGTCAGAATTTGGATTAAAGTTTAATAGCAACAAAGGCGGTGTCTGTCTTCGCTCGCATATAGATTACTTTGTAATGCCTGCATTTTAATACCATCTTAGATTTCGTTAACTAAAGTGCACAGATCACTTACTGCTTGTGGAAAGTTTTGAGGGGTAAATGAGGTTTGAAAAGAACGATACTCATTTTAACTCGTTGGGTGGAATCAGAGGGAGGAAAAGGACTCTTGTTTGATAGTTCTTAGGAGGAGGTTTGTACGAATCCTTTCAGGCGAATTGAAATGCTTACGGACCCTAGCAACCTGGTTTATTATGTGACTTATAGAATGTTTTTGATTAGGAAAGGAGCCATACACCTATGACATCCGCTTCCTTCGATTTTTCGACTTCGAGAAATTCCTTGGTCGAGATATATTCAAGGAAAATTTCAATACACCACATCTGCTCATTATTTTAAAGATCCAGTTCTTCACAAGTTAGTTAAAATTTTGTTTACTTTTCTTGTAGACATTTAAAAAAAGAGGCTGGTTTTAAATGTAAATCACAATTTTGCATTCTTATCTTGCCTTGACTGTTTTGAATGTTTTTGGTTGTAATTGCCAACAGCCACTGGCGCACAACAAACTTAAAGAACCATGGTCTACTACTGAGAAAAGCTGATGTATGATTCTCCACTTGGGTTTTCCCACCCTCGCGAGAAAATGTTTGAGAATTGACTGTAATAACATGCAAGCTGACCAGAAAACCAAATAATTTTTTTTCCTTCTGGTTTTACGTTTGGAATGTTTGTACTCAGCTTTATGCTTTAACGTGTTACCTTCTTACACCCTAAGATCGGTGAGAATATCATCCCTACTGACTTTTCTATACATTTGGTGATGATGAGGAAAATGTGTTTAACAACGAAGAGCTTGTTGATAGGCGATTGCTTACTTCATCCTCGTGACCTTCATGTTTTGATTCATTTAGTATGTCTTGATTCATGTATTTGATTCATCTCGTAGACGTCACTCCTGGGGATTAAAGGTTTAAAATTTGCCTGAGGCTAGCTTGAATGTGTTTTTCTCTGTTATTTTTTTCACTAGTGCATATTAAACCCCCATGGATAGACATATATTTCTCTGTGTATTTGTATGTCTATGGACTGTTCAAATCACTGGCCTTTACGGTGAATTCATCGAAGAGATATCCACAGGGCATGATTTTGGTAGGTAAAGAAACGTGGCCGCTTCACCTAGATTTAAGCACTAAAGTTGCTATTTTTGCCTCAGGGATGCCGGTTGTGAACTGGCTCTCGTGGCTGTTGTTTGAAGGGGGAAACGGAGGGTAATAAAAGCCCAAGTCACGAAATTTTGGTAGAAGAAAGAATTCCTTTTCATGTGATAAAAAGTCAAAGGAAATCGTTTGTTTGGTCAGAAAAGGAAGGGAAAGGGACCGGAGGCTGAAGTAACTGCATTCTGGTATCATGGAGGTTATGGGCAAACATGCTGTTATTTCAAAGAGAGAATAATAAGCCAAAACAGAACGAAGATATGGTGAGGATTTACATGGGATGCGCACTTGAAAACTTGGGTTAAATTTCGCAATTGAACGCAACTCGATTTCCTTCGAAGTGAATAGTTCAGGGACCCCTGCTGTGCACTGACACAATTTTAGTTTTTGGTTACAGTTGGGTAAGGAAATGACAAATGTAAAATGTAATAAAGTCATTTTTCATCTGTATAGGTTTAAAAGACGTCCCTCGCGCAAAAAGACCTTTGTCAGGTACAGATTTTGATAAAATTTCTTTCCTCGTAGGTGAGCTATTTCGTGAGGCGAGTAACTGAAATATAAATGAGTAGCCAGCGTGCCAACTCATCGTCTTCAGAGAGGGGTGAGGGGTAGGAATTTTTGATCTTAGAGTTGTGTAGGCTAATGTAACCTTATCTTACCGCATTTAACTAATATGTCGAGTTAAACTTGAATTGCGTCCAAATGGCCTTTCTTTGAAAAGTGGTTTATGCTACGATTTTCGTTGAGTTCCACTATCCTTTCCTGAACGAGTTTGCTTCTGCTCTACCTCTTGGCTAGCTAGCGACTTGATTGAAATGGCAAAATTAAATTGTATATCTTGCAATAAACTCTGATTTCAGCACTTTCTATCGAACAGATTATTCTTGCTCAGTAAAACACGTGAAAGCTGGCTGCTTTAATGATAAGAGAAACCCATCATCGAGGGCAATGAATGAACTGTTGTTTCAAGATCGATACAAAGGAAAAGGGTTCAGCGGTCAGAGAATAGATTGGGAAAGTTATGACTCGTACCTTCCTGAGTAAGTATTTATTTGTTATACGTGGAGCGTATTTGAAGCGAGCTTTGTAAACTCAAAAGTGTAGAATAATCTCTAGGTCGTTGATGCCACAGAAATCAGATATGCGGCTCTATAGGCTTCACCTAATCTGAAATCCACATTATGGCGTGATTTACTAAATACCAACGAGTTTCCATCTATTCATTCCGATCTTTTTTCAGTCTCGTTTGTCGATGTGCCACGGCTGCAGCCAATAAAGGTTATTCTTTCTTTGGGATTCAGTTCTACGGAGAGTGCTGGAGTGCTGCAGACGCAGCACAGCGGTTCAACATTTACAGTAAAAGCGACAAATGTGTTGATACAGAGTACAAGGTCGGATGTGACACCATTAGAAACAAGCCGTGTGCTGGAGTGGCTCATGTGAACTTTGTTTATCAAATAGTTCCAGGTGAGATAACCGTTATGGCGAAAAGAAGAGTGCAAAGGAAGAAAAGAAGCATATTTCTTCCTGTGGAATGAACTACCTCTTAGTATAAGAGAGTCAAATACCTTGTCGATCTTTCGTGAGAATTTGATGGCCTTTTATCATGATAAGTGTAATGTAAATTTTTTTAAATTTTACACTGTACTTTACTAAATCATTAGTCCATTTATAATAACTTTATTGATAGGCATTCATGTCGCATGTCTTTTATGACTGACATGTTACAATAACGACTTTTTAGATAATTTTATTACTCAATTAATTCTGTAGATGTAATAATAGGAGGCTTATTTTTAAGGAGTCTTGTATTAAGCCTACCTCAGATTTGTCATTTTACTTGTAAATCTGAAAGTTGATTAAGGTTTATATGAAGGTGCTGCAGGTAGCCAAAGGCAGCCAAATCAGAATCTGAGAAGAAACGAGAGCTTAATGTTCGCTCTTGAACGTTATAATTGTACTCATCAAAACTTGAGTTTCTCACCCTCCTTTCAACTTTGTGCACTAACCGCGTGTAAGTCTATACGTTTTAAAAATTCGCAACCCTCAATCAAATTCAGTGACCACATCTAACCTACTGCCTCTTTACAAAACCTGTTGTTGCTATTCCCGTAGTACCTCGCGCTATTGCCTGAATCTCAGACAGTACGAAGTCACTTGTTTAACCGGCCCTCCACTTGCAGGACTCTAGACGTCGGACTGTCTGAGAATCAGAAGCAACATGCCTTGGAGGAGCTGATTCAATTAAATGGCCTAAAAGAAATGTTTTTTCTCTCCCTCTCTTTCTTAGGAGATAATCCAGATGGGAGTGGTGTGGGGCCACCAATAAACCCAGAGGAGTACTGACGCTTAAATGTTCGCCGAGACTGAAGAAAATGCCATGTTCAGAAACATTAAGATCGTTCTCCTTCATTGATCTGTGTTTGGGAGACAGAGAAACAGCAAGTCATCATACAAATTAGCAAAAGTTATATCAAGTGGCATATGAATCTTCAGTCAGGACTTTTTTAAAAGTATTTTCCTAGTGCACTGTATGTTTCTTGAAATAAATAGCACCATGTTATCAGTGTGATGTTTTAGAAGTTTTTTTTCGGACAAAAACGAGGACATCATAGGTTCCTGTTCTTAATACTAACGATAGGGTGTAGACTATGTTACGGTAACACTTTTAATGTCAGTGGTCGAATCCGTGCTTTACTGGGTTGGTCGAGGGCTAATTGTGAACCCTTTCACTCTCAAGATCTCATTAGTAATTCTCCTGACTGTCTGCTTAAAAATCTTATAATGTTAGTTTTGAGAATTTGGTATTGGACCAACCAATGATCCTCCAGTTGATGTTTTTCTTTATTCTCATCACAACTGTGCTTGGTCTGGTATTGATATCGTCAGGAGAAATTCTCTATTAGTCACTCGTGAGAGTTAAAGGTTGATCAAGTCTAGGGCAACAAATCCCGGGCTCTTCAATTATTCACCGCGTTTGAAAAATGACAAAATTTTGAAAGAAGCATTTCTTTAGAAACTTACCCCTTTATTCATTCTTCAATTATTCACCGCGTTTGAAAAATGACAAAATTTTGAAAGAAGCATACTGGTCAGTTGAAAGGTTTAAAAATGACTTATGGAAACTGAACATTGTTCCGCTTGAACTTTCATTTTCTCCTGAGGTATTTGCCGTAGCTGTCATGTTGTGAAGACTAAAATGTCAAGTTGGAAGGCCGCATCCGGGACTTGGTAATACTTGAGACCCCAGCAGTAGTAAAATGAAATGTCTCCCGAGAGAATGTTTGTTCTAAGAGACCGAAAAATTAGCATGAAAATGGTCATAAGATGTCATTGAATAGTTAAACAAGTCGATCACGAAAAAAATAAACGCAGGATAATTTTATTTCGGAAAGATTTTCCCACAAGAAAAAATTGAGATCAATGCAAAGAAAGTTGGGCACTTTGGTTGAGAATGAACGCAAAAAATCAAAGGAGAAATATCAGCTTCTCCAGTGAAGAATTTAAATCTATTGAAGTACTTTTAAAGGTAAACCCTTTTAAGTAAATAGAGGACTTGAGCTCGTTAAGCATTAACCACACTTTATTAAAGCCTATATGTGGATTTAGCAAACACGGGGGTGGAAAAACATTCCTGCATAACGAAGACAAAATCCTGCAGGAGTTAGGAAACCCCTGCTTCGAGCGGTGTGCAAAGTCCTTGGTGCCATTTGCCTCGTGTTTTGGTTAAATTTAAGCCTGCTTCAGTCTTCGGGTACCTTATTCGACTGTCACTAAGGACGAAGAACATCCAAGCGTTGGATAGAGGTAACTGTAAAAATTCTAGTTATCTAGAATTTTGAAACAATTGGACGGGTTTAGAAGTTGGGTAGGAACTCACGCACCGGTAGTGCACCAAATCATATTTGTAAATCAGTGTAATTCATATACGTACTTCTTAGAAACAGCCTGTGCGTACATATTTAAATGCTGTGAAACGCACGTTGAGTCAAAACCTCTTGATATAATGCACACATATTTTTTTTATCTCAGGTCTGACAAAGATTGACCTCTTTTCTCTGTGAAGCAATCAGCGAGTACATTCTTTGAACACTAAGGCAGACACAGAGTTTTACATTTCCCCTAATTTTACTCATCTAGCTCGCTTAAAAATTCTTTACCTTCAAGAGAATCTTGAATCACTCATGACTTCGGATAATCAAAGGTACCGTTTCGTACAACTGGAGAGAATCATTTTTCGAAGAATTAGCAGAGAGAGGCTAGGCAATGAACTATTGATAAACCTTGCCGGTGCTCTTTTGACGAAAACAAATAAACTTGATTGTCATCAGTTCTTTGCCTAAATGTAGCTAGAGGCAATTTATCATTTAGCAAGTAAAAAGACAAAAACTCTCGTGGAGAACTTTTTTGATCCATAATATTGGGTGCTGGGATGCTAAGCTCGAGATTTGAGATCTACGTTTTTCACATTTTGTTAAGATTTTTCATTTACAAGGTAAGCATGGATACAATTACACAACCCAGCCCTACAATGAAACTTGCGGATGAGGGTTGGGCCCATAAATAAGATTTTAGTTTACTCCAAGGTAATGAAAACCAGAAGCTAACTAGATACTAGGCTTGTGAGATCAATTCCCAACCAAATTTCTTCAGTTTTGCGCAAAACGTTGGGTTTTTAATTTTTCGTGTCACAGGTATGTTTGCTTTTATCGAGGATTTAAATTATTGATTTTTAATTGGGGTTTTAAGTTGAAGTATCTCTTTTTTTCTCTGGCATGCATTTCATTAACATGCTATTCAGGGCAACAATCTTCATCAGACCTAGATATTTAAACAATTCGCCTAATGTGTTATAAAGTTTAAATGAATCCCTATTTTACAATAAAAACTGTTAATGATTGAAAAATGTCCTCTTTGAATCTCTGTAGTAAGTTTTTTCAGGGATTTTGTTGATAATTAAGGCGTACATGCGAACTGAAAACTTAAGAAATTAAACAAAACTGGATCCTTTAATGGACACAGCTCTCAAAACAGCTCAAGCCCGCGACTTTACAAGTATATTTCGTAGCATGTCATGATCTAACTGAGATGCACAATGAAATAATATACAGGCTAATATCACCTATAACATCTCGGAGATTAATTAAAAAATATAAACCTGATGATATAGTTTGCTTTCAAATTTCTTCAAATCTCTGTGATAAGTGAGAAAAAATATATTTCTTAACGTTATTTTTGCCACGTTTTAAGCGTCCAATGAATTGCTATTTCTTTCTTTCCTTCTTTACCTCTCTCTCAGCAGAAGCTAAGATGCGCACACCGTTGATATGTTTTGTGCTTCTCATTTGTGTTTTGGGAATGGAAGCTAAATCCATATCACTTCAGAAAGGTGAGGCAATCAATTATAGATTCGATCTTTTTACTCCCAAACAAGTTCCAAGTATTGTACCATTGTGTTGGGACTCAAGTATAATTTTTTTTGTTTTTGTTTGGAAGAACATAAAACCGACGCCGAGGAACTCGAAGAAACAATGAGGGATTTGAGAGAGTCAGGTAAGCCAAAGCTGTTTTAAAAATTTAGCAGACGATATGTGAATCATTTCATTTGATGTGCATTGACTCAAGAGTAAGTGACCTTCTTAATTCAAGGAGGGCTGGGTTGGAGTGCAGGGGACCCAAAATCTTGAAACTGTATTGGGATTTACCATTAAGTCACACAGACTATGAAGCACGTGAAATTACGTATGATTCCTAAGTGCTCAAAACAATAAGCATGAATAATTGATTGTGGCTTTACTTGAAGGCGCGCAATTCCTTGAAAGGCAAAATGTTCTCCAGGGAATAATGTGAATTGCACCCGGCGCTGACTTGCTTGAATATTTTGGTAGAGAGCGATTGGGCGCTGACGAAATGTCCACGTGAGAAAAATGAGTGACGTATGATTGGCTAGTTCTACATTCTCATGGGAAAACGGCGATGATCGAAAAATGACTGTAAATACATGAAAATTATACATGTAAACTGCGGTTGAAGAAACGAATACTACTTAGAATGAATTAAGAAAAGCTCTTTATTGAGATCAAGTCTCTTAGCTTGATATTTCCTTAGTACGATCTAACTTTTTCAATTTGATTTAATCTATTTAGAGCTAAACCTCCATAAAGGCCCTGCAAAAGATAACTATCAGGAGCAATTGAAAGCGCTCACTGAGGAAGGTATGTTCATCAGACAGTGAGTTATATCTAATCAAATGACAAAGACAAATGAAATGAAGGGGGCAATTTTCTCAGGAAACTGTGGTGCTGCGTCGGTGGGAAAGTATAACAGGGTCATTTAGTATTATCAACTGAGTTGGTAACGTAAGTTAGCCACTGTGACAAAGATAGTCCAATTTTACATGATGTAAATCCATATTTTCATTCAGCACAGTCTGAGTTCTTGTGATATGTGCATAGAAGATTAAATATGCCCCTTACAAGGCACCAACATGTCTCGTATGGGTGTAGCATAAATATGTTTTAACCGGTCTTCAAAAAACACCTTAAGGGAAATCCAAAGATCAAAATTGTAGGTAGATGATTTGCCTCAAGCTCAGATTTGTTGTTTCCTTTTGTTTCAGAATCTGATGCTCAAAGTGGAAATGGTGAGCTCAGACCGGAGGAATATTAGCCAGCGACTATAAACTGAGATCTGAGAATGTACAAATATATAACAAAATAAGATTTAGTTACTCGTCACACACACTTTTTTCTTCGTTTAACAATTTTTCTTTCATCTTCTTTTATCTTTTTTGACAAACGCACAATATGTCATACATTCCTATCCTCATCATCATTGTTTTTCTACTCGTTAAAGATCTTGCAGCCGTCTCGGACATTATGTAGCTCAAGTACAGTAAAAGTAGATAGAATCATTTTATTGAATTTTTTTGCCTAGTCGTCTCAATAAAGCTTATTTAGAGTGTAAATTTATTATCTGTGTTGCATGAAGGTGGGGGAACGACTCAATTCGAGCGTGCGCTGTATTCTCTACCAGAATCTTATACTATTTTAGGCCTGGAAAGTTTAAGTTTTTTTTTCATGTTTGAATTCAGCATTATTGATTTTAACTTGTAGACAAAAGTGAGTGATTGTTATAATGTTCGGTTTAAATCCCATACATTCTCAACACTGCAAGCTACGATCCTTGAACCGTTTTCGTTTATTTCAATGTTTATTCACTCTTTTGCCGCTTCTATTTGTAAATATTCTCAAATAAGTCGAAATAATTTTGCCTCATTTTAATATGCTGTCATTATCATCTCTCTCTACCAGGTTTAATTGCCTTAAAGTTTGTTTATGCAATTCTTTGATTACTGGCAAGTGAAGCGCATTTTTTTTTATGAGTATTTTGTTATTGGCCCTATAAGTTCTCCATGCAGACGTCAAGATTATATCACTGATTCTTCCCGAAAATAACGAGTTTGAAGAAGGACGGTCGATAGTGGAGATGTTATAGGTCTCAAACTGAAGTGAACGGTCGCAATCTAGGAATCGGAAGTTTACCCTCAAGTCGGAAGCCGAATGTAATTGGACTTAATTCATCTGGCAACCGATTGCTGAAGGTGGTGGGTTACTTCTAGAAATGCAAGGAAAAAAATTATGTTTTTGGATTAGCTCCGCAGTTCCTTTTATTTGATCGTATATGAATTACTTTGCTATGTACAGCAAAGTTTAACGTAAATGAATACATATCCTACTCATTTATTACGCATCCAAAGCATAACGCCCTGTGCCCCCACCCCACCCCCGTTTTTCCCGGCTCCAAGCTCCCGGGTCATGCTGGTAATTAAACGATGATCGAAAACAAATTGAACGAGGAATTTTAAGGTGGGAGTATGGATTAGTTACTCCCACGATTCACGCAGAGACTTACTCAAAAGTCCCCTGCAGTACTTTCAATTTCTCATCCTTCTCATGATCAGGAAAAATGGGAACATACACTTTTAATGCTAGATGCTCTTAGCAATAATTGTGCTAAATAATGCGGGTCATCTTGACGGGTTTATGGATTCCCGGTCATGTTTGTCTTGTGGTGACAAAATATATGACGTCTTCGTCAGTCATTCTTAGTGCGCAGATCAAGTTTGCTAAAAGATAGGTATTAACATTTGAGTAAAGGCTACATTCCTGTATCGGGAAGGTCAAAGGTTTTGCGGTAAAAGGAGTCTGAAAAGGAGGGAGTAAGTAGTTTTTTCTTCGTTAGAATGAGACCATACTATAGTCAGGAGAACTTTTTACTTTAGGGGGTAGAATCTTATCCGCGCTCGACTAAATTTCTCTTGTTCCCTTAAAGTGTGTTTTGCGTTTTGTTTACAGCATCTTTGTCTCATTTGGAATTTACAGAGAAATTGTCTAACCTCATTCTTAAATCCTAAGGAGAAAAAAACTCACTTTGCCATCCAATGGATATAAGATTTCTTTTTTATTGTTTCATTTTGTCAAAGGTTTTTGCGTTGCCAACAGTAACAATATGGTCTGTCTCAAACATTGCCGAATAATCTCGGTGAAACCTTCACAGACAAAAAAAGTTACCTTTATTCATATCTGGGGTAGCGCTTTGAAATATTCGCCGTTCTACATGTGGGTGTCACATTTTCAACGCCCATGCATCATTAATTTCGTCGAGTTGACCTCTCCATGTAAAAACAGCTTGATATCAAATTGCACTGAAAATGTTTACCGCCCCTCAAATGTAATCCACATAGGCCACCTTTAATTTTTCAATTCCTATAGAGTGCGAGTCAGCCATGCGTTGATTCAGCTTTGAAAATATCAAACAAATGTACAAAGATTTGTATGTAAGAGAGTCACAATTTATATCTTTGAGCGTCATCTATCTCGTCATGAAAAAACTTGGATCTCTGAATAAGAACCCTTTCAGATCTATACTTATCATTGATATCGTGAAATGTCGTGCTCTCGGTAGACCTTTTCTCCTTGTGGTTGTTGTTTTTTTTTTTAAATTTTCATTTGGACGCTATTTTTGGAAAAGAGTATCTTAACTTTTGTACATCTTTAAGACTGATCAAAGGTATTTTTCCTACTGGTCAAACTTCATTATTTAGCGTTGAATGCAGAGAATCCAGAATAAGAAATTTGCTCATGATAGATGATTCGAGAAAACAGAAACATTTAGTATTATATCAAATAGGAGAAGTATTAAACGCGTCTAGATTAGGACTTCGTCAAGATCGCACTCAATTTGGAGAGAAATGCAATATCGTAGATCAAAAACTTGTCCACTTTAAAAGGGTTCAGTATTGTGCTGGATGAATGTGTTGAATGTTTTTTGTGAGATATCTGACTGCATAGTATGAACCGATCTTGAATTATTACGAAAGGAATGCAGTGACACAAGAAAGCGACCACATATCTCAGCCATTTCAAATTTAAATATTCAAACTTAGATACACAAAGTTGTGTGCTTTGCATGACACTTTTGGTTTAATTTATCAGAGTCAGCAACAGTCATCCTTTGACAGTTCAGGAATTTTAACAGTATTTGCTGTAAAAGTAGCGCCTTCGTATAAAAAAATCACTTGTTATAAAACTATCTCGATACTTAGGGTAATTTAGTGTGAACAACTGAGTTGATAGCGTAAATTGGCTGCCATAAAGAGTTTAAAAGCTGACGTTTCGAGCGCTAGCCCCTCGTCAGAGCTAGCTCTTCGCGAATTGCTCTAACGAAGGGCTAACGCTCGAAACGTCAGCTTTGAAACTCTTTACGGTGATCAATTTAATTTAAAAACTCACTGAATTTGGGAACGAAATTACAGCGTACGAAACTATTAGGTACCAAATGAGTGGATAGCTTTTTCTACAACTCTACAGCGATCGACATGGGGCGCCTGGAAGGTGTTACACCATCGTATCAATGACTATAACTACGACTAACATTGTGTCCAAATACACTTTACAAATGGTTGTTGTTCTAATGATAAATTATTTCTAACAGTTCAAAATATGCAGGTAATAGCCTCTTCCTTACTGTTGCTCTCCATCATCGCTGTGTCACACGCACGGCTTCAACGTAATTCAAAAAGAGGTGAGATGAAAGTAACAAATCTTTCAAGTTCCATTACGCGTTAGCAGTGCTGAACGTTGAAATGCACTAATTCACCTTACTTTGCTATTTTAGAAACCAAAGATGAGCGAAAAAAAGTGAATACGCTTTTTGGGGATTTAGAAGAAGCTGGTAAGTTAAACGAGACAAAAATTCGTATCCTAGTTTCGTCTCAGCTCAAAGATATGATCTATAATCCGCGCTAAATCGGTCGATGTCGGCTATAGGTTTACAAACTACATGAGGGCGTTATTCCAGACTTCTAAGTGGATTATTACGCTGGTAGACCTATAGAAAAATGACAGTCTATTGCTGACTAGAATACTTTTTCATCATGTCGGGTGCGCTTTTGTCCTTTTTCCGACAACCTTTCTCGAAATAGCTGTATAAATGAAATAGTGTTTCGTGGTAAATTAAATGTAACCGCTTTTTTTTTCAATTTCCACACGTTTTACCTGAGTTAACTTACATTACATGTCCAACCACTTTACTGAAGTATCAGGCATGGATGTTGATCAATTCTTTAAAATTTTTCTCTGATTATTTCCCGTCGTAGCTAAAATTCCATTCATAAGGTAAAGGAAGAAAGAAACAGAAACCCTAAATGTACTCAGTCCTCAAAAATCCAGGCCCTGGTTGTCAATATATATTAGAGAAACTCCTCACTCTCTATCCCTCTACTTTAAGATTTAAGTCTCATTTTCTTCCATAACCTAGCTTAGTAAACAGAGAAAAAAAAATCATAACTCCCAGTATTACATTTTTTTTTCACCTTGGTTATCCAGAGAATCCTATCAAATTACACAGTATCTGCGAGGTTAACTATGAGAAAGTCGGATGCTTCAAAGAAGACACCAACAACAGAACACTTTCACAGGAACTTTTCCAAGACAGGATGTCAAGCGATCCAAATTACAGTGGACAAAGGGTAAACTGGGCCAACTACAATACATACCTCAAGAGGTGAACAGTATATAAAATAAAATATTTCAACAACTTCATCGTGTTTGCCATAAATTGAAAATATGGTCATGATCATCGGAGAGATGCCATAAAGTTAAATACGGAGTTTTCAGAGCTTTACTTCATTATTTTTACCTCTGCACACACATGCAGTTTGCGTGTTCGTGTTTGGGCGAGATATATTTTTTCCAACTTAAAATTCGTATGTCATGTGAAAACGAGAAGTCATTCAAATTTTCTTAAGAGGTCTTAAGATGAGTCAATAAATAAACGTTTCAACACAATTTGACTTAGAACAGAGGAAAGTTTCATGCTTTTTTTCTGCGTCGTTTATTGAGTACTTTATGACGAGAGTTCACGAGATGATTGTTTACATTCTTTTATAATCTGTCCGCTTCATGAAGTTGTAGCTCCCAAAACGACGAAAAACTACTAAGTGGCTATCACTATCTCTTACAGTCTGGCATGCCGCTGCGCCAAAAGCAGTGCCCAGAATGGTTTTACTTACTTTGGTCTTCAAGACTACGGACGATGCTTTAGTGATCCACATGCCTCTACAAGTTACAGCAGGCATGGAAACTCGAGCCATTGCTTTAATCAATACTTCTACTCGTGTGATGACAATGCTTACGGGCAGTGCATGGGAAGAGGCAAAGAAGTGAATTACATATACCACATCACCGTGGATGGTATGCAAGACGCTTAAGTGTGCTATAAGTGTTCTGTCTAAGGTTTTCAAGTACGGTTTCACCCAGTCAGTGGGCCTCAGGCATTCTCTGTAAGAGGGTTGATTGAAATAAATAAATGTCCTTCCACTCACAGCTCTCGGCCCCCTTGATACTGTTCACAAAAACAAATGTTCAGATGAAGGTTCAGCTAAATTGAGGATTGAACTTGTTATGCATCTCGATTCGATTCAAATACTGAACAGAAAATTAATGCAACTCGGCATTGCCCAATAGTAATCATCATTATCGTCATCGTTTACGATCTTGCAGCCGTCTCAGACATTTTGTAACTAAGGTACAGCATGTAGATATAATTATTTGATTGAAAATAACGCATTTGAAGATGAACGTTGGATTAAGGTGATGTCAGAGGTCTCAAACTGAAGTTGACGGTCGCCGTCTAGAAATCGGAAGTTTACCCTCAAGTCGGAAGCCGAATATAATAAAACTCAATTCATCTGGCAACCGATTGCTGAAAGTGGTGGGTTACTTCTAGAAATGCAAGGAAAAAATGATGTTTTTGGATTAGCACCGCAGTTCCTTTCATTTGATCGTAAATGAATTTGTTTGCTGTGTATTGGGGTCGGTTGGCGATTTTTTACAGCAAGTTTTATCGTAAATGAAAACATCTCTTACTCATTCATTTCGCATCCAAAACATAACGCCCTGTGCCCCAACCCCACCTCCGTTTTTCCCGGCTCAAAGCCTCCGAGTCATGCTAGTAATTGAACTATGATCGAAAACAAATTGAACGAGGAATTTTAAGGTGGGATCGAGGATCAGTTACTCCCACGATTCACTCAGGGACATACCGAAAAGAGTGTGTAAGACGAAAAAACCAAAGTGCCGTATAATACTTTTAATTTTCCAACCTGCTCATGATCAGGGAAAAATGGGAACATACACTTTTAATGCCAAATGCTCTTAGCACGGCAATAATTGTATCAATTAATATGGTTCATCTTGACGGGTTTATGGATTCCCGGTCATGTTTGTCTTGTGGTGACAAAATATATGACGTCTTCGTCAATCATACTTAATGCGCAAATCAAATTTCTTAAAAGATGGGCATTAACTTTATAATAAAGACTGCATTCCTGCATCGGGAAGGTCAAAGGTTTTGCAGTAAAAGAGGTCTGAAAGGAGAGAGAGAGTGAGTAGTTTTTCCTTCTTTAGAATGAGACCATACTATAGTCAAGAAGGAATATTTTGCTTTAAAATGCTTTTTCATACTTTTTACTCTAGGTTAGAATCTTATCCGCACTCGGCTAAATTTCTCTTGTTCCCTAAAAGAGTGTTCTGCCTCTTCGTTAACAGCATCTTTGTCTTATTTGGAATTTACAGAAAAATTTTCGAACCTCATTGCTCTTAGATCCTTGAGGAAAAAAAACTCACTTTGCCATTCAACGGATATAAGATTTATTTTTATAATATCATTTTGTCAGAGGTTTTTTGCGTTGCCAACAATAACAATATGGTCTGTCTCAAATATTCCCGAATAATCTCGGCGAAACCTTCACGGTAGTTTTCTTACCAGTCAAACTTCATTATCCAGCGTTGAATGCAGGGAATAAGAAATTTGCTCATGATAGATGATTCGAGAGAACAGAGATGTTTAGTATTATATTAAGTGGAAGAAGTATTTAACGCGTCTAGAATATGACTTCGACAAGATCGCACTCAATTTGGAGAGACATGCAATATCGTACATCAAAAACTTGTCCACTTTAAAATGGCTCAGTGCTGTGCCTAAATGTATCGGATGTTTTTGTGAGATATCCGACTGCATATTATAGACCGATCTTGAATTATTACGCAAGGAATGCAATGGCACAAGAAAGCGACCACATATCTGCAGCCATTTAAAATTTAAATATTCAAACCTAGATACACAAAGATGTGTGCTTTGTATGACACTTTTTGTTTTAATTTGTCAACAACAGTCATCTTTGACAGTTCAGGAATTTTAAAGGTATTTTCTGTGAAAGTAAGGCCTTCGTATAAAAAAAATTACATGTTACAAAACTATCTCGATACTTAGGGTAATTTAGTGCTAACAACTGAGTTGGTAACGTAAATTGGGAGCCATAAAGAGTTTAAAAGCTGACGTTTCGAGCGCTAGCCCTTCATCAGAGCTCAGCCCTTTGTCAATCGCTCAGACGAAGGGCTAACGCTTGAAACGTCAACTTTGAAACTCTTTTACGGTGACCAATTTACTTTAACAACTCAGTTGATGATACTAAATTACCCTGTTACACTCTCCCACCGACGCTGCACCACAGTTTCTTTAGAAACTTACCCTCTTTATTCATTCTCTCGATATTAAGTAAAGGACGTGGATTCTTGATGAAGAAACCTTCGCTCCCGTGTTTTCAAGGAAATACCAGGCCTTTTCAATCATCAATTACTGGTTTTTCGTAACAAAGACGGAAGGGGGGGGGGGGGGGACGCCCTTAAAACTCCCCCGTCAATTTTTACGCCTACTGTTTAGATTTTTGGCGTTTATTGTTTATTAGGACTAACATGGAGTCCAAATATACTTTACAAACGGTTGTTGTTCTAATGATGAAGTACTTTAACAGTTCAAAATATGCAGGTAATAGCCTCTTCCTTACTGTTGCTCTCCATCATTGTTGGGTCACACGCACGGCTTCAACGTAATTCAAAAAGAGGTGAGATGAAAGTAACAAATCTTTCAAGTTCCATTACGCATTAGCAGTGCTGAACGTTGAAATGCACTAATTCACCTTACTCTGCTATTTTAGAAACCAAAGATGAACGAAAAAAAGTGAATACTCTTTTTGAGGACTTAGCAGAAGCTGGTAAGTTAAATTAGACAAAAATTCGAAACCTAATTTCGTCTCAGCTCAAAGACATGATTGACAATTCGCGTTAAATCTGTGTCGGCTATAGATTTACAAACGATATGAGGGTATGATTCCAGAATTCTTAGAGGATTATCACGCTGTTAGACCCATAGAAAAATGATGGACAGCCTATTCCTTGGCTAGAATATTTTTTCATTATGCCACGTGCACTTTTGTCTTTTTTCCGACAACCTTATTAGCTGTTTTCATGAAGTAGTGTTCCGTGGTAAATTAAATTTAACCTGTTTGTTTGTTATCAATTTTCACTCGTTTTACTTGGGCTAACTTACATTACATGTCCAACCACCTTACTTAAGTATCAGACATGGATTTTGATTAAATCTCTTTTAAACTTTTCTCTCACTCCTTCCTTTCGGGGCCAAAATTTCATCCAAAAGGTAAAGGAAGAAAGAAACCCTAAATGTACTCAGTCCTCCAAACTCCAGGCCCTGGTTGTCAATTTATATTAGAGAAACTCCTTACTCTCTATCTCCTATACTTTAAGATTTAAGTCTCATATTCTTCCATAGCCTAGCTAACCAAACTGAAAGAAAAATGATAACTCTCAGTATTACAATTTTTTTCTTCTTGGTTATCCAGAGAATCCTATCAAATTACGCAGTATCTGCGATGTTAACTATGTGAAAGTCGGATGCTTCAAAGAAGACACCAGCGACAGAGCGCTTTCACAGGAACTTTTCCAAGACAGGATACCAAGCGAGCCAAATTACAGTGGACAAGAGGTGAACTGGGGCGACTACAGTACATACCTCAAAAGGTGAACAGTATATAAAGTAAAATATTTCCACAACTTCATCCTGTTTGCCATAAATTGAAAATATGGTCGCGATCTTCAGAGAGAGACCAAATAGTTAAATACAGGGTTTTCAGAGCTTTACTACTTTCATTTTTTTTTTTTTGTACATCTTTACACACATACTTTTTATATTTTATGTTTTGGCGAGGCATTTTTTTCAACTTAAAATTCGTGTGTCATGTGAAAATAAGAAGTCTTTCAAATTTTTTCTAGAGGTCTTAAGATATATCAATAAATAAACGTTTTAAAATAGATTGGCTCAGAACACAGGAAGGTTTAATGCTTTTTTGCTGGATCGCTTTTTGAGTAGTTTGTGAAGACATCCCACGAGATCGTTCTTTATATTCTTTCATAATCTCTCCGCTTCATGAAGTTGTAGCTCCCAAAACGACAAAAAACTAATGAGTGTATATTGCTACCTCTTAAAGTCTGGCATGCCGCTGCGCCAAAAGCAGTGCCCAGAACGGTTCTACTTACTTTGGTCTCCAAGACTACGGACGATGCTTCAGTGATCCACATGCCTCTACAAGTTACAGCACGCATGGAGACTCGAGCAGTTGCTCTAATCAATACCACCAGCCGTGTGATGACAATGCTTACGGGCAGTGCGTAGGGAAAAACCAACAAGAGAATTACATATACAAAATCATGGATGGTATGCAAGACTCTTAAGTGTACTATACGTATTCTACCTAAGGTTTTATGTACATTTTCCTTTCTGTTTTTCAGCCGGGATAGAGCTGTTTTATTGTTATACTAAAGAGAGAGCTTGACTGTTTCAGAATTCTAAGTGTAGCGAAACCCAACTGGGCCGGTTACTTACAAGAGGTCTAACCAAAACCAGGGTTTTACCCAGTCAGTGGGCTTCAGGCATTCTCTGTAAGTGGGTTGATTTAAATGAATAAATGTCCTTCCACTCACAGCTCTCGGCCCCCTTGACGCTGTTCACAAAAATAAATGTTCAGATAAAAGGTTTAGCTAAATTGAGGACTGCTCAGGACGCGGTTTTGTTAAACAACGGCTCAACTTTGTTTAAATAACCAGACTATATGGGTCTATAGGATTCAAGGTACAGGGCGATTAAATTACAAATGATGTTATATCCATGAGTAAGCTTGTCTTGAGACCTCTTCCAGATCTCTCATAAATGAACTGAGCTTCTGCATTTTCTTGCCTCCCTGTCAAATATGCGAAAAATATACAGAGCAAATATACAAATTAATATCTAAACAGATAAACAAACAAAGAACTCAAGCAAGTAAAATAAACCCTTTGAATTACACTACCCATCATGTACGTTTACTTTTGCGTTGCATAAGGATTATTTTTTTTTGTCACACTACTTTACAGATGGCAGTGGTAATGGCGAGATTGATTACGGCAACGCATACGACCAAGTGGACCTTAAAGACTTGAATACTTACAATTAGCCAAATCCTGATGGTAGATAAACCCTCTTAATTACATTGTTATCCTCCTTTTGTTCTTAGCCAGGCATCGAGCTATTTGCATTCTGGAATGTTCTTTTTTTTCATTTACACTGGTGTTGACGAATGACTTTTAAGATCATTCAATCATCTCTTTGCTGTGTAAGGATGTTTAAATAAACAGGAGGAAAAAAATGTAATAATGATACTCGTACGCGTTATGTTCGTTGCTTTTAACCAAGAGTTAACTTATTCTATTAATAACGAGGAATATCGTTTCAGATAATGCCGATCAACCCAGAATGTGAACAGTTCAATTTTCGTTCCATTGATAAGCTGTTTGGGATCCAAGCTAGAAGGAGGGGTGTGGACGCTCTTGAAAATAAATATCGCGAACGGTGTCGAAAAACAGCAACCTTTCCAAGCTATTCTTCTTAATACATCGTTTGCAATTAAAAATGTCATGAATTGTTTACTTGCTAGATTTTACATCGGGACAATTACCGCTTGGATTTCGTATCGCGTGTTAACGTGTCTGTTAATTCTCTAGACCTATCTCGGTTGCTCCGTGTTCCATGCCCACGTTACGCTAGACCATTAATCCGTGCGTTCACCTGCCTATAAATGATCTCTTTGGTCCATTAATTGATCGTTTTGAGCTTTTAAATGATCTTTTGGTCCTTCAACTGAACTTTTTGGTCCTGTAATTGTCCCTGCTTACGCCGCATAAGCAGCGTAAGCTCATTTACTTTCTGTTCATAGTTTCTTTGTGGTTCTGAATTCGCGGAAACCTTGTTTGACGTTGTAGTTTTAGGTGTTCAGTCATGTAAAGGCTTTAATTTGAGCATGTAGAAGCCGTGGCTGAGAGGTGTTAGGGAATGTATTAATTGTCATACGTGGTGCTTGGGCTAATACCTACTGGCTGCAGTTGAGTGCTTCGATCAATCGTTCAATCTGGCCCCAGGACTTGGTGATCCCTCGATAAAATACCTCAGCATGTCTAACCCACTAAATAGCTCGTACATGTCCTTGATATAATCAAGAGATTATAATCTCTGGACATAATTCGACAATAATCCAGTGGAACCCTGAGGTGGGCTCCATAGCAGCATATCGTCTTACCAGAGCTTGTTAAAAATGCAGAAAGTCTCCTCGCTCTTCAGCTGGTAATTCGACCATGAAAGTTTCCAATGTACCAGCAGTTCAACAAAGACAAAAACAACGCTAGTCATGTTCACTATTTATTTTTTCGACACGCCAATTGATCACAAGAAGAAAACTAATGGTAAAACGTCGAAAATTAATCGTAAATATTCTTGTATAAAAAAGGAAATTATTGTATAATTGCATAGTTTTGCTTATAAGACAGTAGCAGGCACCATTAATAATTATCGTCTAGCTCTAAAAAACCTTCCATTCAGCTCTGTTTCAATTCCCATGGCTCATAATAGCAGCGATTCAACGTCCGTTTACACTGTAAAATCATGCTGAACAATTATTAAAATTGGTTAGTGTTTGAGTTAGCTTCGTCAATTATTGACGCCCGTTTTTCTATTGCTTATTAGCACGAAATATGGTTGGTTATTTGTACAACTGCAGACAGTAAAAAAGGCAGTGCTTGCCATATAGCTCGTTCGATACCTCATTATCCTTTTATACGTAAAATATGATAAGAAAAGCAGAACCTTAGGCCACATATTCTCTTTTTTTACGAGAAAACTAGACAAGGAGACCTTTTCTAGCTATCAACTGTTGTTACCCCAGCAACAAACTTTTTGATTTTCTACTTAAAAAAATTTGATATCTATAGCTAAAGTCGATTTCATTCGCTTCAAAATTCTTTTCATCCTCGGTTTGAAATCACCTTAATCTGAAGAGGCCTCTAAGGTTGTATCAAATAAGGAAAAATATCAAAATTATAAAGAGAGAATTTTTTTTAATTTAAGGGGTTCGTTTTTGTGTTTTGATGATCTGAGAAAAATCAATTGTTTACTGAAAGAGACAACACAGCTGATCCTGACAAAGGGGGTGAGATAGATATAAAAGCGAAATCTCCTTGCATACGTTGAAATTTGCCTTTCGTGTTTACGTCTATAACCAGCCGATCTTAGGTGCATTGAAAAGCCATCCCATTCCAATTTGAAAATCAAAGGTAAGTGTTTTATTTTTGAAGCTTATAGTAAAATTGTACCGGCATTTCAAGAAGGACATCTTGAATTGTGCTCATAAAATCTCTGGATTCTATTTGTCTTTTAAAAATTGAAAGACACCGCATCCTTACAGACATTTTTCTGTCAGTTTCTTAACGAAGGAAAAGTGTATCGAGCTCGATCATTTATTTTAACGAAAGTCATTTTTCTTTACGTACTGACTTATTCTTGATTTGGTGTCTGCTAAGGGGATTGGTGTAGTCTCAAGTACCTCAAGTACACTGACAAATAATTTTGAGTTATCTAAACTAGGAAATTGAAGATTAAACTAAAAATAAAGGCTCTTGTGCACGTGTAAAAAAGTGTTAGGCAGTAATTGAACCGCTATTTTGACATGCATTTTCTTTCTGCTTGGTTTTACATTGTTGTAGAAATTTAGTGTTGCGAATGAAAAATCAACAGCCATCATTTTTGTTCTTCCTAGTTTATCCATGCTGATAACAAAGATTTTTTTGGTTCTTTTGACTGTGGAATCATCGGTCACGGGTAACTAAGAGCCATTATTGTATTGGTTTATTTGCACAATATTTAGGGCTGATTTCCAATTATTATCGATTGTTCTAATCGTTTCTAAACGTGGAACAATCGGAACGATTGATTTGCATTCCGACTAAGCTCTATCCGAACGCTACTTAAAGTACAGAAAGAGTTTCCTATATATTCTACCGCCAGCCTCTGCGTATATTAACATTTTTCAAACATGCATACCAAAATTTCTGCACGCCTGTTGCCTGAGGTTGTACAACGAGTGCATTACTAGTAAATTCAAGCTCAGGATCCCTCCTTAAGGATCTCTGATTTGCTTGTATCGTCTAACAATACGCATAATCAAAGATTTCACGTTTTTTTTTAGGCTTGGGCACCGACGAGGAAATAAAACGGATGTACCGTGCATTTCTGGAAGACGGTAAGCTGAAATATCAATTAATCACTTCTCTTAGCAATTTCAAGATTAATAAGTTTTCGAGATGAGCTTCATCCCGTGTTTGGACGTTCTTTCTACCTCAATCGATTTTTACGTTTTTTCGTTTCAGAGAATCTTTCAGATGCAGCAGTAGAAGAATGCGACGTAAAATATGAAAAAGTCGGATGCTTTTCTGACAATCCTAAGAACAGGGCGCTTCCAAAACTGATCCTCAGTGATCGAGACAAAATAAACTGGCAACCTGGAGAATGGGAGAAATATTTAAAGAGGTAAAACTATTGAATGACACGCATACACAAGATATAATACTATACAATAAACTTTGTTGAGCGACTGGGAAATTAGACGCGAAGGAGCTGGAGTCCGGATTGAAAGGTCCTGCTTGAAGCGCATGCCGGGTCATTTTATCGTGTTCCTGGGTAATGAACGTTACTCCCATAGTTCATCTCTTTCTACAGAAACGGATTGCAAACGATAAACGGGTGCCTTAAACCGTTAGAAAAATCTAAGGAAAAACTGGGTGTAACATGGTTAGCGAGCTTAGCTTGGAAAACCGAAATAAGCTTAGGGGGGTACAGGTATATTGGTTTTAAAGCCTCTCCAGTGCTATTAACATTCAACGGGGAGGTAAGGGGAGAGGAGCGGGAAAGTAACTGGCCCCTGATTTCAGGATTGTTTTATGGGTAATTAAAGAGGAAAGGGGCCAATCTCGTTACCAACTCCTTGCACTTTTATTCATGGGTAGAGCCTTGGTAACTAGGTTGGAAAGGGTTTTAACAGAGGGTACTCACTCACGATTTCATTAGGCTCAACATCTAAATCTTAAACACGAGAAAGGTTTTTTCCCGTGGCCATAAATAAGGAGCATGAGTCAAGACTATTAGATATCAAACTTTGCTGGTGAGTTGTATAGACTAAAGCCTCTTGGCAACCTGTTTTATTTTTGGTCATGGGTTTTCATTTTTGGGATTTTTGCTTTGACTGATCATAACTTTTTAGTAGTATTACCATGTTCCTAATGAATTGTGTAATTTCTCTGGTTTTGGTCTAACGATAACAAACTGGAAAAAGCTTTTAAGAAGATTTTAGATAGAGTCCAGTGTTCCGTTTAGCAAAATGCGGAAAAGTACATCTGATGCTTTTTGATTCGCTTTGAATATTTACTTTTAGGCTTGCTTGCCGCTGTGCGGAAGCATCAAGCGGCGAAGGATACAATGTGTTTGGTCTTCAGTTTTACGGTGAATGTTGGAGTGGTTCAAACAGGCCTCCTCTTGGGTCTGATAGCTATAGAGAATCCAAAAAGTGTATTAGTTTTCAATACGAGAAATGCCAAAACAACGACCCCAATGAATGCGTCGGAGAAGCTATGACTAATTACGTGTACCGCATTATGGAAGGTAAAAAAAAAGATAAAAACAAAGATAACCGTTATGTTCTTATGCATGAGAGCGGACAGGATATTCGTTGTTAAAAATAGACAAATGCTAGAAAATCCCTTACAACAGCCCTGCCCCTTTGTAAGCACTTTTAAACATGGACCCGTCGTATTACGACACGCCGTGCAAAACTATCGTCCAATCAAAGAGATATAACTAGAGTAGAACCAAAGGAAAAACAATTGAGAGACATTTATCCTCAGGGAAAGAACGATGACGCAAAAATGTGGGGAAAATTACCACAAACGGATCGCAAAATCGCGGGTCAAAGTAATGATTCAGCATGCTCATTTTATGACACAACCCTCTTTAGCTATTTGGAGAATCTTTTAGCGCTGTTTTGAGAAAAATGATCGCATGCCACATGGCAATTCTAGTGCGCGAAACGAGTACGGCAATGACGCATGGTCGGCAAACGTCTCAAAAAGGAAAAGAAAATGGGAATTCTTCAACATGTAACAATTGTGACGAGAATGCTAATCAATATTTTGATATAACTTTGCTTACAAGTATCTGGCAACTAAATGAATGGATGTTTTACAAACAATTTTTTTGTCCTTGTTTTTGTTTTTGCTTTTTTTTTTCTTTTTAGGAGGAAGCGGAGGTGGATCCCCTAAAGCATGAGGAAGAACTAATCCATTTTTGACTCATTACACGGTCGCTTCAGTTGAAATATATCTCAAATAAAATACAAGTTCAACAAAGCCCACTACTCTTCATACATGACATAAAATATTTCACCAACACGAACTGGGGATTTTCAGTCATGTAACCATCACCAGCGCAGAATAGAATTGCCCTCGCAAAATTTTTCTTTTACGTGGTCTTTTTACAAATCGCCTCACCATGATCAAGTTCGACGAAATGAACAAGAGCTCATGACTTATGCTTCGTAGAAGATCGACTTATAACACTCTGGAAAACCTTTCAAGGTTGAATAAGGGTTTATATTTATAAAAGGGTTTATACTTATAAAAGAATTGGGGAAAATTTTTTAAAAGAGATATGCGCTTTGTTTGGTATACAATGACCACCAACCCACCTCCTACTTTAAAAATGCTCTTCTGCCTTCCTGAGTCTAAGACTAAAATATTTCCTTTGCTATCATGACAATAGCGAAATGCTTTTAAACGGGGCCACGCTATATTCCGTTGAATCATCACTCATTTGCAAAATTTGCACAACTGTTTCACTCACACGTAAAGGATAAGTATACCCGAAATTTTGAAAAAGTAACGTGATATGCCTTTTTTGAATTGTCAATCATTGTGTCAAATTTAAAGAGGGGTATTTCCTTATGAAATAAATTGTGCTATCGAAGAATACAAATCGACGAAAATTAATTATCGGTTGGGTGAAATTTGCAGAGAGGCAGTAATAAATGCTTGGGGAAGAAGTGTATTTCTTTCGCTCATCATGACAATTTTAACACCACAACAAATGTAGTCCACTGATTTGAATACAACTCAAATTTGATTAACTTAAAAACACGTCTAAATTTACTAGTGATTGAGCTGGTTGAGAAAAGAACAAACTGTGTTTTTTTAAGCTAACACAACCGGAAATTTAAAACGTGAGCGTCAGTTTGTTTTTTTCTAATTTGCATCTTTATCCTGACAGCTTTCGTGATATGTAATGTTACTCGCTACACTTTTTGAGGAAGTAATCCTGTTCCCATAAAATATCTTCTATCCGCGAACAAGGTATTTTATGTTATTTTGATATCTGATTGAATCTGATAATGTCTTCAAATTGAGAACGTTTTTTTTTTTATTTTTTATTTTCACCTCATAATTAAACAAAGGTGTTTTTGTCTTTACCTTGCTATTCGTGTTTCAGAGACAGAGCACAAAATTTTCCCAAATGAAAAAAGACGAAAATTTCACGGGTCTTTGTATATAATTGGCCTTTCGCCATGAGTGAGGGAAGTTATTCAAAATTAACATTTAAGTTGTATTAAGACATGCGCCTACCTCAGAACTAACATCAAAAAAATATTCGATCCTTTTTGAGAGCAGAATCTGGCTTTAAAATTTATTGCTCATAATAACACCCAAGCACATCCAGGGAAAGCATATTGAATAGATGTTAATTGTTAGCGATTTGATTCAAGCTCGGGAACGCAGCAAATGGGCAAGAAAAATGAATTCACATTTAAAAAGTTTTGGAAAAGAAAAAGTCAAAATCTTAAATTTATTGGCGCACTTCTGGTTCTTGTTCACACTGAACTGAGTCTTCTCTACACGAAAAGTAGTGCAACGCCACATAGGGGAAACCTTCTATTCACTGTATTTAAACTGCTATTTAAAGGCCTGAGGTATCTCGCCATAGCTGTTCCAAGTTCCGGAGTAATTTGTTCCCTGCTAGTGTTCCGAGTGAAGTGTTCTTGCATATCGATTTTAAATTGTTTTCACGGGATTTTCTTCCTTTCAGATCACCTAGTATGAAGCTGACTTTAACAAGTCCCTATCTGATTTTATTACCATTGATTTGTGTACATGGATTTATCATGGAAGGTAATGAAAATGCTTTGCTGTCTGATGTTCGTTAACTGCGCGCGGTAAAGGGAAAGAGATATAACGATGGCTTAACGATGATATGATTTAAGCAACAAGGCAGTTGTAAAGCGTACTTTAGTGTCGAGGATTTCATCATTTAACGTTTTAATCACTTAGCATGAAGTGATTATAGCAGTGACGCTAAACAGATTGAACCTGCCACGATCGGCTTCTTGTTTGAAATTTTAAGCCTGTTTTACACTTTCTTACAAAACAAACATTGACACGATCAGTATTTATTAGCTCGTTTTATTCAGTTTTTGCTTCCGTTAGTGGATAGTCGATACTGAGATAGTCGCCCGATGGTAGATCGATTCTCTTCCGTTACTTGACCGATATCTCGATCGACATGTCGGCCGACAATCGCCCGATCATCGGTCTATCATCAGTTCGCTATCGACAGAGTATGGAATGGCTATCTCAGATGGGTCGACTGAAATGTCGACCAAGGATACACATGTAGAAGCAGCTACGATAAAAACAGCAAAACCGACAAAAATAAAAACAGGAACAACTTTTGTTACTTAAAAGGTAAGACGAATTCCATTTGACCAAGTGCGAAAAAATATTCCCAGTCCCTTCAGTCTCGCGAAGTGCGACGTAGTTCAAAGTGGAGTTTTTTTAGACAATCACTTCCCTCTCGATCTGCCAAATCTATGAGTAGATCGATTTGTCATGAAGAGTTATCGTATATTTGTCTTAGATTCAGACCAAGATGTTCCTGTGGGAGGGCTGAAACCTGGCTGTGAAGTGAAATTTGAGAAAGTTGGATGCTTTAAAGACAAAGTTGACATACGGGCTCTTCCTGAATTAATCTTCCACCAAAGATACAGTATCAGTTGGGATCTTGGTAAATGGGGAGATTATTTAAAACAGTAAGTTTTTCGAAAAAACACAACACGATTTTAATAGGTTTTCATACAGACTTACGCAACGACGATCCATTCTCTTATAAAGATTCCCGAATAAAATGGCTGAAATAGCAATTTTAGGCATCAGTTTACCTTTGGAAGGTTTTTATTACTTTTCGTTTTTTTAATTTACAAATCATTAACTTTCAGGTGCAGTCGTATCGGTTTACAGTCACCACGTCCCACAATCAACTAACTCACTCAACGAAATACTGATTTAAGAACTTAATGCTTGGACAAGCAAACTTACCCCCCCTTTTTGATAAACAGAGATGAGGGGAGGGGAGGTGGGGACGAAACTGTGTTTGGAACCCATACGAAGGATCAAGAGTAATGCTCAGCAGACCGTCAGCGGACTTTTAAAATCTTCTCAGAAAGCTCCTCTTTAAGCCAAATCAGCAAGTTTAATTATGAAAGATAATCTCGTTTCGTGATAAGATATTTTTTTTCAACTTTAGGCTGGCTTGCAAATGTGCCAAAGGAACGGAAGACAGAGGTTACAGTCATTTCGGTCTTCAGTTCTATGCTGAATGCTGGACGGGTCTCAAGGCTGCTGCAAGGTTTGATATCTACGGCAAGTCAAAGCACTGTAAGGATGGTCGCTTCTTAAAATGTGATGACGGAGATAAAGGAGAGTGCGTCGGTGGAGGTCACGCCAACTACATTTACCGTATTATACCTACAGGTAATGACAATAGCCTCGGTGTACAAGCTTTGCGCTCTGCGCTAAATTACGGATTATCTTTGCTGCGAGCGCGTCGATAGCCTAAAACGTGCGTTTCAGGCTATGCATTTATGATCTATCCTTCCGTTCCCAACATTTCCAAGATAATTTTTTTGAAGAAATTCTTACTACATTTGACTTGAGTCACCTCTGCCGTCTTCGATCCTATTTCAATAGAGAACGCTCAGGCTGAATACCAAGAGGCTTCTCGTAGTTAATTCTAGTTAGCCAATGCTTTCTTTGTTTATTTAGATTACATTACCAGTGTGCATGTGTGCGACTTATTTACAGACTGAGACAACCCTACAGAGGTGAAAGAATCAAACAATAAAAAAATTAAAATTGTGTTATTTTTATTCAACAGAAGGCGGAAGTGGAGTAGAACCCATGCTTGATTGAGAGTCTATGCGCACTTAAACACCGAAAAAGTTAATAATAAATGAGTATTTCAGAATACGTGTGATTTGTGTGATTTGAGATGATCATTATCAAAAAAATACACAGGGGAAGGACAAAAATTCTCCTTGAAGCAATATTTAGTTAATAAAAAAGAGTATTTTGCTCCTGGTTAGGTAGCCTGACACCTGCTGACAAACTGTTCACCTAACAGCTCATATCCATTGATTCATTTGCTTAAGACCACCCTCATTTATGGAAGAAATCACAATGCAATTGATCCAAATTTGAAACAAGCGATGGTTGCAGGAGCAACTGCATAGTCATCATTCATATGAGTATGACACGAAATTTGTCTTGAATGAAAAATGATAATAACCATACCAGTTAGTCTATGTAAATTATTCGATTGTCGGATATGAATTTTGTAGGAAATGTTTATTTTTAGTGAGAGAGTCTTTTTTTTTTGTTTATACATCATAATGGTATGTCATCTGAAAATACATTTTGATTTTACAAAAAGAGAATGAGGACTTGAAATCACTATTTCTTTGAGCTTAATCAAAAGCTGAAAACTGGAGATTGTTCTGTTTATTTGACTTCGTGCGCACAGCCAATTATAAAATGATTATAGATTTTTAAATGACTGACTTTTTTTGGTCAAAAACTTTGAAATTTAATTTCATCAGGATACAGAGAATTATTTCGTTGTTTCTTTCATTGTCTGGCTCACACAACTGAATTCTCCAACTAAATTTCTCTCCGTGTAAGGAGACAAATGTTGGTAATTGGTTCGTCGACGTGTGAAAAGTGTTTTATTGTAATGTAAATCACTGCAGCTTTGAGACAACAAAACTTCACATGTGAGTTTAGTTTGGCGAACGCGAACGGATATCATCGTTGAGCAGAATTTCAAATCGTTTAACTAAAAACTCAGGTAAGTATGAATATATATATATATTTTTTAAATCCCATATCATTTTTTAAAATAAGTCAGTATCTTTGTTAGCTTCGATGATGACATAGTAATGACTGACTCCTCAACACTTGGCCTAGTTTGCTTATATCGTTATACTGATTTTAAATATATCATCTGCAATATATCATTACTGGTTTTGAATGAAAACACCATACACACCAAGTCAACCACTTCGCTTGTCATTCTTGTCATCTTTCTCGATGATAACTGCATCCTTAGATTATACTTTTTTAGTTGCCCTTCGTTTGTTGCACATTTGGATGTTTACAAGTAAGGAAAATATTCCCGATGTCCAATTTCTCTATTGACACAAAGATTCGAGAACCTTTCAGAATTCTTTCAGCTTTCTGAATTTTCAATTTACCAAGGAACCGATATTGAGGATAAAGCCTTTATCATGCCGTGCATTAGTTAAGGAAGGAAATTAAATTTTATTCTTTAACATCGATAGAGGATGAAGTATTGTTATAACATAGCGCGCGCGCAAGGCCTATCTATTTCCTAAGGAGCTAGCATGGTAAAAATCGCTATGTACAGTACAGCCGTGCATCTATTACATGACATGTGCGATTTCTCTTCGGCTGAAAGTTCCCGTTGAGTTTAGCCGCGAGGATTCAAAACCTTTACCCGCTCTATTTTGATTGAGATAGACCTTTTGGAGCTCAAAATAGAAATAAAACTTGCTAAATAATACTCGTTTCGAAAAACAATGAGTATTTAGTTCTTTAAAGCGACGAAATAAATTTTGGAGTTAACGATACTTCATTCGCGATGCGAATATGGCTGAAAACAAACCTAGGCTTTCTGACTTCAACTGAGGCCTTGCGATTTTGGGTAACCTTCATTAAACGGTAAAAATTATTTTGAAGTGTTGATATGTCCTGCGCCTCGAGCAACTTTTACGCTTCTCTCGTGCACTCCAAACTTCCCGCATCCTCGACTCGATAGACGCGTGCTGAGCATGGACGAATTTTCTATTAATGCAAATTTTGACCTTTCAAACGCCATCGACAATACGGACACAATTTTTATTATGAAATTAATGTCGGATATGAATTCAAATCAGTATATTTCCATGTTTCATAATTCCGGAGTGTACTTAAGCTCTCTTTTTCTGTCACTTTCTGTTAGGAACTTCGTTTCAGGGCTTGATGAGATGATGAGGCTGTTTTTCCTTGCATTCCTTGTTTTCAGAATGTCATTCTCTTCAGGTAGACCCTATAATTTTGTCTTTTGCACTTGCCACGTAAAGGGGTTATCTCGGCACTACATTTGTAAACCGACCGGCTACTGGCATCAAAATTACGGTGGTGACACCATTTAGATCCTAACATCATTTTCAGCTATGCCATGTCCTTCCTTTGACCCCTCTCTCCATGAACGTTTTTTTTTTTAACTCGCTTGTTGTTGTTCTACGTTATCGCGAAATTAGGTAAGGGGAAGAAGTTTTTTTCTTGAGGTATGAAAAGAGATTATATTCTCTTAGGTGTGATGAATTAGTCAGTAGACGAACCCCTTAAGGCGGCTGGTACGTCCATTGACAGTGTCCGCGTCTGAGAGATTGTCCGAAAAATGAAAAGTTGGCTGAGAATCGAAGCTTCAAGGGCAAACATGAAATTCTGAGGACAATCTCTCAGCCAAGAACATTATCATCCGACATATCAGCCAGCCAGAAGGGAGGCTATTTATTTTCTAACCCTTCCGTTCATTTTCGTATCGCGCGTTGACAAGAAATTCCGTTGAGTTTTTGAGTTCGTTACTCTTTCACGTGAAGTAAGAAAGATGAAAAAGCAAAACTCTTTTTCCCGCTGGCTTTGTTTGTTTTCGACGGAAATAGTCAGGGGATAAACATCGACGTAGATAGGGGTTGTTGCGTGATAATTGTTGGCTGACTATGCACCATGTAATGTAAAGTAGCAAATAGAATCTCGTGGAAATTAATGGAAGGGTAAAAAGGGGCGATAAATCGTGATAACAACAATTCTCGAGTCGTTCCTAAAAATTGGTCACCTGATATCTAACTATGTATAACTAATTTTTTCCCGCTGGCAGCTTTCAAGCATCATAGAATAAACCTGATAATCGTAGTTCTATTGACTACATAACTTAAAATTAAATTAGCTTAAAAAGGGAATTAGCGGATACAAGGATCTACTTGTTTTACGACGACGACGGCGTTTTTCTTTTAACCGAGTCCTACTAAAAAAAAATGAGGTGAATTTTGTTGTAGCTAATTTGGCAGATTGAAAAACATTTCCCTTTCGAAAAGGTTCAAATCATTTCCTTTACTTTGACCAATTCGTTCCTTTTCTTGACTAGTGCATGGTCAGCATGTCACATGCGAGCGATCCTTCTACAAGTTAGGATGCTTCCAGGACAGGACATGGTCCAGATCCATGTCTAAACTGCTTATCAATGACCGCGGCAGGTCATCCCAAAGTCAACAGATCGACTGGAAGAACTGGGAAGCTTACATGCATGGGTTTGTACAGTTCATGAATACGAATAACTTGATATGAATGTGGGAAAGCATAATTATCGGCATCTTGACTTTCTTGCGAAAGATATATTTATGCGTGCGCTTTTGAACTTTTGAGCATTTTATTTATTCCTTGTAGTCTTTGTCTTGAAATTCTCTTCAAGTTTGAAAACACTCTCGCAACCTTTGTCATGAAGTAAGCATTGTCTTTCTTAAAGTGGCTCTCAGTTAATTAACATTCATTCAAAGTTATATATCTGGTTCTCAGGACAAATTAATACTCTGTAATCTATGCTTTTCAATTTTCCCGCATGGATTTAAAATGTGAATCTTCATTTCTAAACTTGACCGAGAAAAATAATCATTTCCTAGCCTAGCCTGCCGTTGTGCCCAGACTGCCTCTCAGCATGGATACACTATGTTTGGTCTTCAGCATTATGGAGAATGTTGGTCGGGTCCAGGGTCATGTGACCAGTATTCTCTTCATGGAGAATCCCAATTGTGCATCGGTAAGAACTTCACGATGTGTAATATCAATGATGAAGGCGAGTGTGTTGGGAAGGCCAACGCCAACTTCGTGTACCTCTTGCTAGAAGGTGAGTATAAATAAAATATAGAGATTCGTGATCTACTCAATTGCTTTTCATGATTTATCACTTGATCGGTCCATCCTCAGTTTGGCTCTAGGTTTTGACTGATCTTTACCTTTGTTTTCCTTTATCTCTCTAGCGTCGGCCTTGTTTATGTTAAGAATAAGTGTTACGCGGAAGGTTTTGGCACTCATAAAATAATCTTATCAACTCAAGTCAATTTTGATGCCGTCCGTTAGTTATAAGTAATTACGTGTGTCAGCTTAATGGATGTACTTTATTTTCAGCCGGCAGGTCGGATGAAATTTATTTCATTACAAATTGTGATCAGATATCTCCACGGGGAAAGAAGAACACCATTTAATTTTCCATGCAACCAACGTTTGGCTTCTTAGTTTCGGTTAATAATAGCGCCCAGCTAGTATCTGGGAAGTGAGGGTTCGTATCCTGTCGATGCCTAAAATATATTTCAAGCTTCTTTTTTGCAATTGCTAGATTGCAGCTAACCTTCTAGGGTATTACTTTTATTGATTTGTAGTGTACCAGCTTAATAGTCAAAAAAGGCAAGTTTATTACATTTTTATGATTCTCTCTTCTGAGTCTTTTTAATTCCACATCAGTATCTTTTTTAACTTTGTGTTCCTTTCAGAACCAGAGAAGGAAGTGGGCATCTAATAAATGAAGAAACTTCTTCACAGCGCTTTAAAGTATCGTAGACGTTAAAGTTTTCTCAAAGCTGTAATCGAAGCATTCTAATTAAAAACAAGTTGCACCTTAGACATTGTAGTTGTACTGACTCTTCGATAGCCACAATGTGATACCAAAGATGATCGACCCAACTTATATTTCTGTAAAAATGTGCAACAAGCTAGTCTGCAAACGCCAGCTATGAGATTCAGAGATAATAAAAGGCTGCAAGGATTTCAGTCATTTCCCTCATTAGAAGCTATATATCATTTTAAAAAGAAAAGCGTGGCACAGGTCCGTAACAAATTTGTTGTAATGCTGAAAGCCTAACATTTGTACCGAGTAGATTTTGGATTATTTCCTTTTTCAGTAATTTGCTTCATGTAACAACACGAGATTGTACTCTTGAATGTGTTTGTCCTGTCCTTAAGTATGTGCACATACATGAAGTACATTTCTAAACAATTTACATGGAGAAAATGGTTTAGCTATATAACCGTCAAGAGTTTGCAACAGCGTACAGGTAATACCTGTATGTATAGAAACATCTAGATAGTTTTCGCATCTCCAAAAGAGGGTGATTAAAGAATAATTTATAAGGGTGGGGGGAGGGGGAACAGTAGCAAATCTTCTTTAAAAGAAGTGTTCTTTTAGAATGATGCGTTACAGTTTATTTAAACGGTGCTTCAGGTGGTTCGGTTTTTGATCCTTGGCGTTTTCAATTTCTTCTTTCTTATAAAAAGGATCTCTTTCGCTAAGCTCGTACGTATCCTGTTTTTCTTTGGGCCTTCAAAATAAGGAGAAAAAAAAGCACAATCAGCGCTTTCAGAATACAATATCTTCGACAAAGATTGTTTGTTCGATGAGCTGTGTTACTTTACAGTTGTGTAACGTAAAATAGTTTCTTGGGCGTGCATTAAGATGCAATATTGTTCATAACAAATTTCTTTAAAAAGCCGACCGAAATTAAAAAAAAATTGTATAATGAGAGAACAACTCTCAGAGAAAGAAGGTGAATGATTCATACCTGAGCATTTTATGTCGCTGATCATGAAACTAACATTATTGAAGAAAGGCAGTCTGTATTTGCTCGCACTTAGAGACATTGTATAACTTACACACTCAACCTTGAAATTGAAAATTTTCGCCTGAAACAAAAGCTGCCCGTGATGTATAAGAATACTTAGCTTGCTCTGGTACGAATTACCTTCAAAGGCGCCAAAGGATTTTAACTAGGTGTTTCTTAATTATCTTTATACTAGTTACTGGGTTGAAGGCAGCGGATATGTACACTCACATTGTATTGGATGAGCATGTACCACATGCTCTCTTACACATCATGTTTATGGTTCCTATGCTGGCTGTCGGAGCATACTCACTGCAAAAACCACGTGATGCATAGTCGTTGCAGTCATCTGAGTAGTCCTTGCAGTCTGTCATTATAGAAATAAATCATGAGCCCACTTTAATTATTCTTTGACTAAAGCTATCTCCACTTCGGAACGGTATAGATAGAAAATTATAATTGGTCGTAGACTGGATCATTTATTAGTTTAATGGTTATTCATTCCTTTTCACATACTAAAATATAAGTATTGAAAGGGTAGCGATTGCGTTTATAGATCCATTTGATTAGCGATCAGTAAACCAGGCCAGTTTAAACTGTGAGATAACCAAAGTCGCTCGCTTGGTTGACCGTGCTGGCCTCGTTTATTAGACGGGTGGTAAATATTCGAATACCAAGCGGCAACAAATAATACTTGATTATCTTAAGCCTAAGATCTAGCAGAGAGTCCAAAATTCTTGGAGAAATTTCATTTGTCAAAGAAATTTTTGTTCACGTGTAAACCGAACGGATCTTAAGTTATTGGCAATTCTTTATACTTTCTTAGGAATACTTACCATTGTCTTCCACGGTCATTTTTCCGTCATCAAATTTGTATTCACCATAATAATCTGTGTCAGGATTTGTCGTGGGGTGTACGGCATCATTGGTGTTGCTAAATGAGTCAGCGTTATAGCTTTGCTCTTCATGTCTTTGTCGGCCCATAGCTAGTTGCTTGACTTCATAATCTCCACTAATTTTGGCAGTGGGTCGTTTTCTCTTGGAATGTCTCCGCTCACCATCAAACGGTTGAACGTGGACTTTATCATGCCTATGATGATGATGATGGTGACGCTTGAAGCCCTCTTCCACTTCATCGTCATCTTGAAATTCACTTGGACAGTAATCACACAGTTCCTGATGCCCTATAACACATGTACACGTTCTTTACATGCATTAAAAAAATCATAATTTACCTCTGACAAGGAATTTCCATTAAAATGTTCTTATCGAACTCACCGTCAAAGCAGGGTCGACAGAAGTGAACAGAAATGCCTGTTTAAGATAAATGTACATTTTGTTAGAATCGGTTGAAACGTCGCAACCCGTGAAGGAAATAACTTCAACAACGAGACAAGCAATTATTATTCATTTCACAAACTGATTAAAAAAGTGTCATTCTGACCTTTTAATATTTTGGTGACTACTTGTTGTGCAGTTCGCCCCATTTGTGAGTAATCACCCCTGAAAATGTGTTCACTGTGTGGAAAACTTGCCATTGCGTGAAGTTGTAGTTTACTGTAAAGGTTGCCGATACCCACGCAAAACATTTCCACTCCATTCGACCTGATATCCATAGACGGTGTGATAACATCATCAATAGATCTTCCGGCAGCAAGAAGAACAATGGCTCTCGGCACATGTCCTCTTCCTGAGGCACTGAAGAGGTAGTGCTTTGCAACGAGCAAACCCCGTCCTATGTATGTTCCTGGACCATCTGTTCCAGGATATTGCACAGAAGACAATGCTTGATCGATGTTTTGTATATCAAAGTATGTGTGAAAGTTAAAGATGACAAAAGCCTCAAGAGAAAAAACAACAACTCCGACGCGAGTCATGTCGTGATGGATGGAGAACGAATGCGACACGGCGCTAACGAAGTTGAGTAACTGCTGGAAGTTTTGTTCGTTTCCAACAGCTGAAGACCCATCGACCAAGAACGCCAAATCCAATACGACTATAGAAAATGACAAGAAAGAAGAATTAACCAGTTATACATGACTTTTGTGTCTAGATATTAAAATCAGAACAACGAAATCATGGATTTAAGGTGTTGTTACGTGCTCACCTTCCATTCCTCTTGCTCCTCCTACACTTCCTGCTCCAGCTCCACCCATATTAGCTCCACCGATGCCTCCCCCGATACCTACTCCACCGCCAGTCCCAATACCACCGATACCCCCACCTATTCCACCGATACCCCCTCCCGCCCCTCCTCCCATGCCTCCACCAACACCTCCTACTCCAACCCCAACCCCTCCACCTATGTTCCCGCCAGCACCAGTCACACCTCCGATACTTCCTCCCATACCCCCTCCTACCCCTCCCACGTTTCCGCCAGCACCACCTCCTACCATTCCGCCACCACCCGTCATCCCACCGGCTCCAGCCATACCACCACCCGTCATCCCACCGCCTCCGAGCATGCCTCCACCCGCCATTCCGCCGCCTCCAACCGTGCCACCACCCACCATCCCGCCACCCCCGACCATGCCTCCACCTGTCATCCCACCGCCTCCAGCCATCCCACCAGCTCCAACAGCGCCGCCTCCACCCATTCCACCAGCTCCAACACCGCCACCTCCTCCAGTCATACCTCCAGCTCCAACACCAAGTCCACCCCCTATATTTCCCCCTCCGACTCCAATATTTGTTCCGCCTGCTCCTACCATACCCCCCGCGCCTCCGATGCCACCTCCAATGTTTCCCCCTACCCCGCCAGTAACTCCTGTTGACGCTCCTAGGGAAAATTAAAAAATAAATGAGAACAACAGATTATAATTTCTCGAGCATCTGTTTAGTAACAGAAACTTATAACGACAAAATTTGATTTTTTTTCTTTTTCTTCTTTTTTTCAATTTTATTTTACCACGCATATTAATTACTCGGAAATTCATAAGAAAAAAACGACTTTGCTTTCAAATCAAATATCGCTTAGGACCTGAAGAAGTAGCTTATAAATGCTATCTATGTGAGCTAGAAAAAATAATAGCCTATTTCTCCTAAAAAATTCAAGCATTTTTATTGCGTTTTGGCAAGCGAAAAACAGCATGTTAATTGCATATCAGTGAGAATGAGGTTAATGTTATATTATTATGAAACCGCAGCAACATCCTCTTTAATATGCACAAACCATTATTTAGTAAGAACTGTATTCTATCTTCACACAAGGGTACCTTTATCTTATGTTATAAATATCGCTTAGTTTACAGGTGTAAGCAAATATGCTTTTATTGTTATGGCTTGTCTTGAGGTAAGTACCTAGCTTTTCATCGTTAAATTGGAACTCACTAAACAGCAAACGGCAGCACACGAATTTATGCGTATTTTATTTCAGAGTCTACTTTCATGTTATTTTAGTTTTCGTTCCAGATATGCTGATATTAAATATTGATGGATTAATCAGTGCATTTGTTATTGCATTATGGCAATATAATGGAGAAAGAATTTTGGGGTTTTTGCGAATGCGTTAGAAAAAACGTAGACGAGAGCCAAATTTTGCACTTGCAGCCCAAGGTAACAAGCGATATTATAATACAAGTTAGAAGCAATAGTAGAGTTGAAAACTTTATGCATCTTGGGTCTTCTCTTGAATTCAAGTAGAAGAGAGTCTCATGCGTTTTACGCCCAGTATGTTAGAGGAGTCTTGTCAGCCACCATGCAGTCATCGCTTTGAGAGTCCATGCGCATGCTTCTCTCACCATCTTATCTTACCATTATCACCTAATTCACTGATGCCCTCTGCAGGAATACTGGTACCAACCGCATGAATGGTACCAGGCGGTGATTCAACACCAACCCCAGCTGGCGTTGTGGAGCCAAATCTTTGGTTAGAGGGAACAAGGGGAGGCGGATTTGGCACCACCTGGGCGGGAGGGGGCATTCCGTTTCCGACTGCTTGCTGTGTTCCTGGTGCAGACTCAATTACCATGCCTGTCGGTGAACTCGACGCTACGTTTGAAGAGGGTAAACTTTCCATTCCCTGAGAGCAGTCCCTCCCGCCTGGTAGACGAAGATTTCCTGGAATTCTTGTTCCAGTAGTAGGCAACAGGTCCGGTTCAGGCTCTCCTCCGAGGCACTGAGGACCAGTCTGGTGCATTGAAGGTGGCTCAATACTGTTGACTGCTCCTGCGTTGTTGTTCATTTCGGCTGTGTCCACACCTTTCATTGTTCCAGGAGGAGATTCTACAGAAGTACCAGCAGCAGTTGTGGATGCCATATCTAATGAAGAGGAAATTCTTCGGCCACCTGTTGGCTTTAGCGCTTCTGATTCCTTTTCTTTCAATGCATCTTTTATGTCGCTTCCAAGTAACTTGGTCAAAAGAACTTTCATAAGGCCATTCGTTTGAAGCCCCTTGCTCTCCGTTGTTATGGAAACCCCCGCCGTATTTACTTCTGTTCCATTTTTGTTTTCTTTGTTGCTCGTTGCCTGTATATGTAACTTACCCAGGTTTTCGTCCTCCTTGACCACATGTTGTTGCGTGCCATGCGAATCGTCATCTTTTACGTTCTCATTATTTAAACTTATAACAACTGCGTTCTCTTTTTTACCCTTGTTTTCATCCAGTGAAGGATCCGCTTTTTGTGATGTATCGTCAATATCCTTTAAAACTTCTTGAAGAGAAATGCTTTCAGTAGGCTGATTAGTGGACTCTTCTTTGCTAGTTTTGTCACCATCCAGCTGAATACCTATTCTAAGCGGATTCAACTTCGCCTCCAATAACACCTTCGAATCTGTTTTACCTTCCTGCTTATCCGGGTTTTGAGCTGATAAATCAGAAGCCTCTTTTTGTTGTGGTACGTGTTCACTGCTTTCATTTGAAGAACGCCCATCAAAAGAAATTTGCTTGCCGCCGTATAAGTCGTTAAGTAAGACGTCCTTTTCGCCCGATCCCCTACCGCTGACTTGAAAGGAAATGGGAACGTTTGCTCCCTTCATGATATCTAAAGATTTGCTCCTGGCATTAGCTCCAGTCTCTCTCATATTTCCCTGTTTAAAATCATTGGTTACAGACAGAACTTGGGGTGTTTCGCCACTTTGGTTTCGACCGTGTTTTACAACTGTTATCCGAAGGACCGTATGTTTCCTCGTGTCTGGATGTTTGAGAGAGTTGTTTGCATTGGTGACATTCACCTTTCCCCGGTCAAATATTAGTCTCTCTGTTCCATTGGATATCGATATGTTGTTTTCGACAGAGTATATTGCAGATCTTCGTGGTTTTCTTACCTCAGCCATGGCATCACCTATAGGTGGGCGCCAGTTTCCAGGAGAAATTTTTTCAAATGACATACACATACGTCCTTTCAACGTCTCTTATTGTTATCGCGAGGTAAAGCCGCTGATATTAATGCAGAAGTAACTTGCAGATGTGAATGTCAGCCGTCAGTTGTTCTTCTGTAAACATTGTTGGTAATTTTTCAATCTGAATATAATTGATTTTTACGATTTTTTTCTACTATGGTTAGGTGGCATAAAAAGATTACCTTCGCCAACGTTTTGCGTTCCGCAAATGGGCGCTAACGGCTGACATCCACAGAGGTGAGGCAAATGAAGCGGTCTTACAGAACAACCAGGACCTACCCCTCCTACTCCTGTATAATAGAATTAGAATTTGACAGCTAGTTTTAGTGCAGTTTGTAGACTCCGGGTCTCAAAACATGAATCGTTCATTATTTCCCATCTTGGAATGCGGTTGAATGAATCACTACAGGTTGCAGTGAGAGTGTAACGGTTACGGGCATATTTCGACTTGCTGGCGTCGCGCACAAATTACAAAGTGACGATTCGTGTATCGCGAATCCGGGTCTACATACTGGCAGTGCCGAAATGGACTGTAAATTGTTATCCTCTCCCTTGAAGGTAGATCACATTTACGATGGCTAAGTTTCTAAAACACGGAAAACAATGATCATTGAAAGCTTTTTGGATCAATTATCTGTTAAAAGTTTCCATTTTATTTCTCCTCTGACCTATTCCTTGAATATTAACCAAGGACGACTTACGGGGAGGCCAAGTATAAAGCTCTTGGCCAGTTTTCTGATACACTCAGGTACACGTAAGATACCCACGTATACATACACAGGGTCGAGGCAGTCTGAGAGTACTTAAACCCGTCAAGTTTCGTCCTTAGATTATTTATTGACTTGTCGGAGAGTATTGAATTAAAATTTAATCTGGATAGATAAATAGGATCGCTCATGGAGGAAATAGGAGATCGTGAAATGAATAGGAAACTTTTATAATCTACAACTGTTTGACGAATCAAAAGTTGAACCTTTTTTTCGCCTGTATTTATAGATTTTTTTCGAGAATACAGTTATACGTGTTATATATTCTTGTGACTGACTGATTTGATCTCGGATAAACTTAGACGAAAGTTTCTGAGAAAACAGACCCAGAAAAGGATCCACTCGAACGAAAAATTGTTCCTTGAAAGATTGAAATAAGCAGTTGCTCAACTCACCTCCTCCTCCACCCATGGCACCACCGACTGCCCCTGTGGAGCCTCCAACACCCATTCCACCGACTCCACCTGCAACTCCTCCTAACAGAAAAATAAGAAAATGTATCGTGTCGTTTCTTTTTTTACACTGCAAAGTTTTTCTTGTTTTTTTTTTTTATATTTTTAGTGTGAAAGGATTGACAAAACGAAATGAACAGTAGTGCAAATCATGGGAAAAAAATGATTGTCTCCTAATTACGGGTTGCACGCCAATACCAACTGAGAAACAAAAGCAAATATGGCAAGGGAGGCAATTATTGATGAATTGTGAAAGTGTGTTTTGTTGCTATTGTTGCTCCACCTGCTCCAATGGATCCTCCAACGCCCATTCCTCCAGCTCCACCAGCAATCCCACCTGAATAGGAGAGATGAAAGCGATGGAAAACGTTCAGTCCACTCAAAAAAAGTTAACCGTCTCTAATATGACTATTTACCGAAAGACCACCAAATATTAATCAAGACATCACTAGATACACATGCAAAATCGGTCGTTTTGATATTGAGCTCAATTTCCCATTCCTTATTCTGTTGTCTGAAAGGAAGCAGTTCAAAATTGGTTTGATGGACTCTTTAAACTTTCAAAGTCAATACCAAAGCTTCAAAACTTCTCAATGCATTTTCGAAAAACCTCATACGAGTGTGAGGTTCATGTGCTATGTTACTAAAAACCAGATCACTACACCCAGGATACATAAGAAAGTTCAAATGGAAATGAACACAACTGCTCTGATAGGCTTCACCTTAAATTTAATAATAGTTTTGTGGTTGTCAATTCACCTGAAATTCCCCCTGCTGCTCCGGCAGCGCCAGCTCCACCTGCCATCCCTCCGGCTTTATTGAATAAAAGATATTGTTATTACGGGACGGATTTATCATGCCCTTTAAGTGTCCATAAGTTAAGTAAAACTGATTAAAATGTTTATAGATTTTTCTATATCAAATGCCTGACTGAAGTAACTTACGCAGCTTTTTTACGAACACTCCAGGACAATAAAAGAAGCGACTTCGCCCCTAAATGTTTCAAAGCGCACAAAAAACGTCCTGGTAATTACTGGGTACGTTATTCGATTATACTGTATTGCAATGTTAAACTCTAAAATCAATATCATGTTGTCTTGTAATGTTTAAGTAAGCCATTAAAAGTCACGATGAAGCTAAACGTTGTGTTATATACTACAGTGAAATGTCACGTAACGTTGCAGTGTTGTAGTTTGTAATTCTTTGTCGTAGCTGCAATTGTGTTCGGAGCCGCACTCGCTAGATATTGCTGCAGGGGTTTTGTTAGAAGTTGATTTGGAGAATATTGTGCATTAGACTTAGTGTCTATGCATTCTGCATAGGCATGACGACCTGCTGTGACAGTTTTAATTTGACCTTTTTGCATCAGTACAAATGTTAAAAATGCAACACTAGACCATTCTCATATTCACTTTGAGTATCGGAAACGAAGATTTCATTTAAACGTTTCGTTTCCAAGGACATACTCCTAGAAAATTTGGTTTTATTTCTCCATCATTGAAGCATGAATTCAAACGTTTGTCATATTCATTCATCATTCATTTTCTACATGTTCCCTCACGATTCTCTCGATAAGCCTCCCTGAAAAGACCTTACTAACTTCATATGTCGCAGACGCCGATTCAAGCCAGAACTGTAACGAGAGAGTGTTCTAAACAGGCTAGGATTCAAAAGAAACACCGAGTGGGACTTCAAGTTGTTACTTGGAAGAGGAGAGGGAAAGAAGGGAAAATGATCATCGTTTTGTAAATGATGCTGAGAATAATGCAGAAAGTGGCCATGAAAATGAAACAACAAGGCAATATATTGTAAAATTTCTCTGCAAAAGAAAACTTTGATTCCGACTCCGCCTCCACCTAGGATAGGTCTGGGAAGATCTGTGGCTATTGTAACTTCACCTACTGTTGCTACAGCGGTCATGCCTGTACCTGCAAGGGACACTCGTTACGTTGTCTCCAAGAGGTACATATTCCGTGAAACCCACGCCTATTCCACCTAGGCTACCTGTCATTTCACCACTGAAGCTCAGCCTGGTGACAACCTAGTAAGTCCCGTTTACACCATCTTCTGATCCAATGGTCCTACCACCCTAGTGAGGAATTTTTATTGGGTATGATTCCTAAGTGCAGCTGTCCCTCTGCACCACCCGTAGTTCCTCTTCTCGTACCTCATCTAGCAAGGACATCCACTCTCCTACCTTCTCCAGGAATGAATGTCAAGGTACCTGCAGCTGCATTATTGCCTACCCAAGTACAATTCTTCCCTCTCTTTTTTGTTCCAGCGGTCATTCCTGCACCTGTGGTGGTAGCCTTGCTATTATTTTAACAAAAATAGTTTCCAAGTGTTCCCCTTTGCTATAAATCCTGAATATCCGCCCGCTATTTTGCTCATGGCTGCTTTTGTGTGGCACCAAGCCTCCTACATTTGTCACGGACCATGAGATACCCTCAAATACATATCGTTCACTTGTGGTATGGGTTACCAATGTAAAATCGACTCCCCTCCTTTACAGTATACTTTGTAAGTGGGTACAAAATTTACTTACCGGCAGCTACCTGACCAAGCAGTGATAAAAAATGACTGGACAATGATACTAGCTGACTATAGTCGGGTGCTACTTGAATGTACGATTCTGAGTTAGCCATTGATATCAGCTGAGTTCTTTCAATAGAACTTCCTATCCCGAGACAGAAGATCTTGACCCCAGAACTTTTCAAAGCTCCTGCTACGCCTGACACGTCATCTGTTGATCTTCCAGCGATCATCACCAACAGGACTTTGATAGCATTTTGACGTGATTGGGCGAATAATTGAGTTTGACATGTACTTAAACCTTGACCTGCAGCACACGCTCCACCAATCATTTTCATTCCTATAATAACTGCGTCAATTTCAGATGCTGAGTTGTACTTGCTGAAGTCAAACGACACCGAGGCGGACGCGCCAAACAAGACCAATCCTATGCGAAATGCCGCTGATGAAATGGTAACGCCGCTGTAGATTGCTCTAACAAAGCTTAGACACCGCTGGAAATTTGCATCATCACCTACACTGCTAGAGGCATCAAGCATGAAAGCCAGATCGACTGCTCCTTTAAAAAAGCATGTTAATTTGTTTTAAAACAACGATTTTTTGAAGCCGTTATTTATCAGCATCCTCATTGACAAGATAAATGTCAAGGAATAAATATCATATTTTTTTCACGTCGTAATGCGAGCCTCTTGTACTCAGACATAGGAAGGGGATACTAAGGAGTATTTGTTATCATTCTGTACCACGGCCTGCTTCTTCTTGTTTTGCCATTCTGAGAGTCGTCTTACGTGGAAGCAGACTTGTTTGAAAGCCCTGCTTACCTATTTCGCAAACAGAGTTACAAAATATTGGCCATTTAAAGCGATACGAAGAGTTTCATATCTTTAGCTGTTATGTATGTTACAACACTGAGACCATCCAATGCGTTCATCGTCTGACTAATTCACAGTCTTGACCAGTACATACAATACTATCACAAATTCTGGTGTGTCGACACCCACCTTAGTAGTTAAAAATGGCTAACGCTCCAAAATGTATGTTGATCTTGATGAGAATGCTATAAAAGTCACCAATTAATACTGCAAATTCGAATTTTTCTTTTTGATGCAGCAGGAGAGAACAGTGTATCCAGAATGCAATTTTCACATTCAGTTAGTTGGAATTTTAGTCACACGTTTTTGGTACAGTGAAGCTTCGTTTCATTTTGAGTACAAAGTCAAGTTCGTTCGAGCTGTGATGTCAGAAAATGTCTCGTATTGTAAAGATCTTGTCAAATGTAAATATGGCTTTATGGTTGGCGTCAAAATCAACCTCGTTAGCACACCTACCCTGAATGGCACACTACCCGATATAATTTGTATCAAAACTCATATATGCAATGTGAACTAATGCACCTACCTGCTGTTCCCCCAGCTGTTCCCCCAGCTGCTCCTCCAGCTGCTCCTCCAGCTGCTCCTCCAGCACTTAAACCGCCAGCTGCACCGGCGGCTCCTCCAACTGTTCCGGCGGCTCCTCCAGCTGCTCCTCCAGCTGCTCCTCCAGCTAATCCTCCAGCTAATCCTCCGGCGGCTCCTCCAGCTCCACCGGCAGCTCCTCCAGCTGTTCCACCGGCGGCTCCTCCAGCTGCTCCTCCAGCTGCTCCTCCAGCTGCTCCTCCAGCTGCTCCTCCAGCTGCTCCTCCAGCTGCTCCTCCAGCTGCTCCTCCAGCTGCTCCTCCGGCGGCACCTCCAGCTGCACCGGCAGCTCCTCCAGCTGCTCCTCCGGCGGCGCCTCCAGCTGCACCGGCGGCTCCTCCAGCTGCTCCGCTGGCTGAAATTCCTCCAGCTTATTTAAGATAGAAATTAATCACATACGCCTTAATCTGTTTTGGAAAAGTTTAGAATACTTTGGCAGCCTTTTTAGACCTGACTGAAGCTGACTCTATAAGATGCCTTTCCAGACGGAAACCACGTGGAAGACAACTATTTTGCTTCTCAGTACACCACTATCTTTCCAAAAAAGTATTATTTTATATTATTTAAAAAATTGCCGCAAATATGTAATCCTTACCTAATCACGATTTTATAAAGTGTTCCGGGACAGATAACAATTGTTTAATGTGTTGTGCGATGTTTTGCGAACAGCGTTGGTAATCTTATCGAAATGGATCTTTATTACTTTGTGTTCGCAGTTAATCATATTCCTTTCTCACCTGATCCAATTAAGCTGATAAACTGCTGCGAGAACCCAGAGAGTTCTGCAAACGATCCTACTGAGACAAAATACTCGGCGGAGGAAGCCATTTCTTTCATCTGACCCGCATCGACGCTTCCTCCCATTCCAAGACATAGGATTTTAATACCACTTTGTTTCAGTGCACCAGATGAGCTTGAGACGGAGTCTGTTGATTTTCCTGCCATCATTACTACAAGAAGGCGCGCAGAAACACTCGCCCCAGCTGCTGCCCCTCCACTTACAGCACCACCACCGGCAGCGGCACCTCCACCTCCCCCAGCGCTTGCAAACAAAGACGATTGACATGTGGAAAGCGCTGCTCCCGCGGCACAAGATCCTCCGACGAGTTTAACCTATAGGTTTAAAAAGAAGAATCAACAGTTATCTTTATACGCAGCTATTACAAAGCGATTTAAGCTGCGAGACGATAGCACTCAAAATTTTTCTTATTTTTAAAAAAATCCCTTCCAGTTTGATCACCTATTTGTCAAAGTTTATCTATAAGATATTTCCCTTTTAAACCCGGTCTCTTACTTTGATCACCTCTTTGACTGGGATTTATCTCCTGTGAGACATTCCTTACCGCTTTCGGAAGGCCAGGTGTCCTTATTTGATCCGTAGTGTTTTTAATTTAATCTGAATTGTACGCGGGTATATTTATCCTTGAGTTTCACGACAAGTGTCCTCGTCATTCTCTCGCTAAATCAAACTAATTTACACTTTCAGATGCAGTGTTATGGGATAATGCAAATAAAATAGTACACATACCTGACCAAGGGCCGTTTCAACTTCAGAGATTGAAGAATATTTGCTGAAATCAAATGCAACTTGAGCTGAACTTCCAAATAGGACTAAAGCAAAGCGTATACCGCCACTCATACCAAAGGCACGAAATATTACCAAGATGAATTCAATACACAACTTGAAGTTTGCTTCCCCTTGAATGCTGTCCGAGGCATCCAACATGAAGGCCAGATCACAGGAACCTAAAAAGTATGAAAGTTCAACCAGTTACTAAACTGGAATAGCAAAGGCTTGAATCAATATCTAACTCAGAACTTTTACGTTAAACTTATTATTATTATGACAAGCAAAATAATTGTAATAGTGGAGTGCTGGCGTTTTGCGCATATATCATGTATAATTATGATGCTTTTTACACATGCACCGCTTAAAGAGGAATAAGAAATTAGAGAAACTTCAATAGACCCACGATTAGCCTATGGGAATAAATTTTATCTTCAATGAAGTTCCCTCAACCGTAACTTGCTTTTTCAGGCCCTCTAGTTGGGTTGATTTTCGGATGTTAATGGAGCCTGTCTTAAAGCATGATGTCTATAATAGAAGTACGATACCGTCAGTTCAGTTATCTAGCTAGTAAGTTAAACAAAAACACCAAATAAGCAAAACCACAAACAACATCAACAAAAACAACGAAATCAAAACAAACACGATCGAGGATGGAAAGGATGACAAGCATAATTCGTATGAGTCCATACCTCCGGCACCTCCGGCACCTCCACTAGCGGTAATGCCGCCGGCTATAATTTCAAGATTGTATCAAATCAGTGCACGACTAAGCATAAAGTTAAATACTTCAGTTCTGGCAAACGATAATTCAAAGATAAGGAAAAGGAGGGGTTGCAGCGTTGTAGCATATCATAGGTTGTTTTCAATGATATTTTTGTCGGATTCATGTAAAATCGATGAAGTTTTAAAAAATCCTTTTGAACATATGTGCATATCAAAGAACACGAAATTCTGAAAGAAGCTTTAAATTTGTTTTTTCGACGATCCCTTGGTTCATAGTAACCCTGCTTGTCTGCACTGAGGGAAAGCCTAGAAGAAATTAAAATCAGGGTCGAAGGGAAAGTGAATAAAAGGGGAAAGTTTCTGAAGAAATTGTGGTGCTGCGTGGGTGGGAGAGTATAACAGGGTTATTTAATATCATCAACTGTGTTGATAACGTAAATTAGCCACCATTAATAGTTTAAAAGTGACGTTTTGAGCGTAAGCCATATGTCATTCGTTCCGACCAAAAGCTAACGCTCGAAACGCCGCTTTTAAACTCTTTAAGGTGGCTAATTTACGTTATCAACTCAGTTGATAATACCAAATTACCCGAAGAGAAAGTGTCCCTAAATTAGAATCGAAGAAACAATAAAGAATAGGGACAAACTCTCAAAAACCTTGAGATATTAGTGAGGTAATGCTTCCGGTAATGCCAGCTAAACCTCCATACGAAGCGGCGGTAAGGACATAGGATGAAGAGAATGCCATGGAAGTAAGTTGTGACTGAACAAATGAGCTGCCCATTCCAACAGCAATTATTTTGACTCCGGCTGTTTTCAATGAGCCAGCGGCGCTTGAAACGTCATCAGTAGAACTTCCAGCAATTAGAACAATCAGGACACGTGCCTTCCCTCCGGCGTCACCCTCGAAGAGAGATGACTTGCACTGAGAAAGTGCAGCACCTGCAGCACAGCCACCGCTCATTAATGTCACACTGCCAACTGCCGAGTCTATCTCTGAGATTGAGGAATACTGGGTAAATCCAAAGACCACCTAAGGTAAAAAGAATTTTGCAAGGTCATGAACTTACTAAACTAGGATATGTGTAATTTTCTCACTTGAGCAAAAAAAGATTACATTAAATAGAAACACTTATTCATTGAAGCCCTACAACATCACTTGTTGAATCCATGCGTTTGATAATTACTCGAAACTAAAGATGGCCGTCAGTTACACTCGTATCTATCGCGATGACGTTATGCATTTAGAATCCAACCTCTCAACAAAGTTTTGTATTTCACTTAGCACACTTGGAAAATCAACACTATGCTTTCACGGTTTTGTTTTTGATTTCCTCGAAGACACCTCTTGACGGCGGCCACTTGTATTCTCGTGGGTAAAATTTACATTCAACAAATGTTTTGGCAACTATAAAATCTTTTGCTCCCTTTTTTAGATAAGGGGTGCTTGACTCGATGTATAGCACCTTTAGAGGGTAACCTTAATTCACTTTTACCTTAGCACTGCTTCCAAACGTGACTAGACCATAGCGTATTCCACCGCCAAGAGTGAATGAGTGAAAAATGCTAATGACAAATTTCATGACGAGTTGAAAGTTTGCATCGCCACCAATACTTGATGAAATATCCACCATGAAGGCAAGATCACATCCTCCTGGCAAAAAAACAAAAAAAACGGTCAGGAAGATTAAACATTTTCTAATTGCTTGATTGTTGTATAATGTTCTCACCATCCTTCAGTCGATGCTGCCCGGTTTGCAACGCAACTATAACATCACATAAAACCTTAATTCAACATAACTTTATTTGAACAAGCAAAGGCTTTCTGAACATTTTTTAATACCAAAGTCAAAACTCATAATTAAATGGTGGCATAGAACCGTGGCATTGAACGGGAGGATCGAACAGTTTACGCTCATACTCTTAGATCCACGAATGAATATCATGAAAGAATGGAAAAGGGTAAAAAAAATGAAAATACCTCCAGCAGAGGGCAAAAATCAGACGTGAAGAGACTCGCATAACGAGCTCTAGTTTTCTTAGTAAGACCCAATTACTGTAATTTTTGAAAGAAGCTACACACCTCCTCCCGAGGCACCAGCAGCTCCCCCAGCTGAAAAAAAAAATGAAATTGGTAGGTAAAATTAAATGATTATCAAAAATAAACAGAAGAAATATACAACTGAATTAGACAAACCGATGTCACGTATTATACATCTATTTAATGCACAGCATTGTTAGCTTGACGAGGGAGTCGCAATATCAGTGGTAGGGTATGTTGGGTTTTGGTCATAGCTGTATCGTCTATTGGCCTCTATTTGTTCCTCGTCCACTGTCATGGGCTAATGAGATGTTTATATGATCCATTAGGATTCCCTGTCCAATGTAAACATGTCACAGATTATTTCCGTTATCTGTGCGTCATTTGTATGGTGCGATACCATGACGATATCCTAGGATCCATTGTCAAGGAACGTGTCTTGTCTCAGTTGTATTTCTGCGTCCCTTTAATATATGTTTTGTCGTAATGTAGTGTGATCCACTTGCCCAATGTGGCGGGATAAAGTTTGAATTCTTCATTACTTCGTTGTGAACGTAGATCATCTTGCGTCAAATTCTTGTCTTGTCACGGAAAGTTACTCACCGCCGCCTCCGGCTGCACCTGATGCACTAGCAGAGCCTCCATGAACGGAACCAGAAACAGAACCACCTCCAGCAGACATTCCTCCGGAGGAGCTGCCTCCACTTGTAGTAGTGGTCTGAGACATTGAAAAACCACCGCCTCGTCGGTTGGCAAGGCTCTTCATGAAATCCCTCTGCAAGTCTCTTACTATACGTTGGATGGAAGTGTTGCGGGTCAGGTTTAAAAGCTTGAAGTTTTCAGAGTGGGACTCGACACGATTGGGGAAGACTGGGGAAAAATTGAAGTATACTTACTTGTTCCCTCGGCGGCAGCCTTTACAGCAGCTGTATGAAATTACAAAAAACTGTCAATAATAATGTTCAAATTGAAAACTTCATACTTCAAACAGAAATTTGAAAATTCTAACATTGTCACAAGGTCTGTTCTTAAGTCAGTTAACCAGTCTGTCTCTCAGTCTATTTTTCAGTCATTTAGTCAATGTAAGATGACAAACCGTGGAGAGAGCCCAACGATATCAGAATCACATGATTTTATGGGCCAGCCACGTGTTACTTCCATTTCTTGGAAAATGGCGAATTCCAAGCTGTAATTCTTTTCTCACCTTTGCACAACGTTTTCTGCATTGCTGTAACTATTGTGTCCATTTGGGGGAAATCAACTGTAAACACGTGTTCCGCTTTTGGCTCACTTGCCATCGCATTTAGTTGTGCTAATCTAAAATGTGTCCCCAGGCCAACAGAGAATATAACCACCCCTGCGTTTCTAAGTTCTTCGGACGGTTTAACTACGTCGTCGTTGGATGCGCCGTCAGTTAGGACAACAAGGACGCGTGGCACGCCTTGTCTAACGTCATTAAATAGTTTGTCTGCCGCCATTGTGAGTGCGGCGCCAGTTTTTGTCCTGTAACCTGGATATTTTATGCGAGTTATCGCAGCTTCTAAATCTTGCTGCGTGCTATATTGTTTGAAGTCAAATTGAAGTTCACTTCGAGACGAAAATACAATTGCTCCAACTCTTGTGTCCGTGGGAGAAACGACAAAAGCTTTCGTAAGAGATTTCACAAAATCCAAACATCTTTGAAAATTCCCTTTCCCGTACATCTCTATGCTTCCAGAGCCGTCTATGAGGAATCCAAGATCTATTTGGGTTTTACAGGCTGGGCAAAAGATAGAAGGTTAGTGGAACCATAACTTCTGACGGCTTAATTCGATCTTCACATATTAAGCTTTTTCTCAGGTACACCTGACAGCCTTTTGATCCCCAGACGTAATATTCTGGCTGGGGAGAAGCACTTTAAGAGCAAAATAATTTTTGTTTAAAAAAGTACACAAACACCGGGTGGCCTAAAAAAGTCATATTACAAATATTTCAATACCAATCTCAAGGTATGGCTCAAGGAGACAAAGTTCTCTGGCCTTCGGTGATAGAAAACACTATTTTTACGGTGGAATAAACAACCCAGTGCCTCGAAATCCTAGTCGAATAATGAGGCTGACGTTGAAGGGATTGAATTCTGCTTTGTTTGTTCTGCTGTGTTTGTCATATTCGTTTTATTTTTTTGTCTTATATCGTTGTCACAGGTGTCTTCTTAATATGTAGCATTCCTGGTATATTTATAACTTTCCAAATAAAAACAACAATTTGATTAAAACTGCACTTCATGTGGGCTTCTAAAATGTAATCTGAACTTCATTTTAGACGCAGTTATATTCATATATAATGCATGATGATAACTGCCAACATGTCACTATTTATATTGGCATTTTACCTTTCACTGAAGATACATCAAAAGGTCGTGGAATCAAACTGTTTTGTGTATTAAATTGCCTCTTTACTCCCACATGACCGGATAATGTTTGAAAGTGAGATTTTTCTTTTGAGTGTTGCTTTCGTCTTCTCTCCAGAGGTGATGACTTAATGTGAGGCGGTTTGATGGAATAAGCGGCTTTCAAACCAATTCTTTCGATGAGAAACCTGCTCTCGGCGTTCTGAGCTTTTAGAGCTAAAAAAAAAAAAAAAAAAAAAAAATCTATCAAAGTGTGATACACTCTCATCATCCCGCTGAGCATATAGCCAACAGCCAACTCCCCAGACCAAGCAAGTTTCCTTTGAAGCTTCCAAATGCTATGATGTGCGATCAGTACGATTAGTTCTTTTATAAAACTAACCAGCAGGACCTTTACAAAACAATGACTGTATATTGAAAATGCGTGGGTTCCTAAATTATGAGGGAAGACTAGACTTATACTTTAGTTCATATGTCAAGGCGGAAGGGAGGCTACACACACTACCTTAGCTAACGATGGCATTTCGAATGAATTCTTTAAGCTACCAACATTTTCTTTTTTTCTTTTTGAATCAAGTATCACTTTTATTCCGTAGTTAGCTTTTTGAGGAGACGCAAAAACGATGATGAAAGAAACATAAAAAAGCCTGGTCGCTCGCTGCCTCCTGTTCAGAATTCATGGATCCTAGGAGGTACCACATGCTCTATAAGGAATTTGGTTAAGGTCAGATGATTCACCAGAAAGCAAACCGAAATGGATGTGCTCGCTTGAAACTGCATCAATTGAGCTAGTACTAACAGTACTTCGCAGCGATTGTCTATTGTTGCGAAAACAGTTGAATCGACAGGTCTAATTGGGGTATACGGAACACTAATGCAACCTTTTTTTTTCCAATTTCTGGTTGCAGACAAAAGAGAGCCTTTGACGAGGTATAATTTCAATTGACGTTGGTCGAAATTTCGTTGCTTATCTGAAACGCAGTCCGAATTAAAACCTTTCCTGTGATAAGATCATACACTCCTTTAGATCTAAAAGCAGTGACACAGATTTAACATATACCGGCAAGAGAGCATAATCGTTGCGCTTAACTAGTGGCGTCTAATTTTATTTCTGAATATACTGTAACAGTAAATGGCACCAGCGGTAAAATTTAGCCATTATGGCACAATAAGATTAAACCTGAAATTAAAACATTCAACAGCTAATCATAAGTCAAATAGTTGTAATTTGATACTTTTCTCTTTATTGAAAATTAAGCGTGTTGTTACTGATTAAAAAGTAATTACAGAGCATTTCGCTGAACAATAGTCGCTTTAGAATCTTGACCTTACCTCTTTTCAAGGCACTAGAAACTGTTGAGATCTTAAAGATGACAAGGACGTTCCACGCCAATACGAAAAAAAGGTTAACATTCATTCCTGTTGAGAGAAAATCAAATAACACCTTTCCAAGACTAAACAAATGTTCGATCGAAGATGAACGAACAAAGCATAGTTAAAATTGGCTAGTACCGGGTATCATTTTATCACGGAGAAGATGAAGCCACTTACTTGAACTCAAACTAAGCTCACGTCGATTTAAAAAATTTCCTCTTTCGTTTTAGAGTCACAAACAAGATTAGGTTACGCCATGTTGAAGGCTACCCTGACTGTTGTTTTGTCTTCATGGACCTAAAGTACAATAAAGATTCGAACAACGATGCATATTTGATCAAGGCCGTATTTTACAGAAGACGGCACCGGCGCCTCCCTAAGTACAAGAGCATTTGATATAGTTGAAGACTCAGCGATTGAGTGGCTCTTGCAGGTACATGAAATTCAATCGGTTTTGTCTTTGTGAGGTGGTCTTTTATTACTGTTGAAGCGTGTGTTTACACTTCACGGGTGGTTAACTTCCAAACTCGCTCCAATTACTCACAAAGCGGTTCGTCAAGCAGATATAATTTAATAAAATTAGCTTAATTTAAGATTCCTTTGACAATAAAAGGCAATTCATGATTTTGTTATCTTTGATGCGGTGAGTTTCTTATTACATAGCAGAAAAAACTCAACTTTAAATAGTATTTCTTTTAGATAGTTTCTTATACAGGAACTTCATTGCAATTGTTTCTAATTTCGATGACGGATCTTCACTTTTTATTGGATTGTGACTGGTTCAATTGTATGCTATTTCAGGAAATGATGAGATAATGATGAAAATGACAGCTCGATTAAGAAATGTGTGAATTCTCTGTCGACCCTTGTTTTCCAACCTCTTTGCATTTTCAAATCACATTCGTTTGCATATCCTAAGTAAACAAGCCCCATTCGACTAAATACTTCCACTTCCACGATATAACATCTCGAAGTTTAAGATGCCATGTTATATTCACAAACGATCACCGTAGAAAAGTTGGCGGACCAACAGGTGCGCGCGGCCAAGCTCAGAGTCGCTGGCAGAATTGATTTTGGTATCCGATACTGAAATCTCATCGTATTTGAAAGACATAACGCATTTTCATCAAGACATCCTTTTCGAGGGAGTAATGTAATAGATGTTACCCGGTACTGAATAGGATTCATTTCCTCATAAATGATTTCAATAGTTTTACGGTGGCTTCGTTCTCTCCTCAATCTGCTACGGATGGCCAGTACTAATTGTTAATTACAAAGCGGTCTCCATTGTCATAGACGGTCACCTGGCGAACTGGTACTGACTACTTCTGCTCGGTCATTTTTACAAATTGCAATTATGAAGTATATAAGAGGTTTATTTCTTTGAACGAAAATCACTTTTGGCTATGATTAGATAACTATCATGTAGCCAAAAAAATTGCTGTTCCCATGAGAGGACAAGGAACTTTCAAAGGGCTCACTGGTGAAAACACTTTCAAATCAGTTCGACGAAAATTATTAAGGAAATAACTGTTTGAAATTGAGTCCGTATATTAAGAAAATGTTTCCAATTTTGCCATCAAATTCTCTCTTCAGGCTTGTCTCGTAGCGCTGGTTTCTATCCGGGTAGAAGGGTTAAATAGGATTTCACTTTCGTCAAGTATTTTGAAGGACGAACGGCGTCAACATTATTCAAGCTGCGCGTTCATCCCAGACTCAGCAATAATTAATTACCTTTTCGTTAGCCATTCTACCGCTTCTTATACTCAATTGTAGTGACTAACAGTGTGATCAGGCGCTGCATAAAGTTCAAGGGCTTTGTTGCTCACCCTTTGTGGAATAATGGTTTAATACGAGGAACCTCCATATTTGTCCGTTTGTTTGTTTGTTTGTCTATCTACTTGCCTGTTGGCTGGCCCGAGAGATCGACTTTATCGCTCAAAGAGCTCATCTGATTGAGTATCAGATAACAAAACCAAAGTACATGTAATCACAACAACCAATTAAAGCAAAAGAACTATTGCAAAGAATTCAGAGTGAATTGAATAACAGCCTTAAGCGCCGGAAAACTACCAATGACCAAGTTAAGATTTGTTTTAGTCTTGAATTTTGAAAATTGATGTAAAATGTGATATAAACTTAGCGGATGCATTTATTACATTGTTCGAAAGGAAAGCATACGCATGGTAAGTACACGTAAAATAAATAAATAAAATATTAAAAATAATAATAACCTTACAGGATTGATTTTGCCTAGATAATCCTGTGATCTCCAGAAATGAAAGAAGTCGCAAAAGAACTATAGATGAAAGAAGTTTCATCACTTATTCTATGAGCGCGCAGTGGACATTAGATAGTAGAGCACCGATTTGCCGATAGCCACTATCGCATATCCAACTAGCGTGAATGGAATGATTGTTATACTAAATTCACCATGCTTTGGGAAATAACCACGCTATACGTGCACCACTTTAGGACCGGGTCTGTGTTAGCATTCAAAGGAAAAAGATTTACAATGCCAGGTTGAGTATTGAAACTATATACATGACTTTCAAAATCTAAAAAAGTTTCAGGGTATTCCTCAATTACATCATTTCGTAGCTAGCTAAACTTGTATGTTGAGTTCCAGCTCATCGTCAATCAGACATAAGTGTTATGTGGAACGGAGAGAGGGAAGCGATGGAGGACGACTTTCATAGAACAGATGTTCGTATCAGGTGAAAAACTATTAATCAACCAGCTGGAGAGAGGTAATCCCGAGGAAAATTGCGAGAAATTTAGAAACCAACCTAAACTAGTCACGGATTCAAGGATTTCAGGCTGAGACTTCTATGTTATAAATTTAGAGGGTAACACTTTTTAAACTTATCTATTTAATTTAGATTTTTTTGTAATCTAGGTTTACCTAGATGGTCCCCCAATACCTTTAGTAAGACGAGGGTAAGAAAAGTTATATGTAGGAGCATAAAAACGGATGCTGATCACGTCAAAATTTAAGTCTTTATTTCTTATTCAGAATTAACTTTAACAGAGATAAGAAGACATTTAATTTCCCATTTACGTTGAGGGAAAGAGATCTATTAAACCGTATCTATAGCAAATCCCTTATTTAATAAACCAAACGAATCTCAGGCCAAAAAGGAAGAAAAAACAAAAGAGCTTTGAAATAGGCAGCACTGCCTTCCGACAATATTTGAACCTAAAAATCTTCGCTTTTTATATCGCGATTGCACAGAAACTTAGAGCAGTGTGTCTCCTGTATTTTTGCATTTGTTACAAGAAAGCCTTTCAAACATATACTTTTAATTATAAGCAACGTTCGGGAAATGTTCGAAAAGCCTAGGAGCGTTCCCCCAAAAAAGTTCTCTTTTCTAGTTTTTAGCTCTGTCGCTTTTGTTTTTGTAAGATTCGATATTGTTTTTATAAGATATCGATTTGATTCGATATTCCGGGAACAAATTAAGAATATACTGAAAAAAGCCATTTATCTTAGTTTTTTTCCTCGTGTCCACCCTCCCCCCTGAAAGATCATTGATCAACCCGTCTGGTGTCGACGTCCGCCGATGAGGCGACTATAGTGGACATCGCGTGGTCGATGATGATAACGACGTGGCAGGGGATGAATAATGAAATGACGTGAGCAGTCGTACTTGTTTTCTGTTGAAATGACTGCGCTTCTCTTCTTTCGTAAATAGCTGGGACAGTATCCACAGTAATCCCGATAACCTTTAATGCAATGGTCATTCTAGTTAGTATGACTAGTTGAAAAGTTACAAAATTTGTTTACGTAATTAATAAAGCACCGTGAACTAAGCCAAACCGTGATAAATAGACTTGTCGACTTACCGCAATAACAAGGGCGACAATAATTCCTGAAAATACCTGGAAAGAATTCGAAGGAAAATGAAAACAAAAAGTTGTTTATGGTTGAACGAAGTTATATAGGACGGTATGGCCCTTTGCGTGTAATGAAATGGGAATCGAATTGACAAAATTCTTTTTACCTCTCAAAATGTTGGTAACAAGTAGTTCTGCAATCTTTCCCATTTGTTCGTAGCTACTCTTGAAGACATGCGCATTATAGGGGTAACTGGCCATGGCATTGAGTTGCCAATTACTAGATACACTCCCAACTCCAATACAGAAGATTTCTACTCCATAAGATCTGATCTCCATCGATGGGGTAGCAACGCTGTCAGCGGAGTTGCCTGCAACCACCATAACAAGCAGCCGTGGGACATGGTTCCTCCACGAGCTGTCAAATAAGAAATGCTTGGAGACCTCCAAGCCACGTCCGAGATAGAGTAGCTGCTTCCCAGCCGAGTTTGTCCCGGGGTATTTCACTGAAGACAACGCCTGATCAATGCTAAACATGTCAAAGTATGTGTAAAAGTTGAAGACTACTAAATCTTCGGAGGAGCACACGACCAGCCCAACACGAGTTTTGTAATGGCCAAGTGGGAAGGCATGGATTACAGCGCTAACAAACTTAATAATTTGTTTGAAGTTCTGCTCACTTCCCACAGCGGAGGATCCATCTATCATAAATCCCAGGTCAAGGATTACTAGACGAAAAGAAAAGAAGCAAATTAGAAAAAAAAAGAAGCTCTGGTGTCCAAATACAGCAACAGCGCATCACGAGAAGCAACCTTTAGAAATATTGGTTAGCAAAAAGTGATTTGTAAAATACATTTATGCTGACTGCATGCATCGGTTTCCAGGAATGGGGATTATTTTATTTAAACCATCAAAGAGGGGATTAGATCCTCTCTGCCCCTCAACTGCGCTGTTGATAAAAGTTTTATGCCGTTCGTTCACCTTTTGGACATGATTGCTTCATACCTGCTCGTCTCATTTTACTCAGTTTCTATGGTTGTATGATAAGTGTTTAGGAAATGACTGTATACGAAAGCCATGTTCGAGCTGGTTAAAAAAATCAAAGCAGACGGCGAGCGAACACAAAGACATCAGAAAAAAAGGCAAATAGATAATAAAAATTCGAAACACGAAACATTCAAAAACTTATAAGAAATAAGAGCCAGC